AGTGCTCCCAGCTCATCATCCCTGGCTTCCATGCAAGCGGTACATGAGTACCATCAACCACAAGCCAGCTGTCAGAGGTCGCGCACCTGAAACCTGAGATCGGTAGTTGTAACAATACTATTACCAATTCTGTCAAGTTATGCGACAGCACTTGTGGTATTGCAATTCTTCATGAGATATGCAGTAGAGCCATCTCTATTACTTTTCTCATTCAAATCTGTAGTTGTGATGATGCTATTGCAGATTTCGACTGACCACTGTCAGACACTCTGTCCAGAGGTAGCTTGGCACAATCAATAACTATGTGAACTTGCTGATGACACCAAATGTCTGGTGTGAATATGGATTGGTGGCATCGACATGAGTGTCCAGTGTGTCGACTATGCTTGAGGTGATCTCCAGACCACAGTGGACAACTGCCTTCGGTTCTATTGATATCCGGACTGCTGGTTTGCTAAGAACTGCCTTTGGATGTCAGGAAATGGTGATACAACACATGCACTTCGATGAGGAGCAATCTATTGATTGCAACTTATGCTGACTGAAAACTAATGAGTACTTATGTTTCTAAAGTATTGACTAGTTATATGGTGAGTGTAGAGTGGATGAGGATCCACTCGACCATTTGTGACAAGAAGGTATGACTATATATCTCTTTGCAGTGTTGCCAGCAACACTGCTCCTGCTCTCTCTCTCCAGAGAGTACCCTCTTCATTGAGTACTGTACAGGGATCTCCAAGGAGGCCCCTCCTCCATATCGAACCTTGTCCCTCCTGTCTTTCCTGAGCTGTGTCGACTTCATCGACACTGCTCCTCCTCTTCATGTCCCTCTCGCCAGTGTCCTATACACAGCTCTCCTTCCTTTGACCGGTGACGGTTCTCTTCTACTCCTGTCCTGTGGGCCCCTGAGTGGTAACTGACCACATGTCACTGAGCTCGGTCCCTCTCGCATGTGAATCATTGTATGGACATCCTTACTACCAATCTCTGCAGAATCTGCCACATGATCTCGCTTGCTGCAGATTCTGGTGGGATTTGTGATATCAACAATGCTCGTGCCGATTTTGCTGTGATCTGCCATAGAGCTGATTCTACTGCCGATCTCAGTGAACTCTGTCACAGCTCCTACGATCTACCCGATTCCACGATTCCTGCACTACCTTCATATGAACTTCGGTCTTTCCTCGTTCTGCGCACCCAGGCCCATGACATCCGGTAGATTTTGGGTTTCAGGCACGTGACCGCTGACAGTATGCTATCGGATGGTTGAATCATTGTCTATTGGACCCTGTCCCCAAACTTCAGGCAGGGACTGTGCTGTACAATAATCAAAATGCACTACGACGGCTCTCCTAACAGTTAAAGCATGTGGTGTCTTGGTGATTGAAGCATGCAAATGCAGCCTTCACCAAACCCACATCCAATCACCAACTTTGTTCAACTCGGACTTAGTGCATTGCCCAGGCCAACTGCCAAACCTCAAGACACCAGTCATCAGACAGCCAGTGTTTTCCTCTTCCCCTTAGTTACTCACCCATGCTCCTACCCAATCAGTTCCTAGTATCACACATGCATACAGAGAACATCGACACATATGTAAGCATTTGTCCCATCATGTACAGTTACATCCAAAATTGCCCAGCATCTTTTAGGATAATTAAATGCTCATCACCACACATCAACTTCACTTCTCAAGAGCTGGTATCTGTCAGGGGTCTCGCGCCTGAAACCAAGGTCGGTCTGTCGGGATACTCGGTGACTATCAAACTGTGCGACAGCTATTGTCTTGGTATTGGTCTTGACGAGTTAGTCACTCAGTGACTATCAAGTTGCATGATGGGCAGCATTCGGGTATATACTATCATAGGTTTCAGCTGACCTCTGTGGACACTCCATTCAGGGGTAGCTCAGCACGATCAATATCAATATGTAGGTTGTGATGACACCAGGGTCTGGTGTGAGGGTTGATGATGATGAGGTTGATGGTGTTGGTGATAAGGTTGGTGAATGTTGATGATAATGAGGTTGATGGTGTTGGTGATGAGGTTGGTGGCATCAACACGAGTGTCCAGTGTGTTGACTTGATGCTTGAAGTGATCCCCAGACCACAGTGGACTACTGCCTTTGGTTCTATCTATATCCGGACTGCTAACCTGCTATGGGGTGCCTTCAGATGTCAGGTAGTGGTGATACAACACACACACTATGATGAGGAGCAACCTTGATAGATTGCTGCTATGCTGACTGAAAACTAATGAGTACTTATGTTTCTAAAGTATTGACTAGTTGTATGGTGAGTAGAGTGGATGAGGATCCACTCGACCTTTGGTGATGAGAAAGCATGGTTATATACCTCTTCACAGCATCGCCAGTGATGCTGCTCCTGCTCTCTCTCCAGAGAGTACCTTCTTCATTGAGTACTGCTCAGGGGCCTCTCCTGCTTGGCACCCCTGCGCCTCTTGGGCTGTGTCGACTCCTTCGACACTGCTCCTCCTCCTTGCTATCCTGCTTGCTTGGCACTCTTGTGCCTCCTGAGTGGTGTCGACTCCTTCGACACTGCTCCTCCTCCTCAGGACCTTGTGTCGACTCCTTTGACTCTTGTCTCTTGAGCCCCTGAGTGGTAACCATCTGCATGCTCCTTGGGCTTGGTCCTCTTCGTGGCTGTGCCTGCTCCTTGAGCTTGGTCCTCCTCGTGGCTGTGCCTGGCCCTCCTCACATATGGCTCGATCCTCCTTTGCATGTGAGTCTGTAGGAGTCCATGGTCTCCATGGAGGCTGCACTACGACCATGCTCTCTACCGGTATTGACTAGATCTTCGATACCTGTGCTCCTTCCATATGAACCAGTGACCCTCCTGCTTCTTGAGCATCCAGGCCCATGACAGTATCCTCAATGAAGTGTAGCTTGTGACATATTGTTGGAAAGCTGAGATTGAGAGCTACAAGTACATATAAGTTTTGTTGTGATTGGACCACATTTGTGCACAGTGAAAGTGCCATGACTTTTGTTGAGTGTAAAGCTCCTCCTAAATTACTATATACTATACTTTAGTATTTTGTATGGCCCCCTTTTGCAACCCTTACAGCCTGTAACCTCCTGGGCATTGACTTTATGAGTGCCTGGACTGATTCCTTGGGAAAAGTTGCCCAAAACCTGTTGATAGCTGCAATGAGTTGAGCTTTATTGTTGATAGTATATCTTTGCTGATATAGCTGCTTTTTCAGCTGCTGCCACACATGTTCTATAGGATTCAGGTCTGGAGACATTGCATGCCAGGGCAATACATTGAGTTTGACCTCCTCCAGGTACTCCTTGGCAACTTTGGCAATGTGAGGGTGGGCATTGTCTTGCTGAAAGATCAGTTTATCCCTTGGTGGAATTCTCTGTATATTCTTCCACTTCAAGATGCTACCAGGCACCACTTCCTCCAGCAACTCAATGTAATGCTCTGAATTCAGTTTGTCATCTATATAGACAATTAGACCTAGGCCTGCCCAGGTCATACACCCCCAAATCATGATGCTGTGGCCACCCCCCTGCAGTGTAGGTATATATATATCATAGTTGACATCCCTGGACCAGTATCATTTTTCCAAGCCCTTTCCAATGTGTTGAACCTTGCATTCATCACTCCAGATGACATTTTTCCATTGTTCAACAGTCCAATGTCTATACTCCTTGGCAAACACCCTCCTTGCCTTCCTATGTTTATCTGTGAGCAAGGGTTTTCTTCTTTTTGCCCTAAACTTAAGTCCAGCTCACTTCAGCATGCATGTAATGGTTTGTCTGGACAAACAAAGTTGATAGTGTTGTAGCCAGTAGGCTGAAGCTTCAGTAGCTGAAGTATAAGAATTCTTGCTAATTCCTCTGGTGAGTAATGCCTGTTGGCATGAGGAGAGGAGGAGGGGCCTCCCAGGGGTCCTTTTCACATATTCACTCTCTGGTACCCATTTTGCCAGTTCAGCAATGCTAGATTTGTTGATAGACAGTTTAGTTGCTATCTCCCTTGTTGAGAAACCTGCTTGGAGCAGCTCTTTGACCTGTAATAGGTGAGTGGTGGTGTATTTAGTCCTCCCCATATCGATTTTTTGCCCTCCTTGCCATGCTGACAGCAGTATTGCCATATGATGTCCTAAGCTCATCAAAACACCCCAAAACATCTTTGTTTATATCATACTACAGTCATATGAAGTTTTGAGCATGGTCTATTAGCTCAATTCTGTGCAAAGTGATAAGTTACACAAGGTACAGAATTAATTGAGGAGGAGGAGGGGCTTCAAAGAGCACCAACCTAAATTCCAGCATATTCTTTGGTGGGACCACCCTTTTTTTCTCACATATTCTGATAGCAGGCTATCCAAGCTTTGCAACCATACCACACAAAGTGGGTGTTGTCAAAGAGAACAAAGAGTACTGGTCATCATCATGAAAAGGACCTGAGAACACCATATCAAATTAATTAGATGCCGGGCAATTTTGGACACAACTGTACTTAGGAATGATTCATTATCGCAATTAACACAAGTGATCATCGACTTCTGACAAACGACTTCAACACTAACTCATCTAAAGTTAGTCAGCTTGCCCACGGTCAAGCATCCCAAGCTACCGGGTGGAATCTGTGAAACACTGGATCACGATTTTTGTGCCACAATTTTCTTCCCAATTTATCTGCTCAAATTCTTGTCACGTTTTGGCAGCCAAATTGACGTTACTTTTGAGGCCGCTCAAGCATGTCGGCCAATTGAGATTCCATTGACGAAAGAAAATGCTAGTAACACATTGAGACCGTCTAGAGTATGATAACAAGAAATGATATGCTGAAAGTTGGATGAGATGCTCGCAGAAGACAATGCTAGATGAAGAGAGAACACGAGAAAGTGAGAACAGCTCCATTGAGCTACTTAGGCCATGGTAGCCTCGGTGGAAGCGGTTGCTGTCGGAGCCATCTTCTTGCTATGGAGCTCGGTGGCTTTCTTCTCGCTATCAACCTGGTCAGCTCATGCGGCATCGCCTTCAGCATCGGCCATCTCTTCGTCGAGGAGCTTGGAGCGGTCGACGGTCTTGCGACGGAAGTAAACCCGTTTGCAAAGCTTGTACACCTCAATTCCACCTACGAAGAGAAGAGTGCAGACAAAGATGATACCCCACTCCCAGCTGATGCCGGTGTGCAAGAAGACGATGTCGTTGAGGCCGGGGATATAGAGGATGGGGAAGACGCTAAAGAAGCCGCCGACGACGCAGAAGAAGAGGAACTTGTTCTTGCCGTAGGTGTCCTTGAACCACTGGCTGTACCATCGTCCGTCGTTGTGCATGTTGAAGAAGCTGCGACGGGTGTCAACCACTTCCCAGGCGAGGAGCAAGGAGAACCAGGTTAGAACGGAAAAGCATGAGGCGCGAGCACGAAAGACCAGGTCGCAAGATTCGCTGTAGTCAGCGTTACAGCTGGTACCAAGTTCGCCGTTGCCCCAACCGAACTCGACGAGGGTGAAGGTGGCCAAGCAGAGCGCAGCCATCCAGAAGCCGTAGACGGTGAGGTCGATGAGCATTTCGGGTGTGAGGATACTCCACTTGTTGGAGCGAGGCTTCCTTTTCATGACATCAAGCGATGCCTTTTCCATACCAAGGCCCATAGCAGGAAGACCCGAAGTGACCATGATGATGTAAAGGATTTCAACGGGCGAGAGGGGAAATACCGAAAGACCAGTCTCGTCCTTGAAAGCCAGACCGATCAACAGAACCGAAGCCTGGGCTACGTTCTGAGCCAACAAGTGGCAGACAAACTTGGAGATGTTGTCAGCCATGCGTCGTCCTTCCTCGATGGCGTTGCCGATGGAGGCAAAGTTGTCGTCTGTGAGGACAATGTCGGAGGCATCCTTGGCGACGTCGGATCCGTTCATGCCCATGGCGATCCCGACATCGGACATCTTGAGCGAGGGAGAATCGTTGACACCATCACCGGTCATAGCGCAGAATTTGCCTCGGCGGTGAAGAGCTTCGATCATCCTAACCTTGGTTTGAGGGGCACATCGTGCAATCACCAAAGGCAGCTGAGGGAGAGCGTCGATCTCGGCTTCGGAGAGCTTGTCGAATTGGGCAGCCGTCATGACCATGCTGTCGAGTTCGGTCTTGGAGTACTTGGTGGTGTTGCGGGGAACGATGCCGGCGTCAAGAGCGATCGCCTTGGCAGTGCCAGGGTGGTCCCCGGTCAGCATGCGAACAGTGATGCCAGCCTCCTTGCACTTTCGGACGGCACCGGCAGTCTCAGGGCGGGGAGGGTCGTAGAGACCAACGAGGCCCAGGAAGGTCATATTGGCTTCAACATCAGAACGCTCGAGGTCTTCAGCGAGGTCGCTCTCAGCTTTGGAGAGCTTGCGGTGGGCGAGGGCGAGGACACGAAGACCTTGACTGGCGAGAGCCTCCATGTTCTCAAGGACGCGCTTCTCGAAGTCCTCAGTGAAGTCGATCTTGCCTTCATCGGTCTGAGCGGAGGTGCACGATTCGAGGACACGCTCGACGGCACCCTTCATCATGGCAAAGCTCTCGCGGGTCTGGTTGTTAACGTAGGTAACGGCCATGCGCTTGACAGAGCTATCAAAGGGGTATTCGGCGATTTGCGACCACTTGGCAGCCGTACGGTCCTTTTCGGTGACTTCCTTGTCTGCATCGGCACCCTTTGTGAGCTTGAGACGACCCCATGCGAAACGAGTGACAAAGGTCTGAATAGCGCATTCGGTAGGGTCGCCGTGAGCGGTCCAAGCGTGGGACTCTTTGTCCTTGAAGACAGTGGCAAGGTTGCAGAGGGAAGCCACGTTCACGAAGTCCTCGAAGCGTTCGTTGCCCTTGACCTTGTCCGACTTGCCGGAGCGGGCAACGACTTCGCCGTCAGTAGAATCGGAGCCAACTTCGGCGTCACGGGGCTCGACATTGTTGACAGAGACCTCTCCAAGAGTGGGGTTGAAAGGCTCGTTGGTCTCCGAGACGTTGTAGGTGCCAGAAGCAGGCACCCATGCCTTACGAACAACCATCTTACCCTGGGTGAGGGTACCCGTCTTGTCGGAGCAAATGTCATTGATAGATCCGAGAGCTTCGAGCGAGTCGAGCTTTCGTACAATGACGTTTCTCTTGACCATAGCCTTAGAGCCCATGGCCATGGTGATGGTGAGAACGGCAGTGAGGGATGCCGGAATCATCGAGACACCAGTGGCAACAGCGTAGATGATGACTTCGTTGTCGGTCCAGTTGTTGGAAAGGAAGACGATGATCGCGAAAAGGACTGCGACGAAGAAGAGGCCGACGGCGAGCTGCGAGAGACGTCGCTGTAATGGGGTGCCCTTGTTAGTGCCGAGGAAGCCATTGACCTTGTCCCAAACGGTGAGTGCACCAGCCTGAACGTAGCGGTGGGGGAGCGCCTTTCCGTAAGCGTTGCGCTTGACATCTCGGATCTTCTGTGCTTTGGCGGCACCACGGAGAGCATCGGCGATCTTTCCGATCTCAGTATTCATTCCAGTGCCGACGACAATTCCAGTTGCGCGACCTTTGGTGACAGTGCTAGAGGTGAAAGCCATGTTGAGACGGTCGCCCACACCGACGTCCTCACCGGCCGAATAGACTTGAGTGTGGTCTTTGGCAACTGGGAGCGATTCGCCAGTAAGAAGCGCCTCGTCGGTCTCGAAGTTCATCGACTCGATGAGACGGCAGTCAGCAGGGACGGTGTCGCCAGTCGTGAGTTCGATAATGTCTCCTGGAACGACTTCGTTGGCCGAGATGGTCTCGCCGTCGCCGTTGCGGATGACACGAGCTGTCGGCGATGCAAGGTCGCGGAGTGCGTTCATGGTCTTTTCAGCCGAGAGTTCTTGGAAGAAACCAACGATGATGTTGATGGCGACTACACCTGCAAGCACACCACCTTCGATCCAGGAGCGGATGCCGAGGGAGACACCCATTGCAAGGATCAGCACCAAAGTCATGGCGTTTGCAATTTGATGAAGCATGATCTTCCAGATGCTGATCTCATCACCGCCTTCGAGCTGGTTTGGACCGTACTCTTGACGTCGTGCTTCGATATCTTTCTGGTTGAGACCGTGTTCGGGGTCCTCGACGCCGAGGGCGCGGAGGACACTGGTGTAATGGTGCTGCCATGCTGCCCCGAGTGCGTCTTCGATGTCGATATCGGGACCCTGAACAGTGTCGCTTCGTGGGAACTTTTCGTCCTCCTTGTTGACCATTTTGGGAGATCAAGAGGTTTGAGTTGTGTAGGTGGGTGAGTGGATGAAGCCGAGTCGCCTATCGCAGACAGGTAGGTCGACTAGCAATGATTATGAGTAAGTAGGTGGAGTCAGTTTGATCCGCAGTGCCTCTGCGTCTGGACAGAGGGGATGGTGAGAGTAAGTGGAAGACTCCGTCGTGGGGTTGAGTGGAGTGTGGAAGGGGAAGGCTGGAAACTTCGGTTTGCTCGTCTTGCTAGATGATGGAGCGGTGGGGAAGAAGAACAAAGAAGCCGCCAGAGGCTCGAGATTATATATCTTTTACCTAATGATGACTTGGTCGACAATCTCAAAGGTCAGAGGTAAAAGATCCTTTGGAGGCCAACGGAGCAAACGGGAAGTGTGAGCCAAGACCGAAGGCATCAAATGACAGACATGATGGGCGAGGGCAGTTCTTCAGTGTTCGTCTGGATTCCCGGCACGAGACCGCAAGATTCCGAGCGAAGACCTGATCGCGAGCAAGTGATAATATCTGTTGCTCATCATTGCGTGGCCATTGTGTTGTCAAGCAAAGGCTCTGCATGAGAGGCGAGATAATGCGACGAGCTCGCTCGTGTCTGAACCACAAAGACAGGGTTGTATCAGAATGCCAAGACTACGGCTGGCTGCATCATCGACGACGATGTGCAGGCAAGGAGTTCACTCTCGTGATAGCAAGGCATCAGCTGCGGAACTTGAGTGATGGTTTGCGAAAAGCGCTCAATCCAGACGAAGCGTCGGTGTTCTAACGAGTGACGTTCACAGGACGGCAAGGCCAGCCAGGCGGAAGAGCAGAGGTCAAGTCAAACGTCAGGGTCCGGAAATGAGCCTGTGGAGTTGACGTGGTCGAAGCCGAAACAGTGACTTGGTGCATCATCGTGTGTGGAAGACTCAGGTGAAGAGAGGAGAAGCTGAAGCCAAGACTTTGCATCAGGGACGACGTTGCAGAGTCACGGTGAATTCTCACGACGAGAGTTTCAGAGTTGAGAGAGCGAGAAGAGGGACGGAAGCGGAAGGGCAGCTTAGAGCGGCGAGGAATGGAGTTTCGCTTTCGCTTCTTGATGTTATCGCTATCTGTTCCTTTAGCCGTGTTGTGGAGAGGCCTTGTCATCGCGGTCCGCGAAGCAGGCAGTAGAGCAGTCACAAAGCAGCATGGCCACCGGCGTTGAGAGGGGTGATATATTGTATTCGCGCGCGGGGGTTCCAATGGTGGCTTGCAACGGCATGAAGGCCAAGACTGTGGTAGATGGTTCGAAATCGGTACCATGGCAAAACCATCATCGCAACACCACGAAGAACACTGTTCTATTAATGGTGTGAGCGGACAGTCTGCCAAGAGATGACGCCAAGACCATTCGACTCTTGCTCTCCCCCCGTGCCTGATCTTCGTGCAAAAAGGTCGACGCAAAGTCGACGTTGGTCTTGGCATGGGGTGTCGATGATGCCGAATTTACTCAGCCTTTCTCAGTGTTGAAGTGCCCTTTCTCTCCGCGTTCCTCGCTCAATCGGAGAATAAGTTTCGTGCGCGTCGAGCTTGCAAGCCGGTACAAGTTTGTCCTTGAGCTTTTATCGGCAGACAGGTGCCGGTAAAATTCCAGCGTCTAGTTTAGCCTTGTGTGTACAGCTTCGAACTCTCGATTGCGTCAGAACGAGGTAGGGAAGCATCGTCATCCGGAGCCGACCGAAGAGCTCCTTCTTTCGTACAGTAGAAACGTGCTCCTGGATCACGTAGCCGGCGTTTCAATGACTCCAGTGGATCAAATGATGACAGCATGGTAAGCAAACAGGCGTTCTCTTTCGCGGAGAATTGAGTGTTGAAAAGACTGGTGTCGTCGCTCGAGCTTTAAAAGTGTACACGTAAGTCCGTTGATGTGATGTATCTAACGCCACCATCAGTATCAATGCCAGGACCTATGCCTTTCCCACACGTGGCGTAGCCGAGGACATTCTGTCAGTCAGGGATCTGCTCGGCAACTTTTGCTAAACACAAGCCTTCTTCGCCATGATGTGACTGAGCGTAAGGGTCGAGTTCAGTGATTACGAACATACCGAAGGCTGAGTTTTCCAAAGCCCGCTCCTCGCTATCTGCTGTATTGGATGCCACGCTCGATGGTGTCCTTGGCGTGGAAAATCGGGATAACCGAGCACTGACAACCAAGACTTCAGAGCGTCTACCACCTCTCCTTCGGGGACTAGCTCCGAAAGCGTCCGATGTTCTTATCGTCACCTCTTGCTTGGATCTCGGCAGATAATGAGTCGGCCTTCTGCATAGCAGCAGGCACAGCTTGAGCACTGGATCGGCTCGTATCGCAGCTTTGGTCGGAGAAGTCCGGAGCTCCATATCAACTGAACGAAACGGTGCGTCTCGCAGTGGAGTCGGGTTCAATGTCTGTTGGAAGAAGGGACAACACATCAAAGGTGAAAAGGTGTCAGCTGATGAGTTTTGCGCTGTGTCCGTCTACCCTACAGTCTTTTGCAATGCTTGGGCTGCGTACGGAGGGGGTCGGTGAGGTGGAGAGTGCGGGGAAGTCGCGGAGGTTCATTCGAGCTTCACAACGGCCAGAAACGGAACAGCATCGTCCGAGCTCGCCCTTTTGCTGGCCATGTGCGCTCAGGCACGCCAACGTCCTAGGTTGAAGCCGCCGGCGGATTAAGGTATGCAACTTACCCGAAAAGACAATCGTCGCCAAACGGACACTGCTCGCCTCTTGAAACCATAGGGCACTTTCGCTGCTTCATTCTTTTGCGAAGTCCCTTCTTGTGCGCCGCTGTAAGAGGTTCATGTGAGTAGTGGCACGCAGCACCGTAAGCACAGCCTGTATCGGTGAAATGGTGAAATAGGCATGGCCTTGATCCAACGGTATGGGTGAAACTGTCGGCTGCATCAAGCGCCTCTGCATGCTGTAGAGCGATAAACGCAGTCAAAGCGTGGCGAGGTAAGGTGGTCAAACAGAATGATTGTGGTTAGCGCAAACGAGCAGAAGCAGACGAGACAGATCAAGAATCACTCCGAATCGTCTCTCTGAGAATCTTGGCAGACGCTTCTCCTACCAATAAGGGAGAAAGAAATGAGATTTGAGCTACTCACGTATTTCTTGCTGTCCTCGGAGACCTTCTCCTGGACCTTGAAAAGATAATCGAGATTAAGCGCCCGATGCGCATACTCGCGATACTTGTTGGAGGCTACCGCAAACCCTGGCACCTGGATCAAGTTGACCCTGCTCTCCAATAGACCCAATTCCTGGATCGCATTGAGGTCTTCCATATATCCGAAGTCGTCCAGACCTCCAAGATAAGCACGGAAACAGGCTGGGTCGCGCAAAACGTCTGCTAATGCCGCTTTGACACGCATGTCTGCTGCCTGATTTGCCCTGCCCACATTGACAACATAGTTGTGCATGCTGCAGTCCATCAGCCCTTGCATGAAGTCGAAGAAAAGTTCCCTGCGGGTGACGCGCCAAGTCACCAGAATGGTAGCTAGTGCATGAAGTGAGGCGAAGACGCGGATGCGTAGATCCAGCATATGTGGGATCAATTTGTGCTTCCTAGCGATGCGCTCGCGAAGTTCATTAAAGACGAACGCGCCTCCTTCGTAGCCTTGATTCATGTGACGAGGATCAAAGAGCAAGTTGTCACCGTCAATGATGACGGCGATGTAATTTCTTTTGCTCGACTGAAGTGCCTTTCTGAGAAATGAATCTCGTTCGGGTCCGTCGTGCATGAGAGCATACTCCTTGTTCGGGTTCCACGCTGTCTGGGATTGATACAGTCCCGCATACTCGTCCCAGTCCGCTTTCCTCAGGTCGGCGAGGGTAGGTCGTGGAGACTTGCGCTCTTCTGCAGATGCGCTGTCGGATGGCAAAGTGTATGATTCGGGGCTGAATGTCGGCGTTACTTTCTCCTCATTCGCTTTCGAGTCGGCATAGGCGATCAAGTCGAGAACCGGTTCAGATGTAACGGGTAGGTCGTTGTTGGTACTGTTTGATGGTGAAGCTGGTTCTAATATCGGCCGGTTCCCAACTCTTTTTGCGAAAAACGCTCGCAATTGATCCTGTGCTGAGGCGAGTGGATCTTCCGAGGAGACTTCTTCCTTTGCGTTCGATTCCGACTTCGCTCCTCCTCTTTTCCCTTTTCGCAGAGAATTGCTACCTCGAGGATCTGTACATGGTGGATGACTCGCATTATACGCCTCCCTATCCTGAAATCTTCTGGACGTTGGAGCGCGTTGGGACGTGTCATCATCCGATACGCGAGGCAATCTGGAGAGCTCGCCGTTCAACTTGACTTGAACACCTCCACCACCATGACCCTTCAATCCTGAAGAGTCTGAAGCCTTCTCCTTCCCTTTGAATGATGTGTGCGAATGTCTGGCTTCGTGTGCTCGCTCGGAGTACGAAGATGGGCTTGTCAGATAAGGCTGCTCGCGGACTCTAGCGATCGACGGTTCTGATCCTGGCTGTGCTCCCGTTGTATAATCGTTCAAGCCTTCCGGCGATATCCCGAACTTGTTTTGCAATACTCTGAATCGGTTCGACTTGAGTTTTGATGCTGTTGAGGGAGTTCGAAGGCAGCGAAGTTGAGACATAGCGGCCCCTGGTTGGAGGATCGAGCGGCTGGTCGAGGCAGCACCTGCAGCTAGTGCCCGCGCTGCATTCGATGATGAGCCTCTCCACATCTTCAAAGCTATCGCTGGGCTCTGTAGCCGCTAGAGGATGTCTAGATGCTTGTGATGCGGAAGCCTTCCAGGACGATGCGGAAACAAAGGTGACACTTTTTCTTCGAATCTTGTAGGGTGAAGGTGAAGCAATCCGAAATCCGAGTTTTTTTTTGGACCCTGAATGTCGAGCCAAAACACATGCTGCTCGGCTTTCCCAGCGTCCTTGACTGCTCACACTATACATACACCATTCTACTAGACCAAGACTCACATACCTGGAATGAGACGACAATAGAACACTCATCAGGCTGAGCGCTTGTCACTCCTTATCATGGACAAAGGCAAAGCAAGGCAGCTGGATCCGGACCATATTGTCATTCCTCCGCCGGATCGACTAGAAGACTCTCCCCTCACCTACAACCAGCTCGTCTCGGGCATTCTCGACTTTTTAGAAGTTGCTTTCCACACCATCCTATGCATGCGCTCGGTATACCCGTACGATGTCTTTGCACGACGCAAAAAGTACAACCACCCTTGCTACCAGTCTCGACATCCTGGTCTGAATGAGTACATCTCCCGCGTCCTCACCGCCCTTCGAAGCGAAATCGAAAGAAGCACCGTTAGCAAGGTGATCCTCGTCATTCGGCCCAATGTAGCCGTCGAAACAAGCAATGGCACCTCCGGAAGCGGGTCTTCTGGTGGATCCGATCTCAGTGCTTCAGACGCCTACGAACGTTTCGTCTTCAGCCTAGACTACATCCTACCCTCAACTTTGATAGACCCACGCGATAGAGATTTGGCAATATCGAGCAATGTCACCAGCAACGAGCTTGAGTTGGTCTTTCGTGGTTTCATGCAAAAACTCATGGTGGTTGATGGGATACTTTACGATATGCCTCAGATGCCAGGTGCAAAAGGGAATGATGCTGATGGAACCTCAAACACAGAGCTCACCTTCGCCGTCGTCCTGGAGATGGTGGACGAAGACACCTCTCCAAGCAGCAAAGACCGCAATCAGCCAACCACAGGCGACTGGATTCCAGCAGATACAGAGAACATAGGTCGCTCCCACCGCTGCATTTCATCACCCTCCGCAGTCGATCCAGCACCAAAGATCCGACCGATCAAAACCCTCGACTCGGGCGTGATCAACCTTATGCTCTATGTCGAAGAAGATATATGTACCAAGTCTGGCGCTCTTTCTCGTCCTACTAATCCGCGCAGCTCTCCGTCCAAAAGTGTTGTACGCCCGACTTCTGCCCAGCCTCGCGGCGTAGAGCAAGAGCTACTGCTATCAAAAGCGACCCAAATCGACATCACAGCCGCAGGAGGTGGCAACGCACGCGAGATCAAAAACCGAGCAAGACGTCTCGACGCTGAGAGAGACCTGGATCAACCAGCACTAGCACAAGCGGACGCAGAACCAGACATTGCACACGCCAAAAGCAAACGCAAACGTGCCAGGATGGTGCTCGGTGAAACAAGAGCAGCAGAAACAGACACAGAGTCGTCCTCTTCCGCACCGAGTTCGCCAAGTGGAAGCAGTCAGAGTGTCAAAGATGACTTCGGTGGGCAGCTTAGTGGAGGATTCTAGTGTAACTTCACTTGTCAAGAACTTCGTTTGTTCTATGCTTTAATATACACTGTTCTGCTATGCTTTTTGATCCGGTCGGAAACGGTGACTGAGAAGTAGCTCGTTGACGCGGAGGAGGTAGGCTCGGCTAGGTGATGCTCGTGGATTGGCACTTACGAGCCATTGAAGTCTGCGTCTGGTCGTATCTTTGCTGATCTCCTCCAGGTGGTTCTCCCGCTCAGCTTTGTCCTGAATGAGAGTGCGTTGGTTCGTGAAGCAAGAGGTGAGAATCGCAACGACGAGACTGCCCGAGAGGTCTTTGCCGGTTTGACAGCAGATCAGCACTTTCTCATTCTTGGTGAGGCTATTGTGTGCGATGTCAATGGCGGGAGGAAAAGCTGTTCGGATAGCGGACATGTCTTTCTTGCTTGATGACAGGTGCAGGGCGTATATTCCGCCGCTCGACGGAGGAGGGTTTAAGAGGTTGAGGGAGGAAAGCTTGTCGGACAGCTCCGATGCTGTCTCTGCTACCGCTTTTGGACGGCTCGCGAAATGTAATATCAGACCGTATCGTTGTCGCTCTTCGTCAGTGAAGGTATAGTCGGCAGATCGAGACCCAACAAAGACGCCAGTGTTGCTGATCTTGACGTCGCCAACATCGCCAACAAGCGGATCTTTTTGCTTGTCGACGTCGGTCTGTGATGCGTTCGGAGTGAACCAGTGTCCACCACTGCCATTTTCAGCTGCCTCTTGCGCAACAAGGCGGTCCACTCTTGCCTCCAGCTGAGATTTGTCGCAGGCCAACAGCTCTTCTCGATGCTTCCAAAAGACGTCTGGTGTCAAACCACGTGCCCAATTCTCATGGTCATCTCCTGCGCCTTGGACATACACGTAGCCCTCCCGTATCTTCATTCCTTCTCTTCCTGCTTCACCTGCTACGTTCGCTCCAAGGTTGGCAGAGTCATCAACGAATCTCGAGGCAGAGGCGAGGACAATTGGTACAGCTCCTGCTTGTTCTGCATTTCGGAGAGAATCTGACAGCGCATCAAGATCGGACTGCGGTGTCACGAAGACTGGCCTCAATGCTGTTTCTAGTCTCGGCACTTCAAGATCAGAATCCAGCAATGCCTGCACAAAGCCATCGATCCTGGTCTGAATCTGATCATGCTCGCTGGGCGGGATCATCCACCTCGGCGTCTCTAACCCTGCTTTCTCCTTTTCTGGAACCCCATACTTCTTCCTCGAAGCCTCATTCAACACAGCACACCAAGTTGGAATCGTCTTGCTCAGTGCATCAGGCATACTCTTGCCCCTTCTCGTCGAGTCAACAACTACCGCTCCACCCGCTTTTAGTATTGAAGGGACAAGATGGAGGTTAGATCGTTTGAGACTGAAACTCCATTGATGCGTATGTCCGTCCGTAGACTTGAAGTAAGATACCGCCGAGGTAATGCTAGGGTCGGTGTACCATGCTCCACATCGTAGATTGGCGATAAGAAGGAATGAAGGGTGGAGAGTGTGGATGCGACAAACGAAGGAAGAGTCGGCGGAGATAGAGTGAAGTTTGTTGTAGATCTGCCGGGATTCGCGCTTGATATAGTCGCTGTGAGACCATTCTTCACGAATCGAAGCTTTTGCGGAGGTTGACGGAAGATGATCCGTCGACTCGTTGGAGGCCATATCGACATGGTGACTACTCCCGTGTGCTGGGCTTGCAGGTGCGGAGAAGGTGGACGGAAGAAGGGCAAGATCATAAATGCCAGCCGAGTGGGACCCTTGGAAAATCGTTTTCTGCACTGTGCGGGTGACGCTCTGTTCCATGAACTGAATGCGTTTCGTTGCGGGGTCGGTTGGAGTGAGCGGGCTCGCTCCACTTTGCAGTCAATCACTTTGACTCAACATACTGTGAGTCGCCCTTGCAACTCAGAGAACGAACCTACGCTGGCACGGTGCGGTCGACATCGAACTCAACACACTTCGAGTTCTCACACACGCGCGAACGGTCTGCAACGCTGGTGGTTTCCGCAACACTGTCGACCAACAGCCTCCAGGCCGGCAGGGAGCCATCACGTTTGGGATCGGCACTTGTGTTCGAGCCGGAGATGGACCATGGACAACCAATCATTCAGACAACAGTCGCAAATACACAGCAGATACGGACGAGTGGGATGTACTGTCCTTATATTACTACTAACGAACCTGCACTTAGAGCTTAGCAGAGTCCTTGAACTCTCCAATCTCGTACTCAGCAGCTACCTTTTCGAGGATCTTCTCACTGTGGTAGGACCAGAAAGCCTCGGTGGCGTCCTTGCCGCAGTTCTTCAGAAGGATCTTTTTTCCTCCTGGGTGCTGCGAGATTCAATTGAATCAAGTTGAGACAAAGAAGCAAAATAACAGAGGTCAGCATGCCATTCTCGAAGGGAAGAGCGAGACGAAGTCGGAAGGAGCAATTGTACTGAAACTTACGTCGTCAAGGAAGCCAGTAACGTCATAGACTTTGCCCTCGACTGCAACCCAAGCCGAGTCCTCTGTGTAGTCCATGAGAGTCCGTCAAATCCCATCAATGGTTCGACCAATATTTTGAGAAATGAGAGAGCAGTGTTGTCGTCAGTATGCCGTTGAAGGTTGGAACAGGCGGGTGTACAAGGTTGTTGTGGAACATACCGGACTTGTGGTTCTTGAGCTCGTTAAGATCGACCTGCTTGCCCATTATGAAAAGCGTGCGAGTTTGTGGAAGTGGATGGAAATGCGATATGAGAATGCAATAAAAGACCAGTCCGAATGCGATGCGGAGCGGAGCGGATGAGATGGTATGATACGACACGATGGTGGGTGGTGGCTACCAAGGTGTAGTACAGACTGCGGCTGGGTTTGTGTGTGGGGATCGACCGGTTGAGCGCGCAAAGCCGTTAGCCGGAGTTGAATGTGAGAGACCTAAGGCAGCAGCTGTACAGATCGCGCGCTGCTGGCCTGCTCTCTCCACGCATTATTTTAGCGAGAAGGATAAAGGCAAAATTGGATTTCTAAACAACACCTCTGCCATTGGACGGCTGTTCCCTTCCGCTTTGAGCGACTCTCAGCAGCGATAAAATGACACTATAATTTTTCGGCCGGTATGCCCTCTGTCAACATGTCAGGACCGTCAAGACAGTCAAGACTTTCTCAGGTCAAGTCAGTACTGGTTGACTCGACACTGTCACACAATCCTCATGATACTATTGCAGCGATGTATCAAAGGGCGCTGCTAGTTGGAAAGGTATCAAACGAAAGCATCATGATTGCTTGAAAGTCTAGGAAGTGAACGTTGCTATGCAGGAGCAACAATACCCCAGCGCCAAATCCACTCTCCAGCCTCTTCAACCATCTCCTCTGTCACCTCGTGCCCAACCCCTGGTCTGCGATGAATCTTCAACCCTTCCATCTCACCTCTAGGCCCTGATGCCTCGCCCACAACCAGTGCTTTCAAAAAGTCTTGATTCCAATCCCACAACACCAACTTATCATTTGCACCGCTGAGCACGCAGATCTTCTTACCCCAGAATGGGTTCCTTCTTGCATCGAAGCTGTCGTACGCCGTCTGAGCTGGGTCAATCTTGTCGACGAGTGCCTTCAAGCTCGAGGGAACGTAAGGTGCAGCATTCGCAACAAACGAGGTTCGCGTGCGCGATGCCAGCAATCGAGAGTAATCGGGCATCCCGATGAAGGGCACACCGATCTTGATGCGTGGGTCGTTTGCAAGAACATGCCAAGTCGAATGACCCCCGAGCGACTTTCCGACAATGACCCATTCAGCTACATTTCGCTCGTCATGCGGGAAGAGGTAAGAGGGGAGGAAGTCGACAATGAATGAAGCGTCGCGTGCGCCGCCGACGATCATTCCGTAGAGGTCCATGGCGTGTTGCGTGTTTCCTTGCTTCCATGCCTTTTGACCTTCAGGATTGGTGGTTCGGTGACCATGATTGCGTGCGTCGAAAGTTACGACTAGGTGGTCTCGTTGTATCGAGGAAGTAGGGACCATTCCGGCATTCTGCTGCGCCTGGTAATCGGATTTATCGCGGGCGATCCGGTCGTACAGCTGACGTGCGATCTTCTCTTCCTTGTCTGCTGTACCTCCACGACCGTGCATGTGAATGACAACGCAAACCGGTGGAGGTGGTGGTGCACTTGCTCGAGATGGAGCAGGCGTCAATTCCGAAAGACCAAAGACGTTGACGGGAAGACCAGCGAGGTCAACGATCGACTTTGAGATGCTGTCACCATACTTGAAGGGTCCTGATAGAGTTGTGGCACCATCAATGTCTTCGCCGTTGACGGGTCGAGATGAACCGCGTCTCTGCACGTCCGGTTGTGCGGGTGATGAAGGTCCCGCTTTGGCTTGCTTGTTTCTCTTTCTTAGGCCCAGGACCATTTTGTCTTGCCCCTCGGTGATGTTTCGAGCGGGAGCCTAGATGAAGCAATGATCGTAAATTTCTCAAGGTTGTGGTGGTTCTGGATCAAGAAGCGCTAAGCGCCAGAGGTTAACTTGCAAGTGGTGTTGGTTGCTTCATTTCGCCGAGCTAGAAGTGCAGTTGAAGATGCACCGGCATCGCCAACGCGTGATGCATTAAATGGGAGTTCACAGGATCGGGAAATCGGGAAGGTATCAGGCGATGAAGAGGACGAGCAGAATGCGAAGCTAGTGGGAGCTAATGCAGCGTATGCACGAGGATTAACGCCATGGTATGCAGGGGATGTGTTGACATGACAACACTCATAAAGAAGATACGTGGCACATGGGCATGACTCGACATAGAGAGCACAGTCAGGTGGTTAGAACATGTATATATGCCCTTAGCTCAGTCGTTACCTCTTTATGACAATACAAGCCCTTTTACATAGAACATCAGATAAAGGAGTGCCTGACCGTGGTCTCCTAGTGGTGTATCTAAATTCAACTGGCTCCCAACGTGGGGCTCGAACCCACGACATTCAGCAGATATGGCGGGAGATAACGATCGCCAAGCCAGCACGGGTGAAGTAGCCAAGAGGACAAGAAAAGGTAAAACGCCACAACGAGTACAAATTGACGAAGAGGTCACCGACGGTAACGAAACCGAGTATTTTGACAATGAGGATGAAGGAGGATCCGAATCGGACGACGATAGCGACCGATACGATTACCGCACCCTGGCCAAAATCTTGGAGACGGTTCCAAAGCTCACGTCACGCAACTATTACAGTTGGAGCACACTCATCAAGGCCAACCTTCGAGTAGTCCCTCATGCCATACGACACTTAGAGGGCACGTACGATAGAAACCACCCGAAATGGAACAGAACTTTTGACAACGCCCTAGTGGGTGTCCTACGAAGCACCTTAGACACCGAAGGAGAGTACAACGTTCTTTACCTCCTACTCGACATCAGCAAGAACCACCTGACCTGCCATCAAGCCTGGAAGAAGATCGAAAGGAGCCTCACCAGTGAAGTAGCTAGAACCTCGCGACGGATAGCATTACTTGCCGAGCTCAATGAGACAAAAATGTTTCATGCTGACGCCCGTAAGCTAATCCAAGAGATCAGGGTCCTACAGACGGAAACTAGCCTTCTAGGTGCTCCATTTAGTAACGATGCACTATACTCCGCGCTCCAGAGATGCACGATTCGACACCCAGTCTACAAGGAAACAGTCGCCACGGTTCACCAGGTCAGCTTCGATGCCCTAGCAACGGCGTTGACTACACGCCAGTCTGCAATGGAGAGTGTACCCGGCCAGAAAGTGGACCCACGTCAAGCAAGTGCTAGAACGGCTGTGGGAAGCGAAGAACAGGCCGAGGACACTGAGTCGGACACGGGCAGCACAAGAACCAAGTCAAAGAGAATTCGTTGCTGGGTATGCAAGCGCTACGGACACGGCGCCAACAAATGCGATGCTTCCGTCGCCATCCCCGAAAATTCCCCCCTCACCAAGACCAACTAGGAGGTCTGGTGCTCTTTCACCCCGAGTTGGCGGCAGCTCCCAAAACCAGAAGGAACCACACGTTGGATCTTGGATTCGGGAGCGAGCTACCACATGGTTAATGACCACAGCATGCTCATCCACCCAAGAAATTGCAGAAAGCGCGTGTATACCGCTGGAAGCGAAGTACTGGAAGCAACTGCTGTGGGAGATACCAACATAGCGACAGAACATGGAGACGTTTATCTCCAAAATGTGTTGTATGTTAGAAAACTCAATATTAACCTGTTGTCAACCAACTCACTCACAGATGAAGGAGCACGTGTGACTTTAGACCCCACAGGCGGGCAAATACACCTAGCAAATGGCATGTTATTGAAAATAGCGAAAGATCGCGAGCGTGGACTATTAGAGTTCCGAGGCGACACATGGCGACAAAGCGCGATGACTACATCAACACCGCTGTTTGAAGGGGTTGATGAAGAGTTCGAACTGGCCGATCGGAGACCAAATATCTCCACAAGACAGCTCTGGCATGAACGCCTAGGACATCCAGGTCGAGACAAGTCCAGAGCAATTGTAGATAAATTGAAAGGCGAACCTGTAGCAGCATTGGACCCAGATACAGCTCTGATATGTGAGCAGTGTATACGGTCCAAAAGTACGGCCGCCCGGATGGGGCGAGGCAGCGGCGAAACAGCCGCGGGGCCCCTAGATCTCATCCACATCGATCTGATCATAGATTCATCCCGCGTGACAGAATACACGTGCACATTGGTGCTTGTCGACGACCATAGCAAGTATGTGCACGCACAGCCACTCTTACGAAAGAGTCACGCATTCACGCAACTCAAAAGAATAGTTTCGTTCCTAGAGACACAGACGGGCAGAAAGCTGAAAGCAATCCGATCTGATCAAGGAACTGAGTGGAAGAGCAACGAAGCATTGGAATGGTCATTAGAAAAGGGCATAGAGTGGCAAACCACTGTCGGTTACAACAGCAGACAAAACGGACGAGTAGAACGGATGAATAGGAGCCTGGGTGAGAAAATGCGAACGCTGTTGATGCAAAGGAGTTTACCAAAGAGATTTTGGCCGCACGCCATACGAGCGGCGGCATTCAAAATCAACCTTACTCCCAACGTTGACGGAGAGTTTCCATATCAGCTCATGTTCAAGAGATCACCAAAACGATTCGTCAGTCTCATGCGTGTATTTGGATGCTTAGCTTGGGTAAATATTCCAAAAGCTAAGCGAAACAACAAGAAGCTGGACCAACGAGCGGTCGCAGCCGTATTCATAGGGTACAGCTTAGAAAGAAAGGGATGGCTATTCTATAGCCCTGATTACTCTCCGAACGTTTTCTGGAGCAACTCGGCAAGGTTCATGGAGACACAGTGCTGGTCAGACCGATCAGAATGGCGGCCAATAAGTATCCGACCTCCACCAGTCCCAACTATTGAAGAGGACATCGATGATCTGGGATACACAGAGGAGAACCTATTTGATGAGAGGGAGCAAGAGCCTTTGGAAGAGCACGTGGACATGGAACTAACTCTCGAAGAGGAAGGACTCGGAGGACCACATTGTGACGATGAGAACTCTAACGGGATACCAGAGGAAAGGAGAACGACGAATGAGAGGGAAGAGTATGCACCGGTGCCACCCGAGGAGAGAGGCCCATGGCCGAACTGGAGGCCAGCTAGAGACATGCGCAACCCGGAGACCTGGGTAAAGAAGAGTTACTTCGGGTTGACGGCGGCTAAGGTCAAGGAAGGAAAGGACAGCCTGAACCCAACTGTCCGCGAAGCGCTGGCCGGAAAGGATAGGAGGTTCTGGGAAGAGGCAATGCGCAAGGAACTGGATGGGCTTGAAGCGATGGGAACGTGGGAAACGACTGACCTACCGCGGGGTATGAACACAGTCGACACACGATGGGTACTCAAGATCAAGACTGATGCAAACCTCATCCCCACAAAGTACAAAGCAAGATTGGTAGCGCGAGGGTTTACACAAAGAGAGGGCTTAGACTACACAGAGATATTTGCGCCAGTGGCACCCATCCAGGCAATAAGGGGAGTGCTGGCCATCGCAGCCGTACGGGACTGGGAGGTTGATTCCATCGATGTCAAACAGGCTTACCTCAATTCGAGCCTACGTCATGATGTTTACCTAAAGCCACCGGTAGGAACTAAGGTACCTCCAGGAAAGGTATTGAAACTCATAAAAGGGCTCTATGGTCTAAAACAATCAGGTCGGGAATGGAATATCGAGCTAGATACCCACCTCCGAAGTATCGGCTTCCACTGCATGCCGAGCGCCCCATGCCTTTACTCAAGAGGAGCGGGCGACCAACTCACAGTCATTACGGCATATGTGGATGACATGCTGATAGCATCGCCATGCAGGAAAGAAGTCGACCGTACCAAAGCCGAGATAATGGACAAGTGGGGAACAGAGGACAACGGACCTGTAGGAGAATTCCTAGGAATCAAAATCACTCGAGAGAGGAGACAAGGCAGGATCACACTCGACTTAAGCGCATACATTAAAGGCATGGTAAGTAAGTGGCTAGAGAGAACAAGTGAACGAACTTGGATACCGATGCAGAGTGTAGCAGGAGTCGCTGGAGGAAACAAGTGCAACCCAGATCAGGCCAAACGATACCAAGAGTTAGTGGGGCAACTTCTGTGGGTATCCAACACAGTGAGGCCAGACATTTCGTTCGCAGTAGGCGCTTTGGCACGATACATGTCAGAACCGATCGACAGTGCTTGGAGTGCTGCGATACACTTGTTAAAGTATCTGAATCAGACCAGCGAATACCGCTTAAGTTTAGGGGGAGCACACAGGAGTCACGCGAACCAACCGGTGGTTACGTATACCGACGCAAATTGGGCTTCTGACCCTACAAATGGGCATAGGAGTACGTCCGGAGCGATCACATATGTGTATGGATGTCCGGTTAGTTGGAAATCACATGTGCAGAAGTGCGTGGCATTATCGGCAGTGGAAGCAGAACTGGTCGCAGCCTCCGAAGCAGCAAGAGAAGCACTCTTCTTCTCACATTTGCTCAGGGATCTAGGAGTGTCCGGAGTTAAGCCAATACTGCGCACCGATAGCCAAGGGTGCATACAGGTCAGTAAAGATCCGGCCAAACACTGGAAGCTCAAACACATCGATACCAGATATTACTTTGTTAGGGATCATGTGCAAGATGGCGACATATCAATCGAGTTCGTCGGAACGGCCAACAATGTCACTGACATACTCACGAAACCTCTCAAGGGACTCCATACGACAAGGATATCAAGAATGATAGGATTGGACATGCCGTTGAGGGGGGGAGTTGAAGATGCACCGGCATCGCCAACGCGTGATGCATTAAATGGGAGTTCACAGGATCGGGAAATCGGGAAGGTATCAGGCGATGAAGAGGACGAGCAGAATGCGAAGCTAGTGGGAGCTAATGCAGCGTATGCACGAGGATTAACGCCATGGTATGCAGGGGATGTGTTGACATGACAACACTCATAAAGAAGATACGTGGCACATGGGCATGACTCGACATAGAGAGCACAGTCAGGTGGTTAGAACATGTATATATGCCCTTAGCTCAGTCGTTACCTCTTTATGACAATACAAGCCCTTTTACATAGAACATCAGATAAAGGAGTGCCTGACCGTGGTCTCCTAGTGGTGTATCTAAATTCAACTAGTGCGCACAGATTCTATCTGTATTCCGAGTCCGACTCCTTTTGCACTGTTACATCGGCTCTTGCTACTCTCGACATTACAAAGGAAATTAAACAGCGGAAACCAAAAAAAGGGAGCAGCGGATGCGGAACGAAACAAAGCTCTTCTTTGACGCACGTTCCAGTTTTTTGCATGTCCCGTCTTTGCAAAAAGTGGAGCACGACCGAAACTCCACTTCTACGACCTTGCTATCATAGGCTCATCACGGCTGTCAACAAGGCTCGTTGCGATCGCACCCACTTGATTTACTTCTTTCTCCACCTCTCCATCTGTCCAAGCACTCCTTCTCCTCCATCTCATCTCCTCGTCAAGTACGGAACCGCTGGATTCTCCTACCCTCGATCGGTTTCATTGGTCGGACCTCTTGGAAAATCTCCTTTTGCTCTTCTGCCTAACGATGGCAAAAGGATCACTTCTGCCCATCCTGGGCCTAGCTCTGGCTGGTCTGCTCGCTGGAGCGGCCACTGAGTACACAGCCTTCCTTCTCTCTTCCGACAGCTCCTTGCGTGACTTGGCCGCCTCCTGTCGGGTCCCATCCCGTCAAAAGCTACGCACTGACATTACTCACGGCAACCTCCCACACTTGGACAACATGCTCTGCACCACCATGACCTTCTTCCGAACCGCTACCGCGAAGCGCATCAATCTCGGTCTCTTTTCCCTCATGGCTGGCACAACTCTTCCCCTTTCCTACCGTCTCTGCTTCCAAGCAGTCTCACCCAACCGCAAGACGACTCTGTACGCAGGTTTCGTCCTTATCCTCCTCAACATCGTCGGTGCAGCACTTGGTCTTGGACCTTGGACATGCTTCTTCTTCACTTTCGCATACCTTCCTGCTGCTTACAGAGCAATGAAGCTCTCCAAAGCCTCGGTCGCACCAGTCCCAACACCCGCTATCAACATCTACACAGTCAACCTCCTACACATTGCAGTTGCCGCCACTGCAGCCATCGCCGCTATCGCCGACGTGAAAGGTGCACTTTGGAACTACGCTGCTCTTGGTGTACAGTTCGCCGGTCTCGCTTACTTGCCGATCGCATGGGTCAGCTTCCGCACCCCAAAGGTCAACGACGAAACCAAATCCCGCAGCGTCATCCGCCGCTACGATGCAGAAGGTGTTAGCTACGCCTTCGAACGCACCTGGTCGTACTACCGTAAGATGGCCCTCATTTCGGCTGTCATGTATTGGTACGGAATTAACAGGATCATCCGTGGCTACTGGTTCCAGGGCGAGACCTTTGACGCTACCTCCTTCTTCTGGCTCGGTGACATCTCGGGTTCTGCGTTGGCTTTGATTTTTCTCGTGGTCTCGGAGAAGTTGACTTTCAGGAACAAAGCTGCAGTGCACCCTGTCACTGGTGAGCCCAGATCGCCATTGGATGTGGAATGCGATAAGGCGATTGCAAAGGCTCCTGCTGGATCGCCCTGGTTGGAAAAGTCGACTGCAGGTTTCATCGTCGGTAGTTTGGTCGCTGGTCCTGGGTTTGCGGCCAGCATGTGGTGGTGCAGTGGAGAGGAGGAGTTGGGTTGGAAGGCACGCAAATCTTGGAGGGAGACCGTGGCCGTTGATGGCAAAAAGGGCAAATAAACAGCGATCTCTTGTGCTTCCTGGGAAGCACCTGCTTCGTCTATGGTCTCACAGCAAAAAGAACCGCCGCGAAGCGCGTTGTGTTCTGCAACCAAAACATGTAACCAAGGTCTACCCCTTTGCTTCTTCTGTGTTTTCACAATCCAACAGTTTGCTCGTCAGTGCCTTCAATGTATCTCGTGAGGCTTGCGAAGGGGACAAGATCAATCGACTGGCTGTCGTTTTGTGGCTATATGAAGCTTGTTGTGCGACGTTGGAAGAACGTGAAAAGCTGAAATGCACGTCCGCTATTTTTGACAACTGTTGGAACCGTTCGGGCCTTCTAACTTTCCGAAACTTTCGAGTTCTTCAATATGCTTTCCTCCTTCCCGCCCACCAACATCACCTTCCAACATGTCATAACAGACTCAGCTGCGAAGGAGCCGAGACGCTCCTCACTCATCTCTGCAACCACAAGGCCGTCTCAAGACATGCAGCGCCCTAGCTAGCAGCTCGGCTGTGCATCCACTCACGACTTCGTCTTAACATCCACACCATGCCGCCTCCATCTGGCCCAAGCCCATTCTCCAACCCAGTCTCCACCACCACCGAGCTTTGGCAGCGACTCGAAGCACGGCGACCCCTTCCACTCCAATTCGTCCTCAGTCTATCACGTCGACCCAACGCCTCGCTCTGTCCGTGCCTGCAAGTTGATCTCCAGTCCACCACCCTGTCAGGTCGCTACTTCACCGTCACTCGCATCCTCGACCCAGAGCACCGCGTACCCTACGTCTCTCTCACTCCTCTTCTCCTCGCTTCTGGCCTATCTCTCATCGAAGGTTTACTCCGATTCAGCATTCCCCTAACCTCCTACGATCTTTCTTTAGCAGGCTTAGAACCATTCGATGATTTTTGGATCTCGCTTCCGCTTGCTCGATCGATAGCTACCGAACTAGACCTTCTACCGAGTCTCGCTGCGACGTTGGATCCAAAAACGGCGCTAGCATGGAGCCTTGATGAGTTCGGCGAGGGTCTATCGCATAATTGGAGAGTGCCGGAAGAAGTTGTCTCTGCTGCGAAGTATAGCACTGATGCGATGCTGAGCGAAAATGCGGCTTTTGGAAGAATGCAAATTCTGCCGAGAGGTCAACAGATAAAGACGCTAGTTTCGGGTGAATTGAGAGGAAGGGTAGTGAGGAGGGCGCAAGAGAGGAGAAGAGAGGATGGGTTTGTGTTGCATCAGAGATTAGTTAGATGGAGTGCTCAGGTGTATGCTGTTTGGGATGATCTGAAGGATCTTCTTGACGTGCATGGTGAAGATGGGGAAGCCAGTGAAGAAAGGCAGAGAAGGTGGAGTAGAATAGTGGAAGATCTGAGAGAAGTGACAGTTCCGCCCACCACTGTGGACATTACTGAGTGGATGCAGCTCATCTCAAGCCCTTCCTCACAGAGCCGCTTTCTGACGGAGACATCAGTAGCGCAGACGCATGATGAAGCACAGCGTGAAGAATTGGATATGCTGGAGCCGCTCTCACTAGCAGAGCTATCTCAGCTTCGCTCCGACTCAGACCTCAGCGAGACGCTCTTCAACGCCTTCGAGGGTGGAAATATGGAGTCACAGATCGCGAGAACGCGGTCAGTCCTGCGTGCAAAGCTATCTACTTTGCATCGGATGACTCTGCTCTCTGTCCCACACCTTGCTTCCGCTCGCAATGAGGACGATGCTAGTAAAGAGAATCCTCTTTCTCACGTAGGTCAAAGACACAACCCCGTTCAACAATGGAGAGCTCTTCCAGACCCTACAGAAGACAGAGCCGAGTTCAGAAATGTCGAAGTCGCGATGCTACATGACAAGATCGACAAGCTCACAGCTAAGCTGGACGCCTTCATCGGGGCCCAGACTCGCTCCTCGACAACAAGGTCACTCTCAGCGTCGACAAACGATCATAAGCCTGAAGCTGCAACAAGTGATAGCGTTAGCGTCCACCGACCGGCAGACCCAATCGTTGGCGTACAGCCTGCTGCTAGCGCATTCATCGACAAGCACCCCTCACTCGCTCAACCTTCCCCGACTGCAACATCACTGCAAACGATCGAAACAAAACCTTCGCTGGTCATCATACTCATCTCCATCGCACTGTTCTTCGCACTCATTCAGTACCAGCATTGACATACGCACATCCAATCATCTACTTGTACAACAACATCGCATTTCTAAGACAAATAAAAAAAGCAAATCTAGCCCTGAAGAGCAGCACAAACCCCCTCCCTCCCCACATCCAATGGTCCACGTATCGCCTCTACCGTATGCCAAAAAGCATAAGCTCTCCTGATACTAACATAATGCGCTGCTGCAGCCCCAAAAATGAGCACGTGGAAAATCTGATGACTTGCCCCTAACATATCAAATCTACCTGGTGCGAACCTCTCCGGCATCCTTGCTGCATATAAACCTGCGCCCAGCACATATAGCGCCCCTGAAGTGATGAGGAAGCGCAAACCCATTGTTTCTGTTATCGTCCTGTACCCATACAACTGAACCACATGAGCTACTGGAACCACCGCAGATAGACCCAACACTAGAAACACTGCGGTACGATAGGGTCGATATGCAGGAGTAGCATAGCTGGGTGCCAACACAACATACATCGCCAGCCCTCCTAGAAGTATGATAGCGGAAGAGTAGGCGAGCTGGAAATGCGGATGGCAATAAAACCCATAGTGAAGGGCGGGGAGGAAAGAGCCAACGATCATGACTACTATCCCTACGTAGTCTAGTTTGTTGAACTTTTTGGAGACCGAATGGGAGTGACATTGAATGGCGTGGTAGGTGGAAGAGAAGCCGAGACAGACGATGGAGCCGACGAAAAAGGCGCAGAATCCGAGGATGTCCAGGGTGTCGGGAGCGCGGATGGTGAGGTTGGTTGCTTTTGATGCGATGCCGGATGGGGAGGTGGAGGAGAAGAAAAAGGATAGGGCGCGGCTGAGAATTCCGCCACCCGTCGCAGTCGCTGTTGAGGTGAGATGGGAGTGTGTAGAAGTCGAAAAAGGATAGGAAGCGGAAGCAAGACGAAGCACTTTCCCTGTTACGGTGGTGAAAACAAGACTGGAAGGATAGAAGATTCGATGATGCGAAAGCGGTCTAATGAATGCTGGTAGCAGCCCGAAATGCTGCAGAAGATGGCTTGTCGATAATCCGACTGAGAACACTGCTCCCCAGAGATGGGTGTGAATATTCACTGTTTCCCAACACAAACCAAACGCAACGATCAGCGACTTGTCCAACAATGTACATGAAGCAGTGGAGAAAGGGTAGGAAACTTACCAGTTTCGTTATGCCAATAAGCCCAAACGCTCTTCCAGCATTTATACACAGTATCGTGTTCAAAGATTTTTAGCCTTTCCCCCTCTCGGTGTGTTCCGCCTGGGCGACGGTAACCTTTGACGATCCAAGCGTTGTCCTGTGCCCAATTCGGAAGCTGCGAATGATCAACCAAATATGGATTAGACTCGTCCTTCTCCTTCTCCTCCGTCTCCTTCTTCGCTCCAGTGCCTGCGGCAGAGGAGGAAAGTATAGGAGTGGCGAGAGGGGGGATGGTGTGGAAAGGCGCACCTTGTACTCCAGCAGCGACCTTGAGCGTGGTGGACAATTCGTGAATAAAGATCAAAGCGATAATAGCTGGGAAGAGGATCCAGAGGCCGTTAGGGAGAATGTAGAGGAAGACAAGGGTGTTCCAATCGTTGTGGCCTGTTTTGCACCAGCCGCAGCAGTAGTCCTAGACACCCCGCAAACAAATTTCTCCGATGTCAGCAATCTCTACAACGACTCACTCTAATAAGGGAAAGCCGGGACTTACGTTAAGAGCATAGAGAATGGTCTTGGAGAGCGTCATCGTCACAGCAATCAAGCCCCAGACGGGCGCGACTGCAATCGACTTGGGTGTAGCTTTCAGATGGACGAGATAGACGTAAAAGAGATTGAGGAAGCATTCTACGACGTTCATGAGCGATTGTGCTGCGGGGAAACCGTCCTTAGCATCCCAAGAAGGCAGGCCGTAGATGTAGTCGATGTTCATATAGAGCTTGTAGGGAGACCAGATCCAGTGGAGATCGCCGCCAAGGAAACTGCGGGGTCGCAAAAGAATGTAACCGACATCCCAGGCAACGACGAAGGAGCTGAGGAACAGCCAGGCCGAGATCAGGGGACGAGGACGGTGGACTGCTTGTTGTGCTGCCGCCATCTTGAGGAAGGAGCAGTCGAATACGGCAAGAGATAGAACGGAGGTATGGATGGGAGATGATGGCGGGGGAGAAGGGAAGGGAGATGATGGCGGGGGAGAAGGGAAGGGGAGGGTGTCTGGATCGCCGGAAAGAGGATCGTCGACTTGCGGGGTAAGGAAAAGGAGAAAAAGAAGCGGCGGCGGCGTCGTAATGTGAAAGAGAGGGTCCAATTTCTGAAAGAAGAGAGACACGCCTGTTGTGAAGCATCTGCAAAAATGGTCTACAGCAACGCTCTCTTTCTTGCCTCCGACAGCCTAATGAGTGAAGTGCGATGCTGCTCAGTTGTGGTCAATATTCTCATCGGGCATTTGCAGTTAAGAAAGGATGTGAGATTGTAGTGTGATTTGATGCGTAAAAGTACAAAGGGGATCTGAGTAAGGAGAGGCAAGTTGTGTTTTCGCCCTGCGCTTGAATGTAAATCGACAGCAAGAAGCAAGTCGCCTCTATGAGTCTAATCATGGTCGTCATCAAAGGCAAGTCCATCAGTCCTACTCTGCAACTCCTCCTGCTCCTCTCGCTCTCTCTTCTCCTTCTCCCTTTGTTCTCTTGTATACAAGCTCCAGTCTACTTCCTGTGCACCCTCCTCCTCGGCTTCGTCCTCCTCAAACGTACCACCCTTCTCGAACAGCTGCTTACCACTTGGCTTGACTTTACTCTTCTTGTATTCTTCCCTCTCCTTCGCGGACATCTTGCTCATCTTTGCCTCCTCTTCCTTCTTTTCCTTCTCTGCCATCTCTGCCAAGAACTTCAGGCTCCAATCTGCGAATCGCTCTGGTGTGACAGCTGTACCACGGAACTTGTCCGCCTCGGCTTCAATCTCTGCTTCCCTCTTTGCGCTTGCTTTCGCCTCGATCTCTGCTACTCGGCGTTGAACCAGTGTTGTGACGCTCTCGCGAAGGTGCGAGGCAAGAGTGAAAACCATAGCCATACCAAGGGATTCTTGTGCTACTTCGTCCAAGCCCGATTGGAGTTCTGCTACTGCTGGACGATCTAGAGCTTCTCTTTCCTCGTTGTCCTCTTCATCAGAGGCGGCAGGGCCGAGTACGGCTTTTGTGTCTCGCAAGACGTGAATGGACATGTTTGGCGGTGCATCTGGGTATTCAGGTGTGTAGTGGATGCGGAGGGAAAGGACGATGGGTGATGGAGAGCCGTCTTCTACGCTTTCGGCCGGCGCTTGACCTAGTTCGAGACCGATAGAGAACAGAAGCGGTAAGACTTGTTCTTCTGGCTCAATGCGAATGTGAAGCTCTTCTGGGGAGATCCTTTCGAGTTCATCGATGTAGATGCTTTCGAGCACTTCGAGCTCTTCCGCCAATGTTGCTTCGTATTCTTCTCGTGATGGCATCTTTGCTGATTGCCTGATTGCAGCCGAGATGCCTGGATTGCCTTGCACTGCTTGCTATCTGGGCCGACAGATTCAGGCAATGAGGCGAGTAGTTGCCAAGGGAGCTTGTTCGTTGGGTGTCTAACGTGTGTGTCTTCGAGACAGTTGACATTTGCTTGCAGAGAAGAACGAGAAGCACACTCAAACTGACTTCCGATTTCCACAATTCTTTCAGGTCTCGGGCGATAAGTTTCAGAGCACAGCCCAGCCAAAAGCCAAAGATGCAACGCGAACCCTGAAAGTAAATTGGTGCCATTTTAGCGCTCGCGTGAGCTTTGACCACGAGCCAGCACCCAAAAAAAAAAAAAAAAAAAAAAAAAAAAAAAAAAAATAGTAGCACGACGCAGCCCGAGCCGAGTTCCGCGTTATCGTTGCGCTCGCTCCTGCACGCACGCATGCAAGTGGAGTCTCTCATGCTTACTCTTGTCATTGCTAAGGAATACTATCGCCGGACCATCGACTTTCCTCGCCAAGCGTAGACAACTCCGCGACCGATCGCAGGCCTCCCGCAGAGCACCACCTAAATAATCAGAGAGCTCCTCAAAGGAGCCAAGTCGCAACAATGGACGACCACGCTTCGCTTGAGATGTCGGCAGCATACGGTGAGCACTACTATCTCAACTAACCTTTCACCATGGATTGTGGCAATCTGTACTAATACTCCGTACCATCGCTCCTCTCCCGCTCTGTCCCTTTATCGCAGACTTTTTGCTCAAGTTCATCATCATCGGTGAGGCTGGCACGGGCAAGTCGTGCTTGCTACATCACTTTATTCACAATCAGTGTAAGTTCCAGCTCAAGCCCCATTCAAGCTGTAGCATTAGCTCGACATGCTAACCACAGCCTTCTTCACCTTCATCCTCTGCCAAACACGCTACAGTCAAGGACCAATCAGCACACACCATCGGAGTAGAGTTCTCAAGCCGTCTCATCAAGATTGGCAACAAAAGTGTCAAACTTCAGCTCTGGGACACAGCAGGTCAGGAACGTTTCCGTTCAGTCACACGCAGTTACTACCGTGGAGCTGCTGCTGCTCTTCTTGTCTATGATATTACAAAGTACGTCGCCCTCTCTTCTCCCTCTAATCTCCACACGCCAGCTAACGAATCTTCCGATTCCTGCCCTGCTTCCTACCGCAGACGATCGACATTCGAACCCCTCTCACGATGGCTCACAGATGCACGCGCACTTGCATCTCCAGACCTTGCTGTTGTTTTGGTGGGTAACAAGACAGACCGCGGGGAAGACGAACGAGAGGTTGGCTACTTGGAAGCGAGTAAATGGGCCAACGAGAACGGCGTGTTGTTCCTGGAGACCTCGTCTATGACGGGTGAGAATGTTGAAGCGCCATTCGCACTCGCAGCGAGGAGTATCCTACTGGCGATCGAATCGGGAAAGTTAGATCCGGAGAAAGCGGGCTCTGGTGTTTCGTACGGAGACAGAGCGTTGAGAAGAGTAGGTAGTGGCAGTAGGTTTAGCTTTGCAGATATGGATCCAAGCAGTATCAGGCCACACAGGAGAGGTGGAGCTGCGATTAGGATTAACGAGGTGTTTGGGGATAAGATGGGTGGATGTTGTTGAGTTGTACACCACGTTTGCTCTTTGTTTGGTTCGTTTGCACGCTATATACCAGATTGTCGTTCGTTCTTGGCTTCAATCACTACTTTGTTGATCAACGTACCTGCTTCTGTTCCGCTTGGTCCCATGGCCAACCTTCTCATGTGAGAAGCCGGACTCCGACTGATGCTCTCATCACACACCGTTCTGCGCTGTCCCTTGCACGGGCAAAAGTGATTCTGCATTACGATCAGGGAATAACAAAGTGACATTGTGACAGATGAAAAAGAAAAGAAAAGAAAAGAAAAAAAAAGAAAAGAAAAAAAAGAAAGAAAGAAACACCCTAAGCCTAAGCCTTGTTAGCAGGGTCAGTTCTAGGAGTCTCCTTCTGTTCCTTTACTTCGTCCTTTGCAGCATCTACCGGTGTGACCAGTGCATTTCGCATCGTCTTGACAAACGTGTTGTAATCCTGGAAAGCACCCTTTGCCGCATTTGCTTGCTGTCCTTCATCCTCGATATGGATCGAGGCGAACCTCGCATCCTGTACACCCCATCCTCTGTGCGAAGCAACCTTTTCAATCGTTTTGTGCAACACTGGAGCTGTTTTCTTGATGATCTCCTTCTTTCCCTGCTTACCCAGGTGCTGTTTCGTTTTGGCTTCAAGTTGAGTAAAGACATCCTTCACTCCATCTGCATGGAAGAATGAATCGAGAAATTCGTCGATTGATACTACTCCGTCGTTGTTGAAGTCCCTAACATCACCTTGCGACTTTACGTCGGGGCTAGCCCCATGATCAGAAGAGATGGAAAGAAGATGAAGCGCACCACCACCAAGCACAGGTTTCGACTCGGTATGGGAAGAAACGGTGGGAAGCACGTTTCCAGATTCGAACATATCCATGGTCCAAGTGACATTCTCGAGTGAGCCTGGGTGGAGGGGCGGAATGGAGCCCGAGAGGATAGAGTCGACTTCCGAGGACGAGAATGAGGTGCCAAGGTGAGAGGCGATGACGGATTCGGCCTTTTTAAGCATGAACAAGCGCATGGATTCTTCGTGTTCGACGGAGAAATCGGCGTCTGAGTCAACAGTAAGCGACAGGCTGGGATCGGCAATAGAAGGGGGAGAAGAGGAGGTGTGCGAGGACGAATAGAACCAAGAGGAGGAAGATGAGGCACCCTTTGCTTCGTGTCGTGCAGCTGGGTCTGAGACAACAGGAACAGGATGGTGGTATTGTTGATTCTGGCGGCTACTGAGCTTGATCATTCGATGCCTTTGTGCGGAAGCATGACTTGTGAGGCCGAGCAGGCACAAGGCTGCGAGAGAAAAGATCATTGGACACTTCATGGTAAGGAAGGCAGTGATTGGACCTCAGAATCTTGATTTGATGGCCGGAGGGTGATAGCAGCCCCAAATTATGGGACTCAGCTCAAACAGGCAGCCTTCTTATAGAGCATTCAAAGGGTACTGTGAGGTGGGTTGAAGATGGTCAAGACGCCGAGGACCATAAGGTACAAAGCGGACACGTGCCTTCATCTGAATCGCAAGGGGTGCTTGTAGTGGGCTGAAGCGACCGTTGACACGCCAATCCTCCTCATTAGCCTGAACAGCAGCCACAGTTGCTTTTGGCCGCACATTGTCGACACCGAACCCACTTCCGACCTTACAACCGGCCGGCGTGGATCCGTCGACGCACGTCCACACGCTACTACCACAACACTTCGCCTTATACTGGAATTTTCTTGCTTTACTGATGCTTGATTGTCGACATGCTTTCTGTGATTGTGTCTGTATGGCCTACGAGCTGTTGCTGCATCTACCAAGGAATGATATCATTCTTGTAATCCCTAAAAGTACCATTGTCGCCCTTCTTGAAACCACTCACCACATCCACCAGATTCTTCGCTGCCTCATGTGGCTCAAACTGCGCCTTGCTCCTGTCCAACGGCTTATCGCTTCCCTCACCACCCGTGAAATCCTTGCTCAAATTGCTCCTAACCGTACCAGGGTGCAAACCAACCGAAATGGCCGGCACGCTCCTCAACTCCAACTCCTTGCTCAACGTCTTAATCAGCTGGTTCAACGCCGCCTTACTTGCCCTATAACTGTACCAACCACCCTTCTGATTGTGCCCAATACTTCCCACCTTTGCACTCAAACTAGCAACAATGCTCAAATCACCCGGCAAAACCCCTTCGGCAAGGTTTTCCACATTCCCATCCTGAATCTTCTTCGCTTCCGCCCCGCGTGGGATCAAAGGAACGAAGTGTTTGAAGGCGAGAAGATGGGAGAATGCGTTGACTGCGAAGGTGTGGTTGAGCTGTTCGAGTGAGATTTGGGAGAGGTTCTTTTCGGCGTGGAGGATACCGTTGATATTCCAGAGAGTTTTCAGGCAGGATTCGCCGAAACGGGATGAGATTTCTTCGGCAACGGAGTGGTAGGAGTCTTCGGACTTGATATCGATGGAGAGAGTGTGAAGGCGAGAGGAGTCGAGGGAGGAATCGTCGGAGAGGATGGCGTCTTTGGCTCGAGAGGCGTCGCGAGAGAGAGCGACAACTTGAAGTCCGGTGCGAGAGAGGTATTGCTTGGCGATTTGGGCGCCGATACCTGAACAGCAGCGACGGTGAAGGCACAGAGAGATTAAAATGTCAGTAAGACCGTCAAGCTAGACCAATCGATCAGCACGGGCAAGGAGGATACTCACCACTACCGGTACCTTGAATGATAGCGACGTTGGGAACCATCTTGAACAGTTATCGAGTGGGTTGGAGAAAGTTGGAAAAAGGCCAGTGAGATGGAGCGGGAAGGTGTTGATGGTGCGGAAAGAAGCTATCCTCCATGTCGAGTCAAGTAAAGAAGCTAGTTTGTATGCTTCTATGCAATCCGGAAGAAGTTACAATCCTCTCTGAGCAGGTGGAGCCGACAGGCATCATGCGTTACTGTAAGCCAGCATGCATAGAGAGAGCTGTCAAATTGACAAAATCGATGGGATGGTTCAGGGTCCTTCTTCCATGCGTCATTCCCCAGCTCAAGTAGGCAGGCCGTGGTGAGTGAGAAGCTGCAAAAACCTCCACAACCCAAGCTCAAGCAAGCCAGCCGTATGACCATGACTGATGTGAGCCTAGTTGAAGTTTAAGAGTAATAAACACCACTTGGTTGGAGCTACGATCGAGCTCCTTTCATACAAGTGTATGCCAACAATGATGCTTACTTAGATTCAATGAGTTAAGGCTACAAACATGGGCATATATATGTGTTAAAACCATCCCTGAGGATGCTGTGCTGCTTTCAATGAGTCAATTGTCTCTCCTGTAGGGCCCCTTTGAGCCATCCCTCCTGCAGCGCTCCTGAACCATTGCCATGTCATCCTTCGTGTGTTTCACATGTCTGAGTCAGCTCGTGAATAAGTGGCATGTGCTTTCACAAGCTTCAGCAATTGGATAAACTCTGGAGATTTCCCGACATATCTTCAACTAGCCTTCTCTCACAGTGAACGACACTTTCTTCTCAACTGCGAGCTCTTTTGCGGTTCTCTACGGACACAGGCTTGCCAAATACACAGTCAACGATTCAAGATACTGGAAGGAATAAGCGTGCATGTCTAGAGATAAGATAACATTGTACAACCTGATAGCGAAACAGAAGCTGATCCTCCGAACTAATCGTCGTCAAAGGTAATCTTCTTAGCCTTTCCGGGCACAAGCTCCTTGAAGTGATCACCATAGCTCGAATGTGTCTTCTTCTTGATTGTGGTAGGGAACTTGGTCAAGTCCTCTGGCACCTTCTGATCGGCATCCTTCAACACCCTGATCAATTCACCGGCATGCGCCTTGTCCATTTCAGTGAAGAAGGTCAAACTCTTACCCGTCTTACCACCACGACCTGTTCGTCCGATTCGGTGAACGTAGTCCTCGATGGTCAATGGGAAGGTGTAGTTGATGACGTGCTCGACGTTGGGGATATCGAGACCACGGGCAGCGACATCAGTTGCTACGAGCAGCGGTGTCTCTGCGGACTTGAACCGCTCGAGCGAAGCAATGCGCTCGTTTTGACCCAAATCACCGTGAATGCCAGAGACGCTGAAACCGCCGCGACGGAGTGTCTGCTCGACACGCTGGGCTTCCTTCTTGTACAAGGCAAAAATGAGGATCTTGTCCTTGGAACTTTGTGCGTTGACGGAGCGGAGGAAGTCGTTGAGTCGGCGTTCCTTGGCGTAGCCGTCAGCGAGGACTTCGACGGTCTGCTCGACACGTCGGTTGGCGGAGAGCTCGTCGGAACCAACAGTGACGCGGACAGGACCATTCATGAACGACTCTGCGAGACCACGAACAGCAGGAGGCCAGGTAGCGGAAAACATCGATGTGTGACGACCGTCCTCGCGAGAAGTGCACATGCCGATGATAGCACGAATATCAGGCTCGAAACCCTTGTCCAGCATTCGGTCTGCCTCGTCGAGCACCAGGTATGTCACATCGGACAAGTCCAATGATCCGTCTCTTGCCATATCAAGAACACGACCTGGTGTGCCGACGACAATGCGGACTGTGGGGGTCTGGTTGAGCAATCGCACCTGCTCCTGCTTCGAGACACCACCGTAAAGGCAGATCATACCGATACCCATCGACTTGCCCAGCTTGGCCATGTTCTCCTCTGTCTGAATTGCCAGCTCTCGTGTTGGTGCTACTACGAGAACATTGACTTGCGCACCCCTGCCCTTCTTCTTTCCACCTTCCAAAACCTTGTGCTTGGTCACCAAGTGCTGCAGCGCAGGCAGACCGAAAGCGAACGTCTTGCCTGAACCCGTCTCGGCAATACCAACAACATCCTTGTCCTGCAACAATACAGGCCAGCAGCATGCTTGAATGGGTGTAGGGGTGGTGAATCCTTGTGCGTCAAGTGTCTTTTTGACGGCAGCATCGATCTTGCCGTCAAGCTCGCGGAAGTCCACCATCGGCAACGGTGGACGCTTGTTCGACTCCTCAGGTGCTTCGATGGTGATGTTGTTTGCCTCGAGGAAGGCACGTGCGGCGGCAGGGTTGGTGGGTGTGAATGAGGTGGATGCTACCGCAGCAGGGGTAGACTCGACCGAGGAAGCGGCCGCAGTAGCAGCGACTTTGGCAGAAGCCTTCTTGGCCTTCTTCTCCTCCTTTCTTCGCTTCTTGGCTGCCTTGTCGTCATCTTCGTCTGAATCATCAACAGAACGCTTCTTGTCCTTCTTTTCCTTCTTGCCCTTTTTCTCCTTCTTGGCGGGAGATGCGGGCGTGGGAGTGCCCTCGGCGCTGGAGGAGGCGGCGGCTGCGGCTGCAGCAGATCTTTTCTTCTCCTTCTTGTGCAGCGACTTGGCGCGATCCTCGAGCGCCTTTTCTGTTGTGCTGGTTGTCATTTTGTCGAGATGCGCTGGAATGTGGTACGGTGCAGGGTATGTATGGTGTGAAGAAGAGATAATTGCCCCCACTCTCGTAACCAACACAACTTGCACACATTCCTTCTTCTTCCTTTCTCCACCCTGAGAACGGATGGCGGGGACCAAAAAAAGCTAAATTTCCAGCAGAAAATTTCCACATTTCGCGGACAAATTTTCGGACCCTTCCCGATGACATACATGCATCGGGGCTGCACCAAATGTGTGGGATCTAATCGGCGATGGGAAATGTCAGACATGGCAAAACGTCAAGAGACGTCACTCGCTTAGGCGATCCGATCCTGGCCTTGGTTGGTATCAATCATCCCGCTGCGAGATGCTTCTTTGTCATGCCAGATGTCAACCTCAGATCTAATTGTAGCCCACAGTTGGCCCGTCTTTAGAGACTTACTTGAGCAAGATTCGAGCTTGTGCTTGCGCTGCCCTGCGTTTTTCTCCCCGCTTTGTCAAGGCTGAGTCTGTCCACCAAACATCCACTCAGCCATGCAAAAAGTTTCGAAGTGATTAAGCTTCTACCCTCTCTTCAGAACTGTGTCAGCTGGCCTGCTGCCTGTCTTTTACCCGTCCCTTCTGCGTTGAGAGTTCCATCGAAGGTGTTGGTTTCGCGATGCAGTGTGCGCTCGACGCCATTCTTGACCTGGATCCATTGAGAAGGGTTCTTTTCGTCGCGGCGACCGGTATCTCGCTGTATACGCTCTTCGATTTCGGATACACGCTCATCAGTGCTGTTGCTCTTACCATCATGCATGGTGTAGCTGCACCTTCGTCTTCCTCATCTCAACCTGGGCGGGTCAAGTCAGGATCCAAGGCAAAAGGCGGAGATAGGCTGAAGCAGCTTCGGTCGACCAAGCAGGGCGGAAAAGAGTCGGAAGGAACAGAAACAGAGACCGATGACGAGTCATCTGCTGCCTACCAGGCTCGCACCTTCCAACACCAGCAGCTTTCGCTCCGCAACATCGACTTTTTCCCATTGCTCAACCCAGCTGGCCTCACTCAGGCAACAACAGTGCATCGATTCTGGAGCTACGCTTGGCACCGATTGTTAGGTCGTCCCTTCGGCGTCTATGGTATTCTTCCGTTCACTTACGTCGCCTACCTCCTGCAAGACCTGTGGCAAGGCAAGTGGAACGATCCTAAGTGCAGACAAGTAAGACGATAAATCTGGCCTTCCTACCGCCCTGACCCCATGCGTGCGTTGGAATGTGGTCGAGCAGACTGGGCAAATGTCCTCGGCGCATTTACTGCTTCAGGTATCATTCATTCCGTCTCCGAATGCGCTGCATTGGGCGGCCGAGTTGCTGTGCCAATCACAAACATCTGGCTCAGCCGAGACCATGCGAAAGGAATGGGTCACGAGTTGAGGAACGAGCCGGCTCTGGCGTTCAGGTTGAGCCCGCTGCAGTTCGTGCCGCTGATCTCGGGCGCGGGCGAGTTCAGCTTTTTCTTCCTCAACGTGTTGCAGTTGTAGTTGAGGGTGCGGTGGGTTCGTAGCGTGATCAGTAAGGAGGTTGGATTGATTCTGGAGTGAACTTTGGATCAAAAATCATATGATATCTCTTCTATACATACATCACAGCAACACACGGCAATAATATCATTGCAATGAGTTGTGAGCATGCCGTCGACGATTTGGTATGAATTTTGTGTGCACCTTTGTGAGGCTTTTTTTTTGCTGCAGGGTCTCGGTGAAATTCACGGCCTTCTAAAGTCAACTTTTTCTTCTCAAGTCCACCTTCGCTTCTTCGCATCATCGTCCTCTCCAGCAATTCCACATTGCCAGCGTCACCATCAGGCCAAGTATGGAGACTGCAAGATCACTCTACTCAGCATCAACGGGCCTATGTGCTGACTCGGTCGAATCAGTACCCGGCTGTCCTGGCCTATTTGCCCTAGCCACGTACCAAGTAGACAAGCACGAACAGAAAGAAGCTCAATCCTCCTCCTCTTCCTCCACAGCAGCCGTACCCACACCGGACAATGACGCCGAAGACGACCCAGAAGACGCTCCACAAAGCTCAAGTCCAGCCTACACAAGACGTGGCACATGCAGTCTCTACTCGGTCTCCTCTTCCCTCGATGCCGATGGAAAAGTGGACTGCGAAAAAGAAGACATGATCGAAACGCCCGCTATTCTCGATATGAAGTGGTCTCTCACCCGCACTGGGGATGGTGTCAGAAGGAAGCTAGGTGTGGCAAATGCTAAGGGCGAGATCACACTGCATCGCCTACAACAGAGCAGCTCGGGAACAAAGCTCGAGTCGATGGGGAAGTTGGACTTCAACAACCATAACGCTCTGTGTCTAAGTCTTGACTTTTCTGATCGCAAAGGTGGCTATCCTGGCGGCTATGACGAGAGCAACCTCAATTCGGACACATCGTTGATAGTCTCACAAAGCGATGGATCACTAGCATATTTGTCAAGCCTTGAGCTCGCACTATCCTCCACCAACCCGTCTTCTGTCGAAGAAGTCACCAAGAATCTTTTCAACGCATCAATACACAAGTCAGCCGATAAAGACGAAGAAGACGACTGGGACAAAGCGTCAGAAGACGAGCGACAATCTTTTCTCCTCTCCTCCCATCTCACCCTCAACTCCGACTATCCCACTAAGCCTAACAGTCTGACAACCTGGAAAGCACACGACTTCGAAGCATGGATTGCCGCCTTCGACTGCTTCTCCCCCTCCACCGTTTGGTCTGGTGGTGACGATCTCACACTCAAAGGCTGGGATCTTCGCTCTTCCCTTTCCTCAACGAGCATCCCAGAACCAACATTTAGCTGCAGCAAACCGTTCAATGGCGGTGTAACTTCTCTCCAATCTCACCACTTACGGCAGCACATCTGGGCGGTAGGATCATACGACTCGCATCTAAGGTTGTGGGACGCTAGGATGCCGGCGAGTCCGTTGAGTGAAATAGAGGTTGGTGGAGGTGTGTGGCGGGTAAAATGGCATCCGGAGGACGCGAGGAGGTTGTTGGTTGGGTGTATGCATGATGGGTTTAAGGTGTTGAAGCTGGATGAGTTGGGGCAGGAGGGTGCAGGGGCGAGTGAACTGAGAGGGAAGGAGATGGAGGTGGTGAGGAGGTTCGATGAGCATGAGAGTTTGGCGTATGGATGTGATTGGGATCGTGGAATAGAGGACGGTGTTGGGACAAGAGTTTATAGTTGCTCTTTCTATGATACTAGACTGCACATCTGGAAGGCATAATTGCACAGCAATCTTATCTTTGCAACACACTCAAATGCTCTCAGTCAGTGAGACAATTCGAACCTTTGTAAGTTAAGATTGATAATGCTGTGCTGGTATGTGTGTATGCTAATGAATGTGTTTGTGTATATTTATGCTGGATGTGTATCGTCTCCTCTCCTCTACAGTCTGATCTCACCGAGCCTTCACTCCTCAGCAGCTCTGCCCAACTCCTCCCTCACCGCGCGATCCGCATACCAACTCCTCACCTTGGTATCATCACCAACCGAACTTAACGTCGGGCCATTCGGCCCGTTCGCCCAAGCCACCGCATTCACCTCTGTGTTCTTCACATGACCTTCCATCAACACCGCCATCCTATTCTCCCGACTCCGACTCGCGAAACCCATCTCCAACCCCGCCGCCACTCTTCTCTCTTCCTCCGTGTCTCTCTCCGCTTCATCTCCGCTCTGCTGCCTCCTTGCGTGCTCTCGTCGACTAGTGACATCCCAAAGCGCAATATTACCAGTATTGCACCCGACAGCGAGAAATCGATCATCGAAGAGCGCCATACGCGAAAAGAGCGTGTTTTGGCATTGAACTGGGTCGTACAGTGTCTGCACCTCGGACGGTGTGAGATGCGAGTCCAAAAAGGTGGACAGGGGGAGGGAGTAGATCTTTCCACCGGTGCAAGATGCGTAAAGGGAGGTGTAGGAGGAAAGGATCTGTGATACTCCATGGGCTCGTTTGAAGCTGCCCAGTCCAGTCGTGGACGATGGGGTGAGGAGGGAGAGATCGGGTGTTTCCCAGGTGGCTATGATGCTTTGTGGGTCGATCTGAGAGACTGGATCGCTAGATTGGGAGTTGCGGACGTGACGAAGATCCCAACACTTGATGATACCGTTTGCTGATCCACCGCTGAGCAATTTGTGTCCCTCGCCGTCTGGCAGGTAGGAGAGGGCTGTAACGCCGGCTGGCAAAGGCTGTTGCGCTTTCTTTCTCCCTCTTCCACCTGCCGTTGCAGTGCCATTTCGGAGTTGCTTGCGACCCTTCAATCCTACTGGAGCTCGGGGTGCGATCGAATTATGCGCAGCATTGATCGTCAACACAGGCCTCATCACCCCGTATCCGTCCTCGCTCTGCCCACTCGCACCCACTCTGGCATCCCAAATCCTCACACTCCCATCCCTCCCGGCACTAGCAAAGACCATCCCACAACCTCCATCGCCGTTCGTCGTCGGATCAAAGACAATCGTCCTCGGACTTCCATTGTGCCCTTCAAAGCTGCCCGTGCATTTCTGATACTCTGTATCCCAACTCCTAACCCCGAAATCGCTCGATCCTGACAGAATGCTGCGGTCGTCAAACCTCCATACAACCTCGAAGATCGCTGACGATGACGAAGCTTGCCATTGCGGATTGGCTGAGGGTGCTTTTGCGGTTTCATCTTGCCAAGGGAGAGTGTCGAGGAGTGTGATCCGTCCTTCATCGTCTCCAACGGCGAGCCACTGGGCAGATGGGTTGACAGAGCGAGAAGAGTAGCTGTAGGCGGCTGAGATAGGGTGTGAGAGAATGTCATCGTCGCAGCTACGGGGAATTCGGGTCATGCAAGAGGATGGTGAGACGAAGGTTTCGAGAAAGGAGGTGGTATTGATTAGGTGGCTGTATGCTGCAGATGAGGACCGGCTGCTGTGTAGAGACCGTCTGATGCGAAGGTTCTGCAAAACGTGAGGAAGAGAAAGGTGGCTGTTCCGGCCTCCTCCAAATGCAGATGATGGAGGATCGAAAGTGTGGTGTGACGAGAACCGTGATGTGGATGAGGTATATGCTGAGCGCTTCTGGCTACTCGATGTCAGGGTATGGTATCGTTTCGAAGGACTGAGAGAGGCAGGAGAAGGTCTCGCACGGAGGCGAGATGGGCTCTCTTGCACGACGCCAGCAAAGTCATCCTCGAAGCTGTCCAAGATGATGGGTCGAAGGGGTGATGATGTGGGTGGGGTCATGAGACCATGTTCCTGACGTTGCTGACTGCGTTGTTTGGCAGCTTTAAAGATACTGAACGCACGCGAAGGGGTGACGTTGCCACGTATGAGGAAGCCCTTCTGACGTTTTGTCGGTGTGGTCGGTATCGCTGCAGCTGCAGCAGCTTGTTGCTTTGTCGTAGCTGCTGTTGCAAAGGTGGATGCTTTCTTGGGACTCGCTCCCAGCCGTGGTCTCCTGGCTTGGTCCCCGGACGCAGGTGCTTCGTCACGAATACGATCTGATACGGCTCTCCTGACAGGACTTCCGATAGCGCTGAACCTCGGCCGTGTACCACTGATCCGCCCTGGCTGAAGACTCTGTCTGCCCCTCGAGCCACTTGCTCTTCCCAGCACCGAGCTGTCACTATCGCTATCGCTGTCTGTATCATCCTGAGCGTCGTTATGAAAATCAAAGTTGCAATCCGAAGCAGCCTCTTCATCCGACTGATGACCGAGAAAGAGTTGAAGTGATTTCTGTTTAGCCCACTGGTGTGGTTGGAGGATGTCGTGCCGTGACGTGCTTGCCAGCACGGATGGCGATGAGGGCGGCGAAAACATCATCCTGTACGCCGTTGGTCGATGATGATGTCCCGTCGTTGTCGTCGTTGCCGCTATGGCAGATGATGCGGTGTGACAACGAGGGTTACACGAATGACCACATTGTCTCGTCTCGCCACCAGTCTTCTGAACGCCAAAAAAGTGGCTAGACGCGCTTCTTTACACTTTACGCGTTCAACACGTCTCAATTGCGTGACGCTTAGAGTGCGAAAAGTAAAGAACACTGTGAGATCGAGCCTATAGAAAATTTCTGGCTTTTTCCGGTATTGTGGAGGTATGGCACATAAAATTTGAAAGCTGAGCGCGGACCAACTGCATTATTCGGCATCTGATTTTGTGCATCCTTTCTGCGTTTCCGCGGTGATTAGGAGATGCTTAACCTGCCGCTTGGTGGCGGCTGTACACTATCACTCAGCCTCAGCAGCACACGACATCCTTCCGATCAGCCACCAACCACCGCCAACCTCTTTTCAAGCTACCACCAATATAAGTCTGAATAGTCTGATGGTTCTAGCTCGCACTAGCCATCATACCAAAGCAATCCTCAAAACGCTTCCTCCAACTCGCAACACGCTTCTCGGCACAGGCGCTCTCGTTGGCTCCATCGCTGCTTTCTCCTCCGGCTACTTGAACCCTACCTCTTTTCAAGCCGTCGCCCACTTCACACCCACAGGCTTTTTCAACACACTGCGCTTCTTCTCCGCCACGCCCGCCACCTCGTTCAAAATGGGATCCACCGCCTCATCTCAAGCACCACCTGAATCCTTCCCCAAAGGCATGTCCAACGCGGAATGGCGTACCAAGCTCAACCCCGAGCAGTTCCGCATCTTGCGTGAAAAGGGAACTGAAATGGCCGGTACGGGTAAATATAACAAGCACTACCCCAAAGATGGTGTCTACACATGCGCAGGGTGCGACTCGCCTCTGTACAAGGCAACAACCAAATTCGATAGTGGTTGCGGCTGGCCTGCGTTCTTCGACGCTATTCCGGGCGCGATCGACAGGCACTCGGATAGGAGTTGGGGTATGGAGAGGATTGAGATCACTTGCAACAACTGCGGCGGTCATCTTGGACACGTATTCAAGGGTGAGGGATTCAACACGCCGACGAATGAACGTCACTGTGTAAACAGCGTCTCTATCAACTTTGACAAGGATGATGCCAAGATCTGACTGTTTTTCGGCTTTGGATATATAGCTGCGCCTTTGTCATAATGTAGATCTAATTTTGCCCAGTTTAGGTGTTTGTGTGTACGAATTTGTGTCATAGGAGAGTGGCTTTGGCAGTCATGCACACCGTCCCAGCTTCGTTCAGGGCCCAGAGTAAGGCTTTCTTCTTGTCTCCGCCTTCCCACGCACCTCGCAGTCGAATGCGTTGCTCGACTGTGAGAGGTGATGTTGCGCGATACTCGAACTTCTTCACTTGGCTTGAGAATGCGCGAGCAGCACAGGCCACGAGGTTGAGCAACAATGTCGCTGTGAGTGGACCATGTACTAAACAGTCTACGAACCGCCAAGTACAGAAAACGTAATCAGTTAAAGGGAGCCTGGACGGAATCTAATTTGTGGAATATGGTTGCTGAACTTACCTGGATGCCCTTCCTCATTCCTACAGTATTCTGGATCAAGGTGGATGCGGTGGGCGTTGAATGTCGCAGCAGAGTATCGGAACAGCGCTGCTCGTGTGGCATAGTAATCGAATCCAAAGTCTGACTGCTTCGCCTCAACTGTATCAAGCCCGGTTAATGAAAACACGGCTGTGTTAGCTTGCGTGCCCTTGCGGGCAACGTCATGTCCTCTGCTGCTACTTACCTTCCGAAGTATTTGGTGTCGTATCCGCCGGTGGTGGAACGTACTTACGCTGATCAGCAGGCATCTGCTTCCTATACACATGAGTCCTTCGCTCTGTCGACACAGTCCCCATGTCAGCCTTATACACCAACTTCCTGGTAACAAGCACCATCAATCCCGTCTTTGCTCCTTCCTTCGGCACAACGCTCTCCACAGAAACCTCACATTCCACCTCTTGTCCGACTCTCAGCTGTGCGCCCTGCTCGAACTCGAACGATCCACTAGCCCACATACGCTGATCTAGTCCTCCAGGTGGACCAAACCTTCTTTCTGTTCCATCAGTACCGAGAGTGCTTTCGCTAAGAAGGGGGTTGAATAAGACTAGCTCAGTGCCTAGTGGCACTGCTGCACCTGATGAGAGAGATAGTATGTCTTCGGAGCTATGCTTCTCTATGAAGCCAGGGGAAGAAGTGACGCGAGAGGAAGCATCAGAGAGCTTGGGAAGAACGAGGAGCAGCTGGCGTACTTTGTTGAGGTCGGCTGTGTCGCGCGACTTGGTTGTTTGAGACTGGATGGCTCGCGTCCATCCTTCCAGGCTTGATTTCGCAGCCTGATCCTGCTCCGGTGATGTGACGGTGTACGATAAGTAGCGTGGAGCTGCGCCGATACTGAGATGGTTTGCTTGTACGAGGGTTGGCACCAAAGCTCGAGCAAGCACTCTTGGCGTGACCAGTCGCAACATTCTGGATGAGATGCCTTTTCGACTAGGCCAGAGCATGTCGATGCTGGCCAAGGGACTGTCTAACAGTTAGTCAGGGAAGCATAGCTCGTTGTCGATGGTTGAGTGTCTCGTTCGTGCCGGCCAATGCTCCGGTTGCAAGCTTTACGAACTACGGAGAAGGCGTAAACCCCGCTCACGGCGGTGACCGAGCGCTTTTACGGGCTTTCTTCTACTGAGTGTGAGACCCTTGCGAGCAACACTCGATGAAAAAGATGAACGCCGGAAAGCAAATCTTTTGGAAGAAACGATGGCGCCATAACTAAAATTGTGAATGCCTCTGCAGCGAGAAGAAATGGAATTGGATTGGCTGGTGGTGCTGGAGTGACTGATTGTCCTGCGGATAGGTGCAGCTGATAAGTTAGCGGTAGATGACGAGCGAATGCAACACCGCACAGACTCAAGCAAACACTCAGGGTCTGCCCGGCAAGAAGAAAGTTGTCGAAAGTCTATCAATTCCAAAAGTTCTTGTCGAGCTCAATCGCCTCGCTTTCCTTTCATCAACACCACCACATCTCTTCTCAAGAATCACGAACACGCACACAAGATGGCTACCAACATCACCTTCCATCCCGGTCATGTCTCCTACGAAGAGCGAGCCGACCTTCTCAACCAGCAAGGTCTCACAATCTGGCTCACTGGTCTCTCTGCCTCGGGCAAGTCGACCATCGCAACCGCTCTCGAACAGCACCTTCTCTCTCTCCACAAGTCTGCCTACCGTCTCGATGGCGACAACATCCGTTTCGGCCTGAACAAGGACCTCGGTTTCTCTCCCAGGGATCGCGAGGAGAATATTCGTCGTATCTCGGAAGTTTCGCTTCTCTTCGCCTCCTCCACCACTATCACCATCACTTCGTTCATCTCGCCGTACAAGGCTGACCGTGAGATCGCAAGGAAGCTGCACGAGGCTCACGTCCCCAAATTGCCTTTCGTTGAGGTCTTTGTCGATGCTAGCATCGAGACTTGCGAGAGCAGAGATCCTAAGGGTCTGTACAAGAAGGCGAAGGCTGGAGAGATCAAGGAGTTCACCGGTATCTCGGCACCATACGAGAAGCCAGAGAATGCAGAGATCCACATTGATGCCGACAAGACTTCGATCGAGGATTCTGTTCGCATCATTACCGAGTACTTGATCAACAAGGGCTACCTTAAGCTCTAAGCTGTGTCTGTAGATGACAATGTATAGATCACAAGGCAGTGTCCCGCGTCAATTGCGACAGCCATACTGTCTTATCGGTCATGCATCTCATCAATTTGATGCTGTGCGGCCTCGCTACAATAGAATCTGATAATGATCTCAAACCGGTACCTTGTCTGTGTAAATGCGTGTATATGTAGTGACAAGGGAAGGAACCGTCCAGCAATCCGAGTTCGATGCCATGTGCGCAGAGATGACACTCTACGGCTTGCGATCAGCATGAGAGCAGCATGGTTCAGGGCATTCAGCACCGAATAGCGTTGACGAAGGCAAGTAAGAAACTGACCTGAAGAGGAAGAAGTTCTAACCCTAGCCCAAAAAACATGCAAAAAAGAACTGTAGCACCTAGGATTCCCACGTGGTCTCCCACCGCAGTACTGACTAGGCGATACATAGATGGCCAACGGTGGCAAGGCGTTCTTCTTCTTCTTGCCTACATTGATTTCCTTTTCGCTGAGTTCACCATCCTCAAGCGGTGACCTAGTCTCATTGGCACCAAGCCTGTTTCATTTCAGCATGCATTATTAATATACCATTGCATACGTGGAGCAACTACTGCACTAATAGGATCGTGTTCCGCCCACAGGTCCATGAGATGAGCCCCTGACATGATCTGGTAGTACTAAAGTTTGGGCTTTAATGCGTGTAAGTATACATGTGCTTCTCAACTACTGATGACTCCGCTTGCTTCGTTCGGCCTGATTGTAACTCCTGAAGTCAGCAAGCTCTGCAGCATCTTGTCATTCCTTTCTCGACCATTGTTCAACAGCTGAGCTACATGCGACAGCACTTCGGATGACCCTAGCTCAATCTTGTCCTCCACCAGCGGATCCGCTCTTGCAGGTCCACGATTGAGAACCAGTACGGGCTTCTTCTGATCCACCGCCTGCTTGGCTAAATGGAAGGCCGTGTAGGTCGCCAGACTTGTCCGAGCAAGACCGCGTTGGCGTTGTCGATCAAATCATACGAGTGATCTCGCAATTTGTCTGACACCGACTCTCCAAAAAAGATGACGGCCGGTTTCAGTACACCGCCGCAGTTCGGACAAGCGGGGTAGTTGAACGTGCTGTAATTGACGTTGTGAAGCTCCATGTTACGTTATTACGTGCGCAAGCTGTATGCGCGGTGTAATGGTGTAACTAGATGGTTTGCAGGAAGGAAGGAGAGATCTAAGGAGAAGCTAGTTTAAGTACTAGCTTCCGTACAAGCAAAGATTTGCACGATGATATCTCTCGTGCGGTTAGTATTCGCACGATGAGAGTACCCAGGAGTGACACTCCACATATCCATCTGGATTCGTCTTACCGGGCCTGCACTGACCCTGGGCATACGTGGAGGCGCAATAAGCAGAAAGGGCGAGATCAGTGGGGACGTAAGCTTCTGGTCGATCTCGACGAGATCGGTCAGGTCAAGCCCATCCGATGGTTCTCGCCGTTCGCACTGCGAGAAGGAGATACGGATGCACCAGGAGCCAAACGGCCTGACAAGATAGGAGGGACGGCCGTAGTAGGCTCGTCACCGTCGCCGGTAGCGAAGGGAGGCATACGGGATGAGGTATGCAAGGGAGGGTCCCGACACTCGGATGAAGTAGACGACACCCCTCTGCGACGATGAAGCCGCAGGCCTGGCCGGCGGACATGGCAGAGGTAGAGGTTCGCTCTCCCTGGAGGAGTAGGCGAGTACATATAGTTGCACTTCTCTGCGAGGGATGGGGCTGGGCTTCATCCACTCTACATCTTACTATACACTACACTTATCTTATCTTATCTGGCTATAAGCGCAGTATCACAGTCTTTTCCTTAGTATCGTCTCCAGTTGCGATCGCAGGCATTGCAACTCCTTCGTGTGTGTGTTGTATCGCCGCTTCTAGAAGTTGTCTACACCTCAATCGACGCTACGGCAAGTACCATCATACAACTGTCTGCATTACGAGCGCTCGTGCAAGGACAGGCATAGTCATATCACATATCAACTCAAGTATCCAAGGACTCTGAACGTGTCTCGCTACCTCTGAACGGAGTGTTCACAGCGGTTAGTCGAAACCGGCCAGAAGTCAGTCTTCCAGCATACCTCACTGAGATCTGCCAGAAGGAGAAGGAGCTCACTCGATAGATTTCACCGAAATCGGTCGGAACAAGCTCAACCAGCAGATTTGGAGTTTCAAGCGCGACCCCTGACAGCCATCACTTTGTCGAGGAACCATTTGATGGCACACGTGTGTGAGTGTCAGTGGGGGTCAAAGGTCTGAGGGCAGACCAAATGGGGGGAAGGTGAGACGAGAACTTCATTACTCCAAGGAGATAGATGACAAAGGTAACGATCAAACATGATAATGAGAGGTGACGCAAGCCAATGGTGGAGGAATCGGGACAGGTCGATCTGATCAGGGATTCAGGAGGACCGATCTGACGTGAGATCGGGAGCAACGCGGCCCCGCCCATTGTCATGGTAGATCATTAGCTAGGGGTCCCACCTTTGGGAAGTGCCACTCAGATGTATATATACAAGACAGAGAGCACTAGGCTCTCGCCGCATTTGTTTTAGTCAATTGAGTATATTTGTTTCTGCCTAAAAGTAGTAGTGACATCGTACTCGGACTCTCCCCGATCACCAGTTATCGGGACCGAAACTTCTTTACTTATATCATCAAGGTCGAGGAAGTGGGTCCTAATTCTCCAGAGGACTGTAGGACGCGTGTCAAATAGTGCTGCATGCGACATGGCGTGCACATCTGAGCTGGACTACGGTTGAAGATACGTCGGAAAATTTCCGGGGTTTGTCCAGAATGCCGACAGGGCGAAGCTCGTGAAAGCATACGCCACTTATTCACAAGCTGACTCAGGCACGTGAATTGCATGAAGGCTGACATGGCAACGGCTCAGAAGCTCTGCAGGAGAGACACTCGACTCACCTAAGGCTGCTCGATGTTCTCAGAGATGATGTGAAGATATATATACTCATGTTTGTAGTCTTAGTTCACTTGAACATGATCAGCATTGCAGTTGCTACACTACTGTACGAAGGGAGCCTGATCGTGGCCCCAGCAAAGCGGTGCCTCTATTTTCAACTACTACCTCGCCTAACGATGATCAGACTCAGAATCAGGGCGGAGTGTGAACAAAGTAATGTGTGCAGAACACCCTCGTCTGTTTGACAGGGTCAGATGGCAGATGGCAGTGACATATCACAATTGCACACAAAGGGAAAAAAGCTGTGGGAAAGACACGTTCGTGTGGCTTTTTGTGTGTGCAGACGTTGCGCAGAAATTGACAAGCGAGACTTTCCCGTCCTCATCCCGTTGCAAGTCGAAGGGGTAACTTGACTCGACCTGGAAAGATAACAACGCAGCAGCATAAGCAAGCTCACATGGGAATCAAGGCAAGGGTAGTCGAGACTCCGACTGACAAGCTGCTGCACTGCAGAGCTCTGACTCGCCCCGGCTAAGCGCCCGCGACCCAAGTCTCTTTTCCGCTGAGACTACCCTGTATGCTGTGATCTACATACATATAAAACTGCGACGTACCGACTGGCGAATCAGGGTTGTCTCCCCTCTTCAGTGCCTGATCCTACATACCCGACCACCCACTTTCCTTTTCGTGAACCACTAAGTCAACATGAAGGTCTTCGCATCGTTGCTTTTGCTCGCCCTTGCAGCCGTCGTGGCTGTCCATGCCAATGTCCAGCCCACCCCTGCTCCTCGCATTGAGAAGAGGCAGTCTTGTGAGTAGCCCCCTTACGTCCAAGCTATCTTGATCCTATACATACCGACATCAATTCTGACCCATCTTTACTGATCTCAAATCATCTCCGCAATAGTCGACCCCTACAACCTCTCGCAGTACACCGACCAGGGCGCGATCTCTTCGCTTTCTGCCTACATCAACTCGCAGTTCGGCGGTCTCGAATCCATGTCGCTTGGACCTGACATGTCTTCCTACCTTGCTTCGCAGCGCAGCCAGGCTTACTCGTACCTCTCTCTCGCTTCTTCCATCATTGCCAACGGTGGTGCTAGCAATACGAACCTCGGCTCCATTCTTGGCTCGCTCACCGCCACTCAGACCGCTGGCGCTGGCAGCGCTCCCGGAAGTGGCAGTGGCAACGGTAGCGGTGGATCGGCTGCTTCGGCTGCTTCAGCAACCAGCTCCAGGGCTCCCAACGCTGCTGTGGGTGCTTCGGCACAGATGTCGAGTGTGATGGCTGGCATCGTCGTTTGTACTTTCATCACTGCTTTGGCTGGTGCTTTCGCTCTCTAAATTTTCCTTCAGGCTGTACATATTAGCAGCCCAGTACGAATGAACCCGCTTGGCCGACCTCTAGATGGCCTTGTCAGCTCATCGGCCTGGCTAATGAACCTTCACGACCACGATACACCACGTCATTGAAAACGCACAATACCTTCACCATAAATGCAACCCGTGGCCTGATTACACTGATTTTTGTTGATTGAAAGGGTCTTGAAGGCAACCCTGTGTCGATCATTATCAGTGCAAATGAGACAGAGAGCAGATATAGTCTCAGTGCGAGTTGTCGATAACGTTGCGTCAAGGCTGTGACATGCCTCGGATTTCGGAAGTGTGTGAGGTGAGAGCAACGGCCGATTATTTTTTGATTTGAAAGCCTCCACAAATTTTCGTGATCTTCAGACGTTCTTCCTGACCCTCCAACAACGACACCTCCTCCTCGATCCACTTCAGAAAGACCGAATCGAGCATCAAAAAGCTCCAACGGCACCTCAGACAGACCAAAAACCAAATCGTAAAGGTACCAATGGCAGCACCACTACTTCGTAGAGGAGCTGCTTCAGCTTCGGGGTCTCTTCGAAGCATGATTGCTCGAACCGCATCTAACTCGAACAGAGCATCCTTAAGGCAACTTTCGACTTTGCTCAAAAGAACGCCCCAGCCAGCCTCCCAGCTTTACCTTGCTTCTGTCCAAGTCTCAAGGAATCACTTTGCAAGCGGCCCTCGAAGCTTCAGCTCGACAAGCTGCACACAAGCGGAAGGATCCGGCCGCACAACCGTCAAAGATCCCGAACCGCAAACCGGCCTGTACTACCATCCCACCCAGATCAGTATCGCTCGCGAACCCAACAAGCCAGCGGAAACCATCGAAGGATGGGCAATCTCCTTCCTCCCTGATCCCTCCTCCTCAGAAGATGCCACCATCGCCTACGTCCTGCCCACCAACACTTCTTCCTCACAGGATTCTGAACCAGCGGACTTCGTCCGTGCCAACCCAGACAGAATACGCATCAACCCTGCCGGATGGAAAATCATGCACGACGTACTGAAGAACGAAGTGGTGCCTAATGACGATCTTTTGAAGTTCGAAGCATCTACAAGGGAGAGTGGGTGGGCGCATCTGACCGATCTCAGACACCCTCTGATGCCAGGCAGGATTGCAACACCGGAAAACATCATCGCTTCGGTAGCATTTACGGAGGGACAGCTGAATGTGAAGAGCTATGAGGAAAACAAGTCATACAGGCTGGTGACTGGGTATGAAGGGCCGATTCAGATGGCAGATAACTGGATTGAGAAGTTGAGGAAACGATTCGAGTCGCTTTGAGAAGCTCAAGGTAGATGAGGTTTCGACGTCAGCATGGTTGCGGTGGTATTCTTCGCCAAGTACAATAATGGAGACATGCCGAACTTGGCGATCAAATGTCCAATGCCTGTCCGCAGTCAAAGCAACGAAGTTGACTTTATGGAAACGATCGCTCTCATTCCTATCTGCCATCAACAATGGATCAAGATCATTGCATCAGCCGCCCACGGCGCCTATTGAAAAAATGATTGTGCATCCCCGACCAGTGGCCGTGGAGTTTGATCTATCCTGTGTCTCCACCGAAAGGGTTGGACGACCTAACGCTACGACATCTTTGAACGGATGGCATTGGGATAAGGACGGCGTCGCCAATATCACATGGACGTTCCTGTGCCTCAAGAGGTCTCTACCATATGGGGTGAGCTCGTGACGTCAAGAGGGCGTAAACGCGATCGGTGAGGCTTCAAGTTGGAATTCCGCAGCGTTGTCGGTGGTGACAAGTTGACACGGAACGGAGGCTTAGCGTGAAGCATCAGGTCACACTCACTGCGCACATCTCGGTCTCTTCCTGTCAGAAGCTTGTCTTTACGTTTCAGTATCTGAAGTAAAGGTCAGCGACGACAACGATCTCGCTCAAGGTAATGAAGGCGGAAGGGTGACGATAAAGTTGCTGGCAGAGTGTATAAGAGCGGAATTCCATTGCGGTGGTAACCTCACTTTTATTACTTTTATTTCTCCGCATCAACGCTCGACTCTACCCCGCATTCCTTGCGTGTTCGTGTTGTAGGGCCCAATGGATGATGCTGAAACATGACAGGGCACCTATGTCGGATATCGGATAGCCGGTATGCCAATGCCATTCACGATAGTCGACCCGGGCAAACATAGTGCATATCCAAGTGAGCGAAGGTGGCAATTATGTGAGATCCAACTAGAGCCCACATGCTTTCACTGTTCGAAAGTTAGACACATCAAGCGCAAGCGGGCGCGATAGTAGTCACAGGGTTCGAGCTCGTACATTCATAGCGAGCACAGGCTAAGGAAGCATGTGAATGTGCGAAGTGCGAACTGATTTCCCGTGCTTCGTTCATGCTCGACACCGCTTTTGCGCCAGTCGAATAATTTATTCTCTTCTCCGTTATTGTTGCGGTGGTCACCATCGGCTAGAAAAGCAACGCACATCCTCGGCCTATGCATTGCACTAATGTGTAGTCACACGCCGACCGGTCAAATTGCTGCCAGGCCGAGTAGCAAGCTGACCCTGAAAGACTTTGCCCCTATCCTCGCCTACGCTGCGGAAGCGATGCAGCATCGATACATGGTCCGTCCGAGGTCTCCCCCTTGCAATCGGCTGAGCAGACTTTTTTGGCTAGATCGCTTATAAACGACCACCGTCTCAGTGTCGCTCTCCGCTGTCGTTGTCTGTCCAGTGATTTCTCCTCCGCCTTCGTCGCCACCATCTCGACTCAACAAGCGCACTCTTCCCTGCTCTGCACTGCAACACGATTCTTTCCTGCTGTTTCTCGCACTTAAGCAGACTTTGATGCTCATCCACTGAATCAACTTTCGCGCTTGCCCTCCGAGCACCCCTAGCACTTCGAAGTGCTCTTGAAGCCAAGCCACGATGCCTGCCTTCCCCACCTTCAGCGCCGTCAGCTCGACTGCCAAGCACATCGAGCTACGATCCGACAATGTCTACGTCCAACGCGTGGTCAGCACAGTCAACGCCGTTCTCGATCGTACGGGGCTGGCATTGCCCTTGCTGACCCTCACCTTCCTCTTCCTCGTTATCAAGTATCACAATCGAACCATTTTCGCCAAGCCGCCACGAAAGGAACTCTATTACCCACCTGCATTGCCCCTCATCGGTCATACGCTCGAAGTGATGAAGAACACCGAATTCATCCTTGACTGGTCATTGGACATGGCCCGCAGGCATCCCATCGGATTCTCCGCCTCCATCCTTGGCACTGGTACCGGCCAGATGCACGTCATCCACCGACCAGAGTATATTGAGTACGTCCAAAAGACCAACTTTGAAAACTTTGAAAAGGGCATCGAATTCAAGAAGCGCTTTGCAGACTTGCTCGGTCAGAACGGCATCTTCAACTCGGACGGTCACGTATGGAAGGCACAGCGCAAGATGGCTTCTCACATCTTTTCGGTGTATCAGTTTCGCAACTGGGTTCAGACGGTAGTTCATCGCGAGCTTGACAGCGTCATCGGCATTTTTGACGCCATTTCCGAGGCCAAGTCGCATGCCAATCCCGGCACATTGCTGCTTCCTGACCTCTTTTTCCGGTACACCCTTTCGTCTTTCGGCAAGATGGCGTTTGGATCTGACATTCACTGTCTCACACCTGATCCCCAGTGCCTCCACGAAGAGGTCGAGTTCTCGAGCGCTTTCGATTTTGTGCAGGTGGTGATAGAAAAGCGCTTCCGCATGCCTTTCTGGCAGGTCGTCGAGCGATTCTCTTACGAGGGTAAAAAGAATACAGAGATGGTCAAGAAGATCAACGACTTCTCCACGAAGATCATCGACGGACGTCTTCGAGACCGAGCTGCTGGCATTGAGAGGGAGAAGAAGTCTTCGGATGGCAAAGACGGCAAGGATCTGCTCGATCTCTTTATGGATGTCACCACCGACCGCGAGGATCTAATCTCGGTGGTGCTCAACTTTATCATCGCTGGACGTGACACTACCGCTCAGGGCCTGTCGTGGCTCTTTTACGAGCTCATGAAGCAGCCTCAGTATGTCGAAGAAATCCGTCAAGAGATTCGCAGCGTTCTGCATGGTACAGATGGCAATGTTCTCAAGCTCAACTATGACAACGCCAAGGACCTTGTCTTCACCCAAGCTTGCTTCAACGAGACGCTTCGTCTGCACCCACCGGTGCCAAAGAATGGAAAGCGAGCCATCAAGGACGACGTTGTCGTCCCTCAAGGTCCCACTGCTGCTGGTCTTCCACCTATCAGGGTCTACGCCGGCGAATTGCTGTCGTGGTCCGACTGGGTCATTGCTCGGAACCCTGAAGTTTGGGGTCCGGATTGCTGTGAGTTCAATCCCCATCGCTTCATTGAAACGAGCAAGGCAGCGGACGGTACCGCGACCAAGAGCTTAAAGAACTTTGGTCAGTGGAAGTTCCACGTTTTCAATGGTGGGCCTCGTCTCTGTCTCGGTATGGCTCTGGCCAATTATGAGGCGCTCAGCATGATTGCAGCAGTGATCGATAGGTACGACTTTGGTTGGGGAACCAAGGAGCAGGGTCAGAAGGCGGATTGGCCGTTGAAGTACATGACTTCGGTGACGCATCCTTGTCAGATGTACACAGCTACTGTTGTGCGCAGGGAGGGGTCCTAGTTCCAAGCTCAGAATCGGTTTCCCGTATGTTGTATGTTCTAGCGAAATGTATCCTCTTCTTTCTTCATATTTGATATCGGCGTAATAATGCCGTGAGGTTTGTTCGGTCGGCAGATCGGCTTAGACGCCGGGTAAACCGATCTCGACGTTTGTATTGCCGTGAGCTGCTTTTTTTTTTTTTCGCGTTCCTAGCCTCTGGAATGCGCCTTCACCACCATAGAGTACTTTTTGAATGTGATTTCGGAAACACTGAGGGTCATGATGTGCCAATAATATATATATATAAAATAACGAGGTCGCCGAGAACACCGACGCAAGCATTGCTTTCTGTCTGCGGAGCATTAACGCCAAGTCTCTCGGTGACCGAATTCACCGATGCTCTCATGAGCCGCGCATCAAACTTTCAATTCAAAAAAATAAAAATAAAAAATAAAAAATGAAGAGGCTGAGAAATTGAGGGGAAAAAAAGGAACGTTAAATTGCCTAACTCGAGTGAGTCGCTTGCGAGCTCCTGGCCGTGGCCGTAAGGGATGGAGAAGAAGGAAGAGAGGAGAGTGAGCGAGATGGCTCAAAGCGTCGCGATGAAATGGAGTGTTGCGCGTTGGTCATGTACCCCTTCGCCCACCATTGAAAAATGCGCATGTATTTATTTGCACGATAAACGTTTCGCGCCGAAATTACACCGATTTGAGATAGGTGTTCCCGTTCCTTCCGGTCTGTTCCCACATGATGACGAAGCTCGTTATTTGGCCTGTACTGCGTAGGGATCGGTTGGCGGGGCGTTGTAAATGAGTGAATGCGAAGGGACAGGTCGGGCTCGGTGTTTTGTTCGTAGATGGCCACGATTGGAAGGGGTCTTGTTCACATGACAAGGTTGCGAAGTCCGCCTAGAAGCGGCGATGTTGGCCGATGATAAATCCTACAAGGGCTTGTCAGGTTCGTCAACAAGGTTGCCCTGCTCTTTATTGCTGTAGCACACAATTTACCACCTCCCCCTTCCACCATCTCGTTGGGATATAACCACCGCGACTCGACCGCTCCCAACTTGCTCGATTCTCCCACCCCCAAGTCCTTACTTTATCAAAAGGCTACATCAAGCGGCTGCACATGATGATGCTTGCTCACCGAGCAGCCCGAGCATCACTGCTCGCTACTCGCAGAACACCACTTTTACTCACCTCTTGCGCACGAACACTTCACGCAACTCCATCACAGCTCAAATCTTCACTCGACCCATCATCATCCTCCACCACTCCCACACCACCGCCTTTCGCCCCAGCTCCCACCTCTTCGTCTCCCAAAAAGAATTTGGGGAAAGAGGAAGGAACCATAGCATCCGTCTTTGCCTCGCTATCCGGTGGAATACTTGAAGATGCACTCCCCGATCGATTTTCCCAACTCAAGCAATCCCTCATCTCCTCGCCCCAACATGTCGAACACTTGAAGAGTACTTGGAAGAGCGTGCTCTCCTCACTCTCTGCCAAGGTCGCTGAAACAGAAAGGCTCGGAGGAGGGTGTATTCCCGAGATCACCTATCCTTCTGGTTCCTCTTCCGTTGGCCCACTCGAAAGCTGGACAGACAAAGCCACCTTCCAGGCGATCAAAGACCGAGGTGTAGCAGTCATCCGTAACGTCATCCCCTCTCGCCAAGCTTTACAGTGGGAGGAAGATATCAAGTCCTACGCAAAGCAAAATGGAGCAAAAGGCTTCCCAGCATCCAATCCTCAAGTCTACGAACTCTACTGGACCCCCGCACAGCTCGCTGCTAGATCGCATCCTAACCTTCTCACCACTTCTCAACGGTTTCTTTCGTTGTTCCGCAAACCTTCCACTCCCACCTCAACCTGTACGGGTGTTGAGACAGCATGCTCACTCACCAACCCGCTCACATACGTCGATCGACTGCGCATCCGTCAGCCAGGAGATGCGCAGTTCGCACTGGGAGCACACATCGATGGAGGCGGTGTTGAGCGATGGGAATGTTCAAACTTTCGCGGGTTATGGTCAAACATCCTCCAAGATGGTTCCAACTGGTCCTCCCACGATCCATGGTCACTAGGCGAGGGAGGAGAAAGAATGACAGCAAGGACGGACATGTACGATGGTCCAGGTCAATGCGGAGTTTTCCGCCCTCTTCAAGGCTGGCTTTCTCTCTCACATACCCGTGCTGGAGAAGGAACCCTTCGCGTACTCCCCTTCCTCCGAGAAAGTACCGCATACATCATCCTCCGACCTTTCTTCACACACCTCAAACCCGCATCCTCCTTCTCCAGCCCTTCACAATTCTTGGATGCGTCAAATTGGGTTTTCGACGGCACATCGCGGAAATTCCCAGGCTGCAGTCTAGGACACAACATCGAACTCAGCCCGGAAACGCACCCTCACCTGGAGCTGGAGAAGACAATGGTCTCCATCCCAGATGTAAGACCAGGGGATATGGTTTTGTGGCACTGCGACGCGGCTCATAGCGTGGAGAAGAAACACGGTGGGGTGGGGGATAGCAGCGTTTTGTATATTCCGGCTATTCCGACTACAAAGGTGAATTGGGAATATGTGATGGAGCAGAAAAAGTGTTTTGATGAGGGAAGACCGCCACCTGATTTTCCTGGAGGTAGTGGGGAGAGTGGGTTTAAGAGGAGAGGGACCGAGGAGATGGTGAACGGCGGATTGGCGAGGACAAGTATGGGTTTGGAGAGGTTTGATCTGAGGATGGCAGAGAATGAGGAGGAGAGGAGGTTGTTGGAGTGGTGCAACGCGAATATGTAGTCACACATCACAATGAAATGGTGTTCAAATGCCACATGTGTGGCTCAGAGCTTCTTGCGATGTGTGGTTGAGATTGTGCAAAGTGAAAGGCTAAGGTACATGCACAAGAGAGTAATACAACGTCAGCTATGTGTTGGTGGAGTGTCTCTAACGAGTCAAATCATGCAAAGACTTATCATACACATTCGGCATATGACAACTCAACATATTCCTCGAAAACACCATTTGACCAAAAACATTCTTCAGCGCCGCGTCATCCTCTTCATTCACCCTAAACAATCTTTGCTTCTTTTCCCCTCTTTCCCCTTCCTCTCCTGGTTCCTGTAAGAGATCATCACCCTCCGTCAGCGCGTAGAGAACTTTTCCAGGTGGAAACAAATGCGTATTCCCCATGCTCGCCTCTAGCGTTTTCCTCAATACCAAAAATTCTTCTTCCACCTTCTCTCTCTCACTACCCGAATCGATTCTTCCAGACTGATACTCGAACGCACGCTTCATAAGTGCGTTCATCGTTCCATCTCCATGGTGATCTTGTTTGTCTTGGTAACAGAGCCAAGCAATGCCATTGCGGATATCCTGAATCGACCCTAGACTGAGGCGGCAGACGAGGTCGTAGGAATAGGTGTAACTCGTGATGATCGAAGAGACCTTCCTGCCGAGAGAGGAGGAAGTGACGCAAGGGACGGCGAAACAGTACGCGTGGAGACGTCGTCCAGCAGGCAACCCCGAAGCCGTCGTGGTCAACCCAGTAGTAGGATCCGCCCACATCATCGCCAATACCGACGCAACACCCGCTCCGAGTGAATGGCCGGTAACGTCGATTGAGTATCCCGGATTATCCGCGAGCGCGGCAGCAACAGAACGGTGAACCGATCGACCAGGTGCACCGATCTCGTGTGCGGTAATGTACATCCCCTCGTGGCACAGGTCTTGTGCTGCTTCCTCTACGAATCTCCCGTTCCCGTTCACATTTGCCCCGTTGGTAGCGGCGGCAGCCTTAGCTTGGATGTTAGGGAGCACTTCTTCATCGAACACGAACGGAACTGATTCGCACGTAAGATCAGCGGCAAGATCACCAACGGAAAGAGTTCCGCGGAGAACAAGCATGATCGTTTGACGCGGGTGATCCGTAACAACGTAGAATCGAGGTTTGCTGGGACGCGCTTTGCCCACACCAGGCCTGTGGATGGGACGCGTGGTGGACAGTCCCCTGACGGAGGAATGGTCGTCTTCGTACGACCCGGAGATGGCAGCGCCGCGTTCAAGGTTAGCTGAATGGTGGAAGAGATCCTCATCATGGGTTCCGGAAATGACATCCCAGAGGTTGTAGGACGAGGCGTGAGTTCTACCATTTCTAGTTGTAGCCGCGGGTGCAGCTGGCTGCTGATCATGGGAAGTAGCAGAAGTAGGAGTTGTGCCATCATCTTCATCCTCCAACTCCATCTGCGCCGCAGCCTCGAGGAACTCAGCTTGATCTTTGCGCATGAACTCATCTTCAGCGCTGAAGATGACCCCACCGACTCCATCCGTTCCAGCACTACCCGGTCGGGTATGATCGGTATCATGAGCAGACGCAATCAGCTCCCCAATCGAAGTCTGACTTCCAGAAGGCATAGAGTTGAGCCAGTACAGCGCTAAACCCCCGTACACGCCTAGAACCAATTTGGAGTATCGCTGCAAGTTATGCACTGCCTCAGCGTCGGACAGCGGTCGAGCGGGCTCATCGGAGAGGGTAGAACCGGGCAGACGAGTGGAGGAACCATCTTTATGACCGATCTCAGCACCAATGACATTACCCGAGTACTCTCCGGAAATAGACTGGTTCGAGGTAATACGAACGTCATTTTGACTGTACGCTTCGACACCGGTGTCGGTGTGTCTGCTGCTTTGCTGAGAATTCGAACGGGTGACGTTGAGGGAAGCGGAAGTGATTCGGACGTGGTGTGTCTGTTTGAGCGCTTCAACTTCTTCCTTGAGTTTGTGGGTGTCGATTTCGAGGAGTCCGGCGAGCATCTTCTTTTCGTAGTAGCTGCGAGCAACGAGTTGAATCGAGACCCAAGTGGAGAGTGCTTTCACAACGCCTACGATGGAGTAAGCTGGAATGCCGCCAGGGGGAAGAGAGTCATCTTGAGCGTTCCATTCGCGTTTGACGAGTTTAGTGAACTCCGAAAGACTGCGAAGGACTTCAGAGCCGAGCGCACGTCGAACACCTTCTACACCTGAGCCTGCTGCACCGAGACCTACGCTCGTAACCGCACTGGTCAGATCGATGCCTCCCACAGCGACTAACGAGATGGCATCAAAGAAGCTGGCAATTCCGGAATGAGCAGCTCGCGCGATGCTCGGATTACCAGACGTGTCACCAGGGGCAGTACCCGTCAGTGCGCCGTCAGCCAACAGCGCAGGCACAGCGACCAGACCTTGCGTCACGCGCTTGGCCACATTCAGACCGAAAGCAGTGGCAGTTCTAGCAAAATTGAAGTAGGCAGAAGTACCAGCATTGGCGGCACCCAACGCGGAAACAGAGTGTCCGAGAACACCTTGCCAGTTAACAGTAGGGCCTTGGGTGGCAACCACACCAGCGTCTCCGGCGACAGCTTCGTTAGCAGGCTCGTAGACGGCAAGAGCGTCGTCATTGTCCGCTTCGGAATCGGGGATAGAGAGTGCGGCTTCGGAGAGAGATTGGGCTTCGGTGCGCTCTTCTTCTACTTCGTGGGCTTCTTCGGGTGAAAGAGGCTGTGGGTCGGAATGAGGGGTAGAGTCGGGAACGAGAGAGGTGGTGGCAATCTCTTCTATGGTGTGAGAGACGTCTTCTGCTGCAGATGGAGGCGAGGATGGGGTGATAGTGGTGGCAGGATCCGTAGTGGGTGCTGAATCACCGCCTTCGTCGACAAAGGATCCTGGCGGAAGTCCGCTCATCTTCAGAATCTCTATAATGAGTGAGAAAGCTAGAGATGGATGATGATTCTCATCAGCGAAGGGGTTGTACGACGGACAAGTCTTTGTACACTTTCAGAAAGGACAGGAAGAAAAGGGTCTTGTACCGTCGGCGACGAGCGTGAATGGGGTGGAAGGATCTGCGGACTCAACATCGAACAGCAAAAAAGAGCGAGGGAAAGGCGAAAGGCGAGAGACAGGAACACCAGTTCAGAAGCATGCAGGGTCTTACGCAAAGAAACAGCGATGGCTCTGTACGACTCTGCTGTTTTTGGCGCAGAAAAGCAACAGAGAAGAGACTCTCACGCGCGACTTTTTCAACACCATCCCAACATCAACACTATTTTTTGCTTATCCTTCTTCTTGACGTGTGGCAAATCTGTCAATCAGCACTCGCGTGACAGAGACTCTCTCTTGCACACCGCTCAGCAGATGCAGCCAATGTGAAAGCTCACACGCAGCCTCTCATTCTGCACACAATCCTGCGCAAATTTAATCGCACGACTTCACAAGCAAGAAGGAGGTTGAGAGGTGCTTTGTTTTGCGGGCAGGACACCTCACACGACACTGCAGTGAGAAGAATGGAGTGAGATTAATCAACTCATCCAAGCCCAGAAAGCATCAACAACATCCTCCAACTCCCCCTGCACCCTCTTCACAGCCTCCTCGTACTTCTCACCCTCCTTGATCTGCCCAAGCACCTCAGTGTAAATCTTGACCTTAGGCTCCGTCCCGGAAGGCCTAACAATGACCCTTACATCACCCAGCATGATCTCTTCCCTCTCCCTCTTCGCCTCCTTATTCACATGACTATGGGGAACATAGAACCTCAGAACATCATTCTTAGGAATACTGAGATCCCCTGCTTCCGCCTTCTTCTCATCGTACGCAGGACGAGACTTGAGATCGTCCACCAAACTAAACCCGTACAACCCTACGCTGCTCTTTCCACCTTCGAGATCAGCTCTGAGCTTTGTCATGACATCGGTACCCTCCATCGTCGGACTGAGCTTGATGATTTTCTGCATCGTCACGGATAGTCCGACCAAGCGGTGGAGCTCCTCGAGACGGTCCCACAGCGTCTTGCCCTCCCGCGCGAGATCGAATGCCATTGAGACAATTAAGAGGTAAGAAGAGAGTCCGTCCTTGTCCCAAACGGAAGAAGCAGCCATGTATCCGAGCGCTTCTTCGTATCCAAACCCGAACGAACCTTTGCCTTCACGTGCTTCGATAGCACGTGCTACATTACCGAGCCATTTGAAACCGGTGAGCGTTTCAACATGGTTTCCTCCCCAGTGACCTGACAAACGCGCCAGTAGACGGGAGGAAACGATAGTAGAGAGGGTCCAAACACCTGCTTTGCCGGCATTAGCCTTAGCAGCTCTTCGAAGGATCTCATCACCAAGTAACGCACCCAGCTGGTCACCGGTGAGAGCTCGCAGAATGCCGTTAGAGTCACGAGCAGAAACAGCGAGACGGTCCGCATCGGGATCGTTAACGATGGCCAAGCCCGTCTTGTGTTGTTCGGAAAGCTTGTGGACGAGTTCAAGCGTTGACAGTTCTTCAGGGTTCGGGAAATCGAGCGTGGGGAATGCTCCATTTGGTTCCCTCTGTTCAGGTGAAATCCAGAAGTTGACATTTTCCGTCAAGCCTACAACGTCTCTCGACAAACGCTCGATCGAGGGCGCACCAACACCGTGCAAGGGACTGTAGGCGATGCTGATTGGCGCCTCCTTCCCGTGCACGGGCGTTGAAGAGAAAGTGTTGAGCCCCTGAACGTCCTTGATGTAGCTTGTGAGCATCTCGTGTCCAAACTCTTTCACGATGCCATGTTGTTTGATTTCCATAAGATCGGCGAGTGTGGGAGACTCCGTCTGTTCAGAAATCTTGAGAATCTCTTCTGCGATCAACCCGTCGACAGGAGTATTGATCTGAGTTCCGGCGGGACCGTACACCTTGTACCCGTTGTACTCCTTTGGGTTGTGGGAGGCAGTTACGACGATACCTCCAGCAAGACCCAGTCTCTTGACTGCATAGCCGCACATCGGTGTAGGTGTAGGAGTTGGGTATATATGCGAAGGGATACCGCGGAAGGCAAAGTGTTGGGCGGAAGCATAGGCGAATTCTTTGCTGCCGAATCGACCGTCGAATGCGATAGCGACTCCCTTTGTGGTTGCTTTGTCTTTGTCGCTCTTCAAAAGGTATTCTGCTAGACCAGCGGTTGTTTCTAGCACAGTGAGCATCTACATTTGTAAAAGGGGCGGTTGTCAGTTTGTAAGTTCGGTAGATTGGATGGAGTGAGGGAGAAATGGGACTTACGTTCATCTTACTAGGTCCTACACCCATAACACCTCGCAATCCGGCAGTGCCGAATTCGAGTCGACCGTTGAAGCTAGACTGAAGCTCTTTCGTGTTGTTGCTCTCGATAAGGGTGGAGAGTTGCTGCTTGGTGGCCGGATCAGGGTCCTTTTCGAGCCAAGCTTTGGCTTGGGTGAGGAGATCGGATGACATGGCGAGCGTTCTTTTCGGCGCTAATACAGTAGTCAGGTTGAAGATTGTGGGGAAGGGAAGAGATATGTGGGGGTAGCAAGGTGTCGACTACTTGTACCGACGAAGCAGGAAAGACGGATGTTACTCTTCGACTCCACCTCTTGGTTGTATGTGCTCAAGCCAACCGCTTTGGCCGGATGTTCGGACATGTCGAAAAAGCCTGACTACTTCTCGGAGATGGCCGACAAATGTTAGACCGTAAAAAATTTGATCACATGTGATAATGAAGGATATAACACTCCGTACAATTTTTGCCCCACGACGAAGATTCGGCGGTTTCACCGAGACCTAACCGGTGCATTCACTCGACCTGCATGAACACCATCCCCACTTTGTTGGTTGAAGTCGATCCCGAGGCTTATCTTCGAGTCTTTTGTGCGGATATGCGTGAGGAGCCCACTTACCCGTCGAGCTCGTCAGCCTGAACAGCGACTGAAACGACCTGTTCCAAGCCGAACATTGACGTTTCGGCAATAGCAAGACCGAGCACAAGGGAGCATAGAAAGTGTGGAGACTTCCAAGATTGTCAAACTCAAGCCTTCATGAGGTGATCGAGCACCGACGTATGACCTGATCATCGAGCTTACACCATAGAAAACAGCCGCAAGGGTGTCAGTACAATGCCGAAACCCTCTTTGACGCCAATTGCTAAGGTAAAGATTCAGAGAACAATAGCAACCGAGGGGAACCCAGAACGAGGGTCGGTTTCCTAATCGGATGAAGTCACTTCTTCTCTTGCTGACAGCTCGTAGTCAGGACAGCTTTGTCTCTCCTCTTAAGGAAGCACTCTTCGAAGACCTATTGCATCTTGCTTTCCGACCACCACCAACCACGCCGTTCACAATGACCACCGAAACAAGCATCCACCAAAGGCGCTCCAATTCCACCGCCTCCTCCTCTGCCTCCCATTGCATCTTTACCGATCACCCCCCGCGCTCTCACTCATTGGATATCTCAATCTCGAGCGGTGGAGGCAACAAAGTCATTGGAGCGTGCTCCAGCTGTCGTCGCTCGAAAGTCAAATGTGAACATGATGGAACCGCTCCTTGCAAGCGATGCAAGAATGGTGGGTATGAATGCACTTTCAAGCCTCGAGAGATGGGGAGTGCATTATTGCAGGATGAATGGAGGATTCAAACGGATGAGACATTGAGTAAGATAGTGGGCGCTATTGATGCGTTAGTTCAGCATCAGCAGGAAGCGGGCGAGGAGGATAGTGGGATGGGGAGGAAAAGAAAGGCCAAGGTAGAGATTGATGACGGAGCAAGCAGATATGCACAAGCTTCAAGTAGGAACGGTATGGGTTCAATCAAGGATGTAACAGGAACGGTAGGGGGTTATCCTGCTTCGGTTGGCAGCCATCACCTGCCTTCAACGTCGACAAGTCGATACCAGCTAGCCACGGGTTCGACAGCAATGACCCCGCAACTCGAAGCATACCTGAGAAGCACTTTTAAGCGCCCTTCACTGGCATTTGGCATGGACCAAGCTGGACCCATTCTCAACGATCCTCGCACAACTCACTTGCAATCATCAGCAGCAACTCTCGATCCATTCGCCCTACCGCCTCAAGCGGAGTCAAGCACAAGAAGCGTCGACAGCAGCAACCCGATTCGAGCAACTCTCAAAGTCAGAGGCTCCCTCCCACTTCCCTCAATCGCCACAATCGCCAACAACCACCTTCCCCTAGGTTCCCCTCTCTCCCTCCGTCCAAGCCAATATCGATTTCCAGGCCCAACTCTCGGCAGCGCCGACCCACGACTGGACGCTATCCGTCTCGGTCTCCTCCCCTCCCACACCGCCCGCTCCCTCTTCTCATCCTACGCTAAACACATCGAACCATTCTCCTTCTGCTTCCCCGATTTTCCCTCCACCTCCAACCTCACCCCTGTCCTTCTCTCCTCCATCACCACCGTTTCCTCCCTCCTCTCTACTTCCCACCAGCTCCGTTCCCTCCATCTGCGACTTCGCACCGACTTCCTCGACCGAACACACCCCTACGCTCCTCTCTCCCCCTCGGACGAGTTCAACCCCGAATCAGGCATCGGAACAGAAGAAGTCATCGGAGCGTGCATATTTTCCACCTACGATCCCTCACCGCATGGTCGGCAAATCGCTCGAGCCGCACGCTGGTGGAGTGAGAAATACAGCTACGAATCGGGTCCACACGCTGGTCTCACCGTCGGAGAAATGGTCGCTATTCTACCGCCTGTTCGAAACGTCAACATTCAAGATCGTGTACGTGTTTGGCTCAGCGCTTTCATCGCCGAATTGCACCAGTGCGAGATTCACGGACGAGAGGCGATCATGGAAGCGGTCAGTCCTTGTTCCTACGCCAAATCTCTACAATTGGATGCGAATGGGGGCGCGGGGACGAAACAAGATGCGTGTCTTGTGTTTTACGCTAGGATCGCATATCTGGTTGGTAAAGCAAGGGAGACGAGCGGTGGTGGGGCAGAGGGGTTGTTGGAGTTGGCGAGACAGGTAACGAAGAGTTGGTGTGAAACGAGAGCCTTATTGGGCACAGAAGTGGAAAGGGGGAGGGATACTTACGATAACACCTTGGATCTACACTATACGTTGGCTAAGGCTTCGATCTATATTCGCACACACAACGCTCTCTCTTCCGCGGGGACCGGAGAGGCAGCAGCAGAAGTTGTGGCTTGCTCGCAAGCTTGCAAAAGTGCCTGCCTGGATAGTATCAGGCTGCTGATGAGGGAGAAAGCTGGGTTCCTGGGAAACTTAGCAGCGCTACCGGTGATATATCATTATTGGATAGTGGGTTGTGTGATATTTTTGTTGCAATTGTGCAGTCCGGAAAGAATGTTTTACAGATTGGGATTAATGTTGAACGGTGAGATAGATGAGGTTTTGCGGTTGGTGGGGTTGTTCATGGAGCAGTATGTGTCGGAGCTGGATGGGTGTAGTACGAGAATCGTAGTAGAAGAGGGGGAGGAGGAGGAGGTGATGAAGCATCCAGTTATGGAAGCTGCCTTGGCGGTCGGAGAGATGCTGGCGAGTGTTCAAGCTACTATCTGATATGAACACAGTACCCTATTCTCATATCAAGTCATTATCTTATCGATTGCGATACACCGTCTGATCAAAAGTAAAGCAACAAGAGTGCATTCTCGAGAGAGCTATAGACGGGGTATGTGGATACAGAATGAATCGTAGTTTCCTTAGTTAATGTACCGATTTACAACAGGACTATCATTACTGCTAGGAGACTTCTTGTGACCATGAAGTCCATACAATTTCTCCATCTCCTCCTGAGCTCTCTCAATCCCCTTGAAGTACCTAACCGTCCTAACCCTCAATTCGCTCGTAGCATCCTCATCCGAGACCAGCAGTGCATTAGGATGCAACTGAATGCACGAGACCGTATTCATATGGTTTACTCCCTCCTCGACACACTTCGCCAACGCATGCGCCTTGTGCTGTCCAACAATAATCACCAAAATCTCGCTCGCATCCATCACAGTCTGTACCCCAACGGTCAACGCCATCCTTGGCACCTTCAATGGATCGTTGTCGAAGAATCTTGAGTTGTCCAACACCGTGTCATATGCAAGCGTCTTAATCCTGGTACGAGAAGCGAGGGAGGAACCGGGTTCATTGAAAGCAATGTGACCATCGGAACCTACACCGGCCAAGAAAAGATCGATGCCTCCAACGGCTTGGATTTTCGCTTCGTAGTCGTTACACTCCGCAACCAAGTCTGGTGCATTGCCGTCAAGAATGTGGACGTTCTGGGGTTGGATGTCGATGTGGGAGAAAAAGTTGTTCCACATGAAAGAATGGTAGGATTCAGGGTGAGATTTGGGAAGAGAGACGTATTCGTCCATGTTGAAGGTGATCACGTTTTTGAATGACAGGCGACCTTCTCGGTGGATCTGGATGAGAGTTTTGTAGGTGTCGAGAGGGGAAGAGCCGGTTGGGCAACCGAGGACAAAGGGTCGATCGGAGTGCTCGAAGTGGGTGTTGATCCGTTTGGCTACGTATTCGGCGATCTGCAAAGACACGGCAAAGAAGGTGAGATGAGGTTAGTATGCGCTTACTCGTGACGAGTAGGAGATCGGATGTGATAGAAAGGTAGACGTACGTATTTGCCAACCGCAGCTTTGTCGTCTCGAATGATGTATCGCATCTTTGCTTGTTGCTATTGTTGGTAGCTACCGCTGCTCTGGTTTCGTTTTGGACAATGGTGGGTGCCAAAGAAAGATCACATCTCAAGCCATCGTCACATGTATCTAGCTCAGCCCATCACCACACACACTGAGCTCAAAGTCGAAGGCCGGACCGACCGCTTGATCTGAGCCCACAAATCAACCTTGATCACTCTGACCACACTCGGCATCGACTTCTGGAGAAGTGGCTTGCCGAGGCCGGGACAACGGTATCGCCTACCGAAGGGGAAGACATTGGGCAGAGCTTGACAGCTTTCTGCGGAGGCATAAGGTTATCAGCTCGGCGGTGGTCGGCCCGATAGCAGCGAAGAAAAGTTGACCGTCGGAGGGCTTTCGGAGTGGGATTTGCGATCCGCCGAAAACAGCGAGACTTGTTATGTAGGCGGTGATCACGACGCTTTTGAAATCAAAAAGGGCAAGTCAGCTGAACGGTCGCACACTGATACCGCGTTGGTGTGTTGCATCTCCTCTCCTTCTCAAACCAACCAACCATCACTCGACTCATCGCATCCCCTTCCTCCTCCTCCTCTTCTACATTATCCTCTCTCTCTCCCTCTCCCTTTTCTGCATCTCGATTTCGCCGGCCACTTTACGATCTGATTGCTGTATTCGACCGAGCATACTCTCATTCACCACCCTCGCTCACCTCGGTCCCCCTCGGCTTGTCTCTCCTTTGACCCCCTTTCTCGAGCAAGCAAAGATAGTCGATCGGTCCTCGACTTTCCGGTCCGACTATCACGCACACACTCTGCATCTCGCTGTCGACGCCGATTTGCTTGGCCTCTTTCTCTTTGCTTTGTCGATCCTTTCCAACACACACACACACACACACAACAACACTTGGTGGTACGGTGCAACTTGCTTCCTTTCCTTCACCTTGCTACCGTCGCCCCCTCGTGTGAGAGCCCCACGCGAGACTCTCGTTCTATCTGTGGATCGACGTGCACCATATCAAGTGGTCACATCTCGACTTCTTCACCTCCTGTGCCGCCCCAACATTCAAGGCTCGACCAACTTTCTCTTCATCAACACGAAGCACAGCCTTTGCCTCGTCCCAACTCTAGTAGTTTCTCGACGCAGCTGTTGATCGTGTTTGCATCGTTGAGGTGACCAGCCCCTGCATCTATCATTACATCGCATCATGGAAGTAGGACCATCAACACCATTCCTCTCCTCCTCGTTGGCATCGGAGCCATCGCGCTCAGGAGACGTCGTTCTCTGCGTCGATGCTGGAGGAACCAAAACTCTTGCTGTCGCCGCATCCATCGATTCGAAACAAAAATTCACAGGTCAAGCAGGTTGCGGCAATTGTGCCACGCTCGGTCTTGAAGCAGCTTCCCAGGTCATCCTTCGCGCTGTGAGGGATGCTTTGATATCCGCCGGGTTCGGAACTTTCTTTGATCTCATCGAAGCAGGTCAAGTCGAAGGTATTACTACTCCTCTTTCCCTTTCCGATAACGATTCTTCCTCTGCAGATGGTGAGGGGGATAGCGTTGATTCCCCTTCCACTCGACCTTCACCAGCAATGGGGCGCGATGTACGACAACCAAGAGTAAGGGCGATCTGGATTGGAAGTGCAGGTCTTTCATCCAGTGCAGTGATTGGAAATTATCGACAGCACTTATCGCAGGTGTTGGAAGAGTATCATTTGGTGGAGGATTCAACACCGATTTGGATCACCAATGATGCGGTTTTGTTGTCAGCACCGATGCTGAGGGATGAAGGGACACAAAGTTGTGTTTGTTTAATTGCGGGGACTGGTAGTGCTGGATTCGCGTTCCAGCGTACACACCCCTCCTCTACTTCTACCCCGGCTGTGGGGAGCAGTAACGAGAATGAAGATTTGCCAGGGTTGACAACTGTTAGTAAGACCGGTGGATGGGGCTATCTTTTAGGAGACAGAGGTAGTGGCTGGTCAATAGGTCTTTCCACCATCCAGCTCATGTTGACTCGGGAAGAAGAGAGGCAATTCCAACCGTTACCGCTGACAGACTTTGAATCAGCGGTGTTGCAAGCACTGGGAGTGTCGACACCGATCGAACTCATCTCCGCCGCTTATCGAGATCGAGTTTGCGCTACAGGTGGCAACTTTTTCCATGCTGAAGATGCACGCAAACGATGGCTAGCAGAGACGACTAGAGTTGTGTTTGAATATGCGTTCAACCCCAAATCCAAAACAGGAGGAGATCTCGCGACACAATTATTACATCAGGCGGTGGGGGAATGCATCGAATCGATAACTAAGCTTTGCAGTCCAAGAGATAGGATCAAGCCAGGAAAGAGTACGTTGGTGTTAGGTGGTGGCTTGTGGAGCAATAGCAAGTTTTTAGAGTTGTTGGTGGAGTTATGGGGGAAGCAAGACGGGAGGGAGGCGTGGAAGAATATTCATGTGGTAAAAAGTCCCGCTCATGAGGCTGTTAGTTATTTGCAGCAGCGGTTTTTGCGGGGCGAAACACAATAGTGACTGGCACTACCAATCAATGGACTTTTCCCTCTTTGCCGATCCTCTTTGGTCGTCTGTGTTGACTGTGCCAGTATCGGGGTGTGATGGGCTGCCTCAGCGATTTTACAGATCAACGGTCAGAGACGTTGCGGGTCGAGTGGGGTCCTGATTTCGCTTTTGGTGACGGTTGTCAGTCGGATTTTGGATAACGTTGCTTCTCTTTTAGGTAGATGGGAATGGGTTCTATTGGAGGCTTCTACGTGACAAGCCAAGGGTCTATAGGACAATGATGCAGAGTGACAAAAGCGAAGCATATTTATGATACAATGTGAACTTCGAGCCAGCTCTCCGTAGAAGCTGAGCTCGATCCAAGTGACGATAACGAGGTAATAATGCTGGAAATCAATCCTCCTTCACCAGAACGTGAAAATGCGCAAGTGCAGGAACAGACTGCAAACTAGGCGGGTTAGCAAAGAAAGCCACTTCCCTCCTCTTCCCTTCCCGGTGTGTTACATACGCAGTCTATATGCGCGTTGCAACGGTGTAACTGAAGTGGATTGCAGTAAGGAGGAGATCTAGATGGAAGCTAGCTTAAGTTACTAGTTTCCGTACAAGCAAAGATTTGCCAGATAGGTATCGAACTTTCTTGTGCGACGTGTATTGGCACGAGAAGATTTCGATCGGGCATTCTCGTGGGGCTAATATTCGCACGAGAGAGTACCCGGGCGTGACACAGTGCCTCTCAATAAACTTGACCAACTCACCGCATGCTCCTCTTAACACCTTTCCTACTTTCTCCTCTTCTTCTTTGCCCTCTAACAATAGATCTGGCATGTTTCTCTTATGATCTTCCACAGTCGGCACTTTCAATCCTTTGGTCGCGCCAAGGGTCCCGCACAGCCCACACTTAGCTACAATTCCCCAAATCTTCTCCTTTACCGCACTCTCCTCCGCTTCGACCAAATCGGGGTGGATGATCGGCAGATAGCTCCAAACGACCCAATGTGTCACTCCTTTGGGAACAGAGTATGGCCAGCCGTTGAGCAAAATCTGACACTCGAGCCATGGCTCGAAATGACTGTGTAAACATCTCACTTCCTTTTCGCTTTTGCCTGCTGTTGGGAGGGGCGAGAGAAGAGGTATCTAGCGGTAAATCTCTCAGCAAGGAGGAATGAATCGGTAGAGCCGTAGGTGTTGCGGATATCGTCCATCCAAGCGAAATACTCTCGGAGTTCATCGGGATGACGGGCTAGGTGTTGGAGTATACCGGTCGAGACTATGCGGAGGACGTCTGGCCATGTGAATAGTGGGTTCCGTTCTGCCTTGGATGAGAGACCCGGAGATGAGGAGGCGGCTGTAGAGGAGGAATGAGGCAGGTACGGGTCAGAGGAGAGCGTTGCGGCTAGCTCGCCTTCACGTGTCCCTCGAAGCAGGAGGGGGGCATGGGGGGAGGAAGAGGAAGTGAAGGAGGAGTGAAAGGTGGTCGAGGCGAAGGTTGATGATGATGCTAGCATCTTCAGTGACCTTTGGGGTTAGGGTTATGTGGGGGTGAGAGCTGGTGTTCATGGTGATGTGGAAGGTCAAGCGTGTTCGGGGCTGTAAGGGTCTATTATGGTTCTATGGAGGTGATGGTGGTAACCCGAATCCCAACGTCAATAGCAGGATCAGTGTGATAGTCAAAGGTGTGACTGCGATGAGATTGACTGCGGAAAGCCCATACCCCTCTACACGTCAAACAGCGAGGACGGCTGATAAGCACACATTGTCCCCTGCGCAGTCACTTACTTCGTGCTCACAGTATCACAGCCCACTTCACCACCTCTTGCTCATACACCCTGTAACGTAAGTCTTGAAGTCGCATCGGACGCTCGATAAGATGACAACAGTCAAAGACTGACACGTTCCCTTATCCAACTCCGTCTCACCGTGGGTTCGAATTACAGCGCAAGCTGTCTCTCAATGCTTTCTGACACATGAGATTTCGTCGCCCGGCACATCACTCCACCTGTCAGCCAGCACATACCTCACAGCTCGCCGCAAACCCCCCGCTCCATCATGGCAGGATTATCGACCGCTCGGCATGACAAAGAATGAGACTGCAAGACGAGGTGTCCAATTCCGCGCCGCCGCTTCTTGCAGCCAAAATCAGAATTGCGCACAAAAGCGTGTTGGCGTGTCGGTGAGATCGGTCCGACACCGACCAACCGACCGACCGACGAAAGAGCTTTCTCGGCTTGTTTCACCGATGCTCCCTCTGCGCGCCAGAGATATGCTTGCTCCCCAACGGCAACGGCAACCTTCTCCCCGCACACGTTCGAACCCTTGCTCGGCTTTGCAATGATACAAGCGAGGGTCAGGCCTCCACTCTGTATCAGTTGCAACATGCTCTGGTCTCAACTGTGATTGTGAGCCGGAGAAAGCTCCGGTGAGTGGGTGTTGGGTCGGGCTGTTTCCCGGTCATACCTCATATGTGTCATAGCTCGTGTGGAATAAAACTATCTCACCTCCCTTCTACGAGTTGGATCGACCACCCTTCACATCCAACACCACGGAGAGAGATAGCAAAAATGCCAACATCAACGGCACCCCCTAGATCGACGCCGCAGGAGGTGCTACGATTCACAAACTGTCTCGCTTTACAACCGGACGGAACACTTCCCTCTGACCCTACCACCTACTCCTTACACGTGGACCCGGCTTCTGGGCACATAATCGATGGTCAATCTGCATTTTTCGATTCCAAAACAGCCTTCACTTCTACTATCGACTTGGAAGGGGATTATCTGGTACCGGGATTCATCGATGTTCAGATCAACGGAGGCTACGGGATTGACTTTTCAGAGTTCAGCGAGGGTCAAGAAGAAAAATATCTGGCAGGGCTGGATGAGTTTGCGAAGAGGATCCTAGAAACGGGTGTGACGAGTTTCGTACCAACGATCATTACGCAGCATAGTGAGAAGTATAGACAGGTAAGCACGCCGCTCCCCTTCTTCTTAACAGTTTTGTTGAAAGTTTTCACTACTGATCAAAGCACTACGTTGTGATAACAGATTCTGCCTTTGCTAGCACCTCGAAGCAGACCCAACCAAGCAAACTCGTTGGGATACCATTGCGAAGGACCTTTCCTTTCGCCGCATAAGAAAGGTGCACATTGTTCATCGCTCATTCGTACCGCACCGAATTCGATTGTTGATCTCGAAGAAGTATACGGTTCAGGCAAAGCAGGACTAGACATGCCTTACCCAGCAGTAAAATTGCTCACCCTTGCACCTGAAGTCGAAGGCGTTCTCCCCGCCATCCCCTCCCTAGTCGAGCGGGGTGTGACAGTATCAATAGGTCACACAGCAAGCGACATCGACACCGCGCTAGCAGCCAAAGAAGCAGGTGCACGTTTCATAACCCACTTATTCAACGCTATGGGTTCATTCAATCACCGAGATCCCGGTGTAATCGGCCTTTTGGGTGATTCCGAAACAGACCTCACCTCACCCACCATCTCTCCCAGTATCGGTTCATTGGAGCAGAGAAAACTGAGACCATTCTACGGTCTGATCGCAGACGGCCACCACTCGCACCCCTGTTCCGTCCGTATGTCCTACTCCGCCCATCCTTCAGGTTGCGTCTTGGTCTCGGACGCAATGCCTTGGATGGACCCTTCCAAGCCCGACGGAGTCTACCCTTGGCGTGACAACCAAAATGTGGTCAAGACAGGAAACAAAGTCACACTCGAAAACACAGATACTCTGGCGGGAAGCGTTGTTCCCATTTCTGACTGCGTTACTAACTTGGCCAAGTATGCTAGTATTCCATTGCACACTGCTGCGTATTGCGCGAGTAGTACTCCTGCGTTGATGCTCGGGTTGAAGGAGAGAAAAGGCTTTTTGGGAGCGGGTGGAGATGCGGATTTGGTGAGGTTAGATAGGGTCACGGGCGAAGTTAAGGAGACTTGGGTGGCGGGGAGATTGGTTTGGTCTCCAAAGTCTCACACCGCCGTGTCATCATAGATTCGCGTTGCAATATCACACTTCATCTCACAGCACAGAAAGCAAGCGAGAGAGAGAGAGAGAGAGAGAGAGAGAGAGAGAGAGAAGATTGACTAGATTTTCAAAACTCCAAACAAAACGAATGAGATTAAAGCAGAAACAATAGCGATTCTATACGAGAAAAGCTCTAACGGGTATGAACCGCCACCGTCCTAGAAAACCAGAACTGATGGCTTAGTTGAAGTGAAGATCATCATAACCACCGTACTTAGCCTGAACCAGATCGTACCAGTAGTTGGTCCTCGCTTTCCAAGGCCCACTAGTAGCAGCCTTAGGCAACTCGCTCTTTGCCTTCTTAACGTAAGTCGAGTTCAAGTTCAACAAAGGTCCCTCTTCCAACTGGTCCCTGTTGGTCGGGCTGGGAACGACCATAGACTTGTGATACTTGTCCATGTGCTTGATCAACCTCACGACATACTGGGCAGTGCAGTCAGACCCCAATGTCCATGAAGCATTTGTGTATCCGATGGACAAAAAGTAGTTGGGCAATCCCTCGAGCATGCATCCCTTCCAAACGAACCTCCCGTTTGCATGAACAGGCTTCTTGTCAACCGTGGTGGTAATGTGACCACCGATTTGGAGCTTAAGACCAGTGGCGGTGACGATGAGGTCACAAGGGATACGTTCGCCGTTCTTCAGGATGATCTCGTTGGAAGTAACAGTGTCGATGTGACCGGTGGCGATATGGGCTTTACCCTGGCGGAGAGTTGTGTAAAAGTCGCCATCGGGGCAAATGCAGAGACGCTGGTCCCAAGGGTTGTAGCTGGGTTTGAAGTGAGGGTCCAGAGGAATGTCTTTGGGAAGCTGGCCCTTGGTGAGCTTGCCGAGAATGGCCTTAGCGACACCAGGGAAAGCGCGGAAGATGTGGTAAGAAGCGTAGATACGAGCGATGTTCTTCTGACGGATCAAGAAAGCTGCTGCCCTACGCGGAAGGATAGCACGGATAATTTTGGCAATGGGATCGTGCTTCTCCAGCGACAAGATGTAAGTGGGAGAACGCTGAACAAGCGTAACCTCCTTAGTCACCTCAGCCATTGAGGGTATCAGAGTAATAGCAGTGGCGCCCGAGCCGATAACCGCCACCCTCTTACCCCTATAATCGTCTTCCGTCACATCCCAGAACTGCGGGTGAACAACCTTACCCTTAAAGTTCTGAATGCCGGGAATATCAGCCTTGAGCGCAGCATCATAGTCGTAGTAACCGGTGCAAATGTAGAAGTAGCGCGAGCGGTAGTGCTTCTGCTCTCCGTTCTGGTCTACAGTAACAAACCAGCATCGCTCCTCGGTCGACCAATCAGCGTTGGTGACCTTGGTACGGAAACGAATGTTCTCGGTGATACCATTCTCATCCGCAACCTTTTTGAGGTAAGCAATGATCTCTCTACCTTCGGCAATGTCAGGGCCGGTCCACTCTTTGAAGGCGTAACCGAAAGTGTGCAAGTCCGAGTCAGATCGGATACCGGGGTATTTGAAAAGATCCCAGGTACCACCGAGGTTGTCACGGCCTTCGAGGATGAGATACTTCTTGTCGGGAAGTTCGTCTTTCAGACGGTAGGCGGCGTTGATACCAGAGATACCGGCACCGACGATGAGGACATCGAGAACCTCGGAGTTGTTGTAGTTGATCGAGCCCATACTTGTTGTGAACAGCGGCGATATGTGTGATGGTAAGTGAGGAGGGAAAGATGGAGATGGGCGGGGTAGAAGAAAAGGAAACAAAGGTCGGAGAAGGCTTTGATATATGCACCTGTTGGCTGACAGGCGAGCGGCTCACAGACGCATCTGCTCAGCGTGAATGTGTCGAGTGACGCGCGTGATCCTTCTCGAACCAGAAGGGCATGTGAGAAGGGCCTCTCTTGTTCTCGTTCGACGTTGCACACGCTCACGGAGCGAGCCCAAGAAGAGAGTACAGTTGTCTTGCATTAGCGGCATCCTGGCCAAGGAAACAAACAATTGATCCTGAACTCGGTGAAGTCATTCGGCAGCGTTTGGCGGTGAGCGGTGGTTCAATCTCGAGTCTCAAAAATGCGCAAGGTGGCTGACCCAAATGGAAACCGACAACCAAAGCGTGAATGCGGAGAGGAGAAGCCGATCCCAATTTCACCTGCGCGCACTTCTTCGGCCACTCAATCTTAGAGAGGATCTGCAGTCTATCAGAGGTTACCACCTCGTTCAAGGCTTGTGTTCAGACGCTGCTCTTTGGCCTCTCCATCACTAGCCAGCACCTGTTTCTTTGTGGCATGTTACTCGTCTTTCTAAGAAGAAGGAACCGACGTTGAAGCAAGCCAGTATTGCAAAGAAGCTCGACAAGCTGAGATGTCAAGCGGTTCCAGAGGTGCGGGTTGTTGATGTGGGGTAAGCAACGCCAATCAACCTTCCAACCGTCCTGAGCTTGTGTGCGATATCATTGTTTGCCGTTGATAGACGTGGCGTAATTCAAGCTTTTTTGGAATGCCAAAAGAAAAGTCACCGCTCTGACACCCCAAGTGGAGAAACAGCGCGGCGTTGGGTTTCCGTGTGAAAGAGCAAAATCCTCTTCGCCGCGGTTTAGTACTAAATTCAGTTCGAATTTCATTTGGCGCCTCTTTCGGCCGGCAGTTTTCTTCTCTCTTCCTTTTTTTTTTTTTTTTTTCTTTTTTTTTTTTTTTTTTTTTTTTTTTTTTTTTCGGTTACCGCTCATCCTTGGACGTCACCACCAACGTTACGGCTTGACACTTCTGCTTCTCCGCGTTCAAACTATCATAGAAGCCTTCGACGGCTGGACACTGAGGCACACCCGACGAGACCCTGATTTTGCGGTTCCTCACTCATTGAAGAGCTGAATGTTCGGTACGCTTCAATGCGAGAGTTACCGCTCAGTGAGAGCTTGGTTGGCGGCAACATGTATTGATGTGGTGGAAAGGACTGTGATAATAGATAGTGATTGACATCTCGGCTGAGACTACCGACGGATAAACTCATCCACTTGTATGATGTATGCGATGTATGTTGAGGCGAAGAACGCCTCCCCCACCAAACCTTTGCGGCTGTCACATTATCGAACGCCTACGACACCTCCTTCTTCACGCTCGTACTCCAAACCTCACCAACGCTAGCCGTATAATCATTCAGATCCCAATCCAGATCTGCAACAAAGCCATCCACGCTTTCCTTCTTCTCCCCCTCCTCCCTTTGCACAATCTCCAACCTTGACGGCCCCCTACTCAAAGCTACAGGAGCGCCCTTTCTCACCCCCTCTCTAATCTCAAAGCTATAACTCCCACTTGGCGAGACCTCACTGACACAAGATTCCCTCTGCGCATCCGCCTCCGTCCTCAGCGTACTACTACTGAAATGAGATCTTAACTCTCTCACCCTGGGCGGAACTGCTAGTTCAAACACCCCTTTTTCCCCTTCTGGAGTTGCCCAACTGACGCGTTTGTGATTGTCAGAGATACCTTCAGTCTCGATACAGATCCCTCCGTCACTATTGCGTGTTTTACGGAGGGCAGAACGGAATGAGTTACCAGCAGAACTCAAAGGACGTCGAAGAGTGCCAGTGCTGGCTCGATCGCGAATGAGAAGGTGTGTGCCTGAACGAGTCATCTCGATATCTCGCTCGCGAGCTGTTGCTGGTCGTTTAGGGGCAGGTTTTGAACTGCGGGTGCTTTCAGGCGAGACTGTGGAGAGGATAGAGTTGCGACTGGTTGAAGGTGATGTACGAGGTCGTGGAGGAGGAGGGGTGGAGTCAACAAAGTGTCCCATTTCATCCGGAACTCTCACAATAGAGTTACGGAATTGAGTGGAAACGGTAGAAGGTGGCTCTTGAACTTCTGCGATAGAGTCTAGCGATCGTTGATGGTGTAACGCTCGAGTTGGGATGGTTACGCTCAGGTAGTGAGCTGCATCTGCCTGCGACAGCTGAGTTTTGGGCTGAGAAGGATTGAAGAGGTTGCTTACAGCCCTGTCATATGGTCCTTCTGACTCCCGCACCCCCAAAACTTCCTTCCCGCGGGAACCTTCTTTGCGTACAGCTTCGTGCTTTCGATCTTGGTTGAAAGGAAGCATATTCTCCATAGCTCTATCGAATGGACCAGCATTACTGTTCGAGCTTGGATGCATGAGCAAAACCTCTTTCGATTCCCCTCTAACACCTCCTCCCATCTTTTCTTCTTTTCTGTTGGCGAAATGTCTCAACCCATCGCAAGAGCCCAATCGCTGAGACCTACTCCTCTGTCTCCTCTTTTTCGGGCTCTCCTTACGGCAGTGAACCGAGAGCTTTTGGCGATACCGCTTGAAGAACCACAACAAACCGACAAACACTACGAAGAAAACGGTGACAGCAGCGATCGTGGCTACGGTGCGATGCGATATGTGGTTGCGCTGGTCGGTGGATCTGTTTGAAGCCGGAGCGAAGGGGACGACGGGAAGAGAAGGGGGAGGAGAGGCAGGGGAAGTGTCGTTATTCGTGGTCCTGTCACTAGCGGCTGCAGGTGCATCTGGCTGAGAAGTGTCTGGCTGAAGAGTATTGGCAGGAGGAGCTGCAGAGATCGCACCAGAAGTATCAGGAGCGGGAGGTAGAGCAACAGAGTGATCGTGAGCAGGGATGGCACCTGAAGTAGGCGGAGCTGCTGGGAGTGGTGCGGGGCGACCATCGGGGTTCGGGGCAACGGAGTCTGCAGATGCATCGTCACGCTTCACCAAAGACCTCAAGAAACTCTTGGATGGTGTGTCATGCTTGATAGATCGCTTCTGAAGACGGAACTTAGGCGGTGGCAGTTTGGCGAGGCGGACTTCGTCATATGCGCCGTATTTGTGTCGTTGCTCGGCAAGGATTTGCCTACGGGAAGGCTTGGAGGCGTCTTGGATCGGCATGATGTAGTTGCACGTCGTTACTGACGAACAAAAAACTGCTGTTCGACTCCTACCAGAGCAAGGTCGATATCATCTGACGGAAGAGAGTGTGGACAATTCCATTCGTCTGATGCCCAGCACAGAAGAGCACAGAAGTTGGAGGCAGAAGAGTGTGATGGTGGCTGAGACCAACGAGGGCCTAGTTGGAAACGAAGAGACCCGACCCTTCCACCCGACAGCAGCAACACTGCCTCAAAAATCATATGGCTGTGTTAGCGTGATTGCGATAACCGTATCGCTGCAACGAGTGGGTCGTAGGAGCTGGTGAACGCATTTGCCCACACAAAAGCTGGATAGTGAACTGTGGGTAAGGCCGTGCACTTGTGCGGCTTGCTTGGAAGATGTCATCTCAGAGGGCGTGCACGGTGGCTTATGTGCCATGTTGCGGGGCCGGCCCCGTTTCATTCGACAGAGAGAGGCGGTGTCGGTGCTCCCATGAGTTGGTGGCAGTCGAAAAACTAGTGTGTGAGACCATGGCAAGCTCGCACCCACTTTCATCTCGAAAACATTCTCACGATGGTCGATCGAGCCTGAGCACAGGTATCACGATCTTACCACACAAAACGCTGCTCAAAAGATCAACACCAGCAGTCGCACACAAGCATTTAGGATGCAGCAATGAACATCATTATCAAACGACGTTAAAGTGGACTACTACCAATCGAACCCCCGTCATCCTAAGCAAGGGTCTTGTTGAAGAAATCAGCCAAACGCTGATACACATCCTGGAAATTCTTCAGGTTGCCCTCATCCTTCAAATCGGCCCTAGCGGCAGCCCAACCGTGGTGGCTATCGGGGTACAACTTATAAACACTATCCTTTGCAATATCCTTCTTCTGTACCTCAGCTTCAAACTTCTCCATATCCTCCTTAGGCTCATCCTTACTGGGGAAGTTAGCGATCGGTACCGTCAACTTCTTTGCATCCTCAGCATCCACCATCGCGGGATGAACCTGAGCCACAGCATTGAACTTAGTTCCCTCTCCACCAGCCAGCACAGACATCTTACCACCCCAGCAGAAACCCATCAAACCCAACTTCTGTGCTCCGTCCTTCTTGAGCGCATCGGCAACAGCTTCGACTTCAGGCTTGCGAGCGGAGAAATCACCGGTGGACTTGAAGAAGTCTTGGAACTTTTGCTTCTTCTCTTCGGTCTTGGGAGGGTAGTCTTCCTGAGCGATAGGCTTGCCTCGGAAGAAATCGGGCATGACGATACGGGCCTTAGTAGCTTCAGCGAGAAGGTCGGCACCTTGTTTGGTGGTGGGCCAGTAACCAAAGACGTCGTAAACTACGACGATGGCTTTTATGGCATCCTTGGGGCCAATGACGTAGGCATCGAGACCGCCGATCTTTTCGGTGGTGCCTTTGGGTGAGCTGTCGTAACGAGAGGGAGATGGGACGGTGTGATGCATTGCATGTCAGTCCTTGTAATCGGGTAGAGACCTTTAATTAGGGCCATTAGAGGAGGAAACTTACTAGTCGGACTTGACAGGGGGGATAGTGCAGCAAGCCTGGTTAGTGTTGGCAGCCATGGTTGCGAATATTCCGTTTGTGTTAAGACTACTGTTTGCGGCGGCCATCGATCGCGGTGCGAGTGTAGAAGAAGTAGAGAGCGAGCTGTTCAGAGTCGGAAGTCCAGCTGAAGGGCTAGCAGTCGAGATGCCGCCATCTTGCAGTCCATTCGTCGAGCCTGCCGCATACCGAGTTCCCGCCTGCGCAGAGGGGAGAATGCCAGAGTTGCTCGAGGCGAGAGGGAACGAGGTGGTTGCTAGGACTCGACGACGCATCGTTACGGTCGCTGCGGGGAAGGAAAAACTTACGTTGATGTGAGAGTGGGTGAGAAGCATGGCCTTCGTCCTGGTTGAAAGTAACTCAACGACGGTTTATATATGAAAGCAGGGCACTTGTCAAAGAGTCGAAGAATCATGCACGGGCCTTAACGCTGTCCTGCGCAATTACACACTCGATTGTAAGCGTCCAGAAATATCTTGGCCTGGAAAACCTCCACTTCAGCCTCGCCGTTGCTGCCGTGTTCCGTGTTTGTTGCTTGCGTTTCGAAGAAGTTCTACCAGCAGCAGCATTGCCGATCCGAGCTCGATGTGACGGAATGGGCTTCAGTCACCACGATGACAAGCTCGTGAGACGCCGAGATGGCTTTTGCTTGTGTCAGTCCGTTGTGTAACGGAGCATGCGGATTCTTTCCCCGTCGCAAAGCTGTCGCTGTGAGAGTTGCTGCCGCCGGCAATGCATCTCTGCCCTCGTACTCTCTTCGACCCCGGGTCAGAAGGGATCGGATTCTTCGGACAATCTCAAAACTATGTGACACTGTGATGTGAGCTCCGAGGATCTCTGCCTGGCATCACGACGGATCAGTAACAGTCAAGCCGCCGGCGCGAGGAACAGTGAGGTTCTCGTATGGCATGAATGTCGGAGTGTGGTCTGAGTGATTCGAACGGTTTGTGATCTGCGGTGCATGCGAAAAGATATAGTTCTTCGAGCTGATCACCGTGGGATGTTGTCTCTATCCACCATGTGAACAAGAGTTTCCATGGGTACGAACGAAGTAGATGGTGTCGATCCACGGACGCCGACGGCGTGTACACGTTCTTCACTATCAAGAAAGTACATGGCCAAGTTTATCTGCAAATTTTATTGTGGTCCGAAAAAGTAAAATCACATGACCTTTAATTGAAGATATCGAGTTAATATACTCTGGCTCAGGCGTACGACTTCTTGAATGCTTATATTATTACTATAGAAGGGTGCGATCTTGAGAGCATATATATATATACCTTAGCGTCTCCTCCTGAGCACATCATACTGAGATGAGTCGTGCTCCTCCTGCCATGCCCCTGAGCTGTTGCCATGGCAACCCTTCATACGTTCTCCTATGCACACTATCTACTCGCGACCTCGCTTCATTGGTGTCTCGGGTAAACCTTCTGAGTCCGATTTGAATGCCGGCGAATCTTCAACTCCTTTTACTTCGCTCTAACATTTCCGCCAACCTCGCTCACTGTCGTTACTCATCACCCACGACCGTTGCTCAGATCCACGTCAACGCTCTCCTGTCCCTATTGTGATAGCACGCAATCCTCTGTATCACTTCATTCCACACACGCACACACTGGCCGTCGGGAGAGATATATATGTTTCTCATTGCTTTGTACTTATTTGCTCTTAACCTAATCGCAATTGCTATCCATTTCGCCGCTCTTCGCTTGTACATTCCTCAACAGCTCAAGCCTTTCTAGCATCCTCCTTTATCATATGAGCCGCCTTCTCACCAATAGCATAAACCGTCTGTACAATATGCGAACTAACATGGATCGGTACCACCGAAGCATCCGCAACTCTTACATTCTTAGTCCCGTACACCTTCAGCCTTGCATCCACCACACCGCCCTTCTCCCTTGGCATCATGGAACAGCTTCCGATCGGATGATACTCTGTCACGGACTGATCCTTGGTGAACTCTCTAAAGTCCTCATCTGAGTTGTACTGGCTCGGGTCGGGGTCCTGTCTAGCAACTGTGATCTCCTTGAGTGGGGAAGTATCGGTGACGGTTTGGCAATATCTGACGGCTTTCGAGAGGATTTCGAGATCTGCGTCTATGCTGAAGTAGTTAGCGTGGATCTTGGGCGGTTTGGTGGGGTCGGAGGAGGAGACGTGGATGTTGCCTCGGGAGAAGGGCTGTTGGAGACAAGCGAGGATAGAGTAGTATTCCTGGTTGTCTACAGGAGGGGATGCGGTGGAGAAGAAGCCTGGCGCGAAGATGAGCTCTGTGGATGGACATTTCTCGTCTTCCAGACGAGCTAGCTGCAGTCTGACTGTCTCTTGGACACCTTTGGAGTACTTACTCCAGTCGACATTGCAGACGTCGGCTTTGATCTTGGAGATTTCTTCGGGGGAGAGGTACTGAGAAAGGGGAACATAAGCGAACCCAGAGAAAGCAGAGGCAATGATACCTCGATCCTCTCCTTCACCATGATACTGCTCCATGGCAGCTTTGGCAAAGTCATCCTGTCGCATCTTATCCCAGGTGATGAAACCAGGTTTGAGCTTGAACGAGCTGGTGCAGTAGATGTGGTCTTGCACATTCTCTCCCACATCCAACTCTAGCTTCTGCTCGATACCTGCAGCCTTGAGCACCTCGGCCTTACCGACACCAGATAGCTCGAGTAAGTGGGGACTGTGGACGGTACCACCACTCACCACGATCTCTTTCTTCGCTTTGACAGTGTGCGTCTTGCCATCGACGATGAACTCTACCCCCGTTGCAACCAGATCCACATCCGCCGAGTTGGAATCAAAGACGATCTTGGACGCATGTGCACCAGTAATCACCTTCAAGTTCTCCCTATTTGCATTCGGAGCATAGTGCGCATTAGCACTGTACGAACGCACAGTCTTCTTCGTATCAATCGTCACCGGGCTCACCCAGAACCCACTATTGCTTCCACCCAAGCCATCTTGCACATTGGCCAGCCCTAGAGACTTGAGTGCGTCAAACCAAGGTTTCTGCGCCTCAGTATACCACTTGCTGTACGAAGTCTTGACCGGCCCATCCTTCCCATGCAACTCCTCATCGCACGTGGCAAGATTCGCCTTCTGCAACTCCGTACTCGGCTTTTCCAGCGTAGCACTTTTCCTAGCGAACTGTGCGAAATCGTCCCAACTCCACCCATCGTTGCCTAGCTTTCCGATGTCGTCGTACTCTCCCTTATATCCACGCTGCCAGACGAGGAAGTTCAAAGCGCTACTGCCGCCGAGAACTTTGCCTCGGGGCCAAGCGTACTTGCGTTCGTTGGAGTGCTGTTCAGGTTCAGTCTCGAGACACCAATCGTAATCGGGGTTCATGAGGGATTGTCCGATGAATGCGGGATAGTTGATTTTAGGGTCGTCAGGGCGCCAGAGACCGGCTTCGATGACTCCGACGGTGATGGAAGGGTCTTCAGAGAGACGGGTGGCGACGGTGAGACCAGCGGTGCCTCCGCCTATGATGACATAGTCGAACTCGGTAAAGGAGGTGGCTGAGACGCCGGTGTCGGTTGAGGGGGTTGCCATCGTATACAGAGGTCCAGCGTCTACTTCGAGGAGGCTTTGAGGGGATGTAGAGGTTATGGGATGAGAAGAGGGGCAAGATATCGTGAACTTTATATCCTGGAATTAAAGTGGCGCAGCGTTGGACGCAGGGAAGCTTTTAACGTGGCATGTTTGCTTTTCTTCTCGCAAGCTGGTATCCCGTTGCGCATGCCATTGTTCGCACAGATCAGCACCAGACACCAACACCAGCACCCACGCAGCGGTCCAAGGGTTGACAACCGTATCCGAAAGCCCGCCTTTGCGGCAGCTCAAGCCTCGGGTGGTCAAGCGAAAGGCCCCTTGCAGCTTGCGGCGCTGCGCATGATCGTGACAACCAACGACACAACAATGAGAAGGTGTGCACAATCGTTTGCTGGTGGGCGCACGAAAAGTTGTTGGACCCCTTGCAAGCTCGCATGTGTTTCAATTGACCCGAGAATTTAGAGCGCGGCGCCCCAAAGTGCCCACTTTTCGGGGTTCTTCTTACGCGCGCACGGACTCAACACCCGAGCAGAGCTTTCCAGACCGTGATATCCTCTTATCCTCTCAGGCCCGTTACTTCCTCGCCTTCTGGCGGTGGGCTGTCATTGTAGCGGACAACAGCTCACAAGACATGGTTCCACACAAGACGCTGACTGATGTTCGAATGGGCTGGCTTTGGTAGGTGCAACACTGATGAAGCTGTCACCACACATGCAACTCTTCGACCTCTATGAGATTCACTTTTGGCGTTGAGAATCATACAACAGAGCGGCATCCATCAGCACCTGTGCTCCAATAGCACTGCAAAACCAAACAACACAATGGTTCTCGATGTCAGCTTTTCCCTCTCTCTATCCACTACACCCGCACCATCTTGACAGCACTTACCAATCTTCCGGGGAGCTATACTCCCTAGGGTTATGCGACACCCCATCCTTGCTCGTAATAAAGATCATCGATGATGGGCACCTCTTACTTGTTGAGCAAGTATCGTGTCCTGCACCGCTATAGATGTCTTTTCCTTGATCAGCTCCGTAAATGGCCTCGACTGCTTTGCGGACACAGGCGATGCAGTCGCGATGGAAAGTGATTGCCGGGCTGTTGAATGTTTCTGTCCATTCGAGTTGACAGCCCTTTTCGCTTTCTTGTGAGGCAATGCAGTGAGCGGCGGATTCAATGGCGAAACAGAGAGAGGCGAGCTTCTCCGTGGAAGGGTGTCGGATGTCGAGTGTGAAGAATACTTGACCGGGTACTGTGTTGACGCTTCCTGGTGTCAAACGCAGGATTCCCTATCACATTAGAAATATAGATGGAGACGGTGGTGGTTAGATGAAGATTCATGCAAGTAAAGCGGGGAGGATTGAGGAGGTACTTACGGTAGAAGCCAAACCCTGATGTTCCTTCGCAATACGATTACTCTCAACAATGATCCTAGACGCACAAAGCATAGCATCCGACCTAGTCTCAAACGGAGTAGAACCAGTATGGCAATCCCTACCCCCAACATTCACATTGAACCACTTATACGCCTGTCCCCCCTGCACAATCCCTACCTTCTTCCCTGTCTCTTCCAAAATCGGTCCTTGTTCAATATGCAATTCGAAATGAGCAGCTAACGGCATTGCTTCGTGCGAACACTTTGTTTCTCCCAAGAACCCGATCCTCTCCAACTCTGACTTCATTGTCAAGCTCGAATCCTTCACATCCTGCAACCCCCAGGCTTTCTCCAGTGGAACATCTCCACACCATACACCAGACCCAACGATTGACTGGGGGAATCGCGCGCCTTCTTCGTTCGTCCAATTCACCAATGCAACGGGGTATTCAGTCTGAATATCATGATCGTTTAGGGTGCGAAGAGCTTCGAGACCTGCCATTATGCCCAAGATGCCATCGTATCTACCGCCGGTGGGTTGCGTGTCGAGATGGCTTCCCATAGCGGTAGGGTGACCAATGGACTTGCCGGGTCGGATGAGGAACATGTTTCCCATTTGGTCAACGGTGACGGAGCATCCGAGCTTTTGTGCTTCGTCGGAGAGCCATCGACGGGCGGTAGCGTCATTCTCGTCGAGGGTAAGGCGTTCCATTCCAGTCTCGTGGGGTCCGGGGCCATGGCAGTGGGAGGAACCCCACTCGCAGGTCTCGTGGAGTGTTTTCATCATTCGATCCGGGTTGATGCGGAGTGTGCCGGGTGTGTACCATCGGATGGCGGTGCGGGGTGCTGCTTGGCGAGCGAGTCCGAGTGCCGGTCGATAGAGTGAGCTGGTTAGTGGCCTTGCGATCATCCTGAAGAGATCTCTGCTGTGTTGATGGTGGAACTGCGAAGGCGGCTCTCTTGCAGATTGGAACGGTGCAAGGCTTGAGTGCGGGGAAGATTGTCAAAAGCGCCTTGTTGGACACCGAACAATCCGCCGCTGAAACAAAATGTTAGGTTTCGAAAAAGGTTGGCTTTAGTCCGTGTTCCGAGGCAAAATTTGGAATTTCTTAGACTCCACCTCTTCTCTTGGGTTTTCTAAGTTGTGAACCCTCTCGATTCGGAAGCTGTCTTTTTCACACTCCTCTGTCCTCCTTCAGAAACCCCATCGGTAACATCGCATCAGCAAAGATGAGCTCAAAAGTAAAGTCAAAGGGCAGAAAGCGCTCTCCATCGCCCTCAGTCTCATCCGAAGCTTCGTCCTCCTCCAGCTCGTCTTCAGAGGCTTCGTCCAGCCGATTCCCGATGCAGGTTACCAACATGGAAGACACATCATCCACCGACTCCCGTAGCGACGAGGCCGGCGAAGAGGAAGAAGTCAGTGACGAGATCGACAGCATCTCCTCTTCTTCTCCTCCACAACCACAAATCGACCTAACCAAAGCAAAGACAAAACTTCATCACGTAGCCAAAACCCTCCGTGCCACCGCCAAAAAGACTAAAACCTTTGAAGTGCAGAAACAGGTCAAAAAACTCAAAGGCCTCCAAAAGAAACCTTCTCTCGCCGAACAAGCCACACTTGCCGAACAGGAGCTGGACGCCCTCAAATGTATCGATATCACCCTGTTAGCGGGTCGTGCGTTGGTGACTAAGATGGTCAAAGCGAAAATTTTGCCTCGCCCAGCAGAGCTCCAAGGGGGTGTGGAGGAGGGGGAATTTGTGTATTTGGAGATGGTGAAAGAGGAGGAACTGCTGGGGGAGGCAGTACTGAGTGATCCGGTGGTGACAGATGGCGATAGGGCGTTAGAGAGGGCGAAGGCGAAGATTACGAGTAGTAAAGTGTTGGCGGATGAAGTTGGGAGGTTTGTGGACAAGTTGAGAAGGTTGGTTGGGCTTGAGGCTATAGGTGGAAGGAAGGAGGAGCTTGAGATGAAGGAGGAGGAGAAGGAGGAGGAGGAGAGAAAATGGTCTGGTTCGGAAGAGGAGGAGGAGAGAAAATGGTCTGGTTCGGAAGAGGAGGAGGATGATTCTGATGATGAGACTCGCCGTCGCCTACCACTTGTCGAAGGCTATGATGAGGAAGAGAAGGAAGATGTAGGTGAAGAAGAACTGATGAGAATTGGAAAGGAAAAGATGAAAGCATTGGGCGACCTTTCTCAGTGGGATGATATGATCGGATCCGACTCTGCTGCCGAGTCCGGTTTCGAATCTGACAATGAGGAAGGGCCAACACAGCGTCGCACGAGCAAGTCCAAGCATCAGTCTGAAGACTCTGATGCATCCGAATCAGAAGACGACTCCAGCTCCGATTCAGAGGACGACTCAGACTCAGATTCGGACGCTTCATCCGCATCCTCCTCCTCTTCCATCAGCGACCGACCGCGAAAACGCAAATCCAAAACTTCAACCTCAGACCGTTCCTCCAAGAAATCCAAGTCCTCCTCCGCAAATTCCACCTTGCTCCCCTCCCTCTCCACCGGCTTCCTCGCCGGCCGCAGCGACGACGAATGGTCCGACGCCGAAGCCGATCTCGCCGATCGCGATCTATCCGAACTCAAATCCGGTAGCAAAAAAGAACGCAGAAATCGCATGGGTCAACGAGCACGCAAAGCTCTCTACGAAAAGAAATACGGCAAGAACGCAAACCATATCAAGATGCGCGAAAAGCAGAAAGCTGTCAAACGTGAACGCAGTTCAACTCGTGCATCGGGGGTCAGGGGAGGAGGTGGGGATGGGAATGGAAGACAAAGACCACCTGCATTCCAGGCGCCGGCGAAGAGAGACGGTGGATGGGGTGGACCTGTTGCTCCGCTTCCTAAGCAGGCGAAACGACCTTTCGTGCCCAGAGCCGAACCAATTTCCGCGCCACCGGCATCAGCAGGGGCGACACAGAGTGGAGTGAAAGTGAACCGTGGCGCAAAGGCAGGAGGGGAGAACAAGACGCAGGAAATGCATCCTTCTTGGATCGCAAAGCAGAAACAGAAGGAACTTATGACCCAAGTCAAGCCACAGGGAAAGAAGGTCGTTTTCGACTAGTCTCTACTCCTCTTCACTATCGCAATCATACTTTCACAGAGCTATCACACAACCTTAATGAAGAGCGAGACAGAGTGACCTTGTATCATTTGAGAATCCATGATTAGGAGCACTAGGATCGTCGCTCAGCAACCTTGATCAGATCCGCAACGACACCCATAGCAGTAACGTCGGCACCAGCACCCGAACCTTGAACGAGTAATGGACGAGCCGAGTAACGCTTGGTGTGGAAGGCGATGATGTTGTCCGATCCCGAAAGAGAGGATGCGAAGGGATGCGAGACGGGGTATCTGCATTCACAAATAATAAAGGCTGATATATGTTAGTACTTCTGAAACCAAGCCAGCTGCAAGGGATGATTGGAAGGTGCGTGGTACTTACGTCTCGAGCGAAGCCTTAATTTCCTTCTTCTTCACGTCGATGACACCGACGTATCGGAGCACGCTACCTTTGTCGAAAGCTTCCTTGTTGAGCTTGTCATAGTCACCGTCGAAATCTGGAAGACGCTTAACGTATTCTTCACCCGACGCGACATCTGCTAGTGGTGCGGGAGTGAGAGAGTGAGTTGGCACCGAGAGGTATCCCTGTGGCAGAGCATCTTTGAGTTCGGGCACGAGTCTCGACAAGATCGCCAATTTCCTAGCGACATCCGACCCATTCAAATCATCATTGGGGTGAGGCTCGGTGTATCCGTTCTCCTTGGCGAACTTGACAATGTCCGAAAACTTGTTATCACCTCCCTTGGGAGTTGAGAACTCGTTAAAGATGTAAGAGAGTGTTCCTGAGAAGACGCCTTCGATCTTCGTAATCTTGTCACCGGTGTTCACCAGGTCGACGAGGGAAGAAATGATGGGTAGACCAGCACCAACAGTTGACTCCTGGTAGACAAGTGGACCCTTGCTTCCGGCAACATCGTTCGACTTGTACTTGAGAATATCATTGTACAGTTCGATAGGGCCGGAAAAGGCTTTCTTGTTAGGAGTGACGACCGAGAGACCTGCGGCGAGGAAGTGAGGGTAAAAGGCGGCGACTTTTTCGTCGGAGGTGTTGTCGACTACTGCGGTGTGACGGCCAGAGTCGCGGGTGATCTTTTGGAGTTCCAGGACGAGGTCGGGGAGTGCAAGGGCGGAAGTGGAACTGTTGGCGAGAAGAGACTTCCAGTCAGCAGAACCAGCGAGGGAGAGAGGGGAGGTGGGAGTACTGAGGAGGGTCTTCTTGCTGTTCTGGAGTGCAACGATGTGGAGTTTGGAAGAAAGACCAGCGACGGTGGTGAGTTGCTGGATGACGGAGGTGCCGACCAGACCGACGCCGATGATGGCTACGTTGATTCCTTGGGTGCTCGACATGGTTGCTTTTCAGAAGATGGTAGAGTGTGGTGGTGATGACGATGGTGCGATGATGCATTCAGAAAGTGTTGATCTCTGCTTCCGAGTCACTTGTTCAAGTTCTTCTTGCATGATGTGCTTTTTGAAGCTTGCAAGTGTTTGGGCTGGCTTGTGCAACAGTGAAAGGTGAGAACTTCGTATCGCACGAGACACGACGGAAACAGGGCCAAGGCGAAGGCGAAGAAGGAGGTGGAGTTTTGGCTCTTTTTTTCGAGACGTGTTACCGCTCTAAAAGCCGAAAATACGAAGGTGCCTGACATAATGTTGTTGAAGATTACGATCCAGTGACGACGCTAAGAGGTGACGCAAAGACGATGAGATCGGAGATCGGGGATAACCGATCCTTAACAGGATCGGGTACAACCAAGTCCCACTCGTTGTCAGGCTAGGTCATTAACTATAGAGACTCCCACATTTGGCATGTACCACACTTTTGTATATATATTGAGCAGGGAGTGCTAGGCTCTTGCCATGGTCACTCAGTCAATTGAGTATATTTGTTCTGTTCATAAACTAGCAGCGACATCATACTTAGACTCTCCTTGATTGCCAGTATCAGGACCGAAATGACTCCAGTTTCTAACAGGTTATGAGCCCAATAAGCTGATACACTACCGATACACTATCAACAACAATAGCAGATACACTACCAAATCAAAAATTTGATATCAACAAGAGGTTTCACTATCAACATGTTGAACCCTGACTACTCATCATACAAACACTTCATCTGGGTGATCGAGGAGCTCCTCCCTCACCTTCCAGACATAGTACAAAACCATTATCATCAATTGATCAATGAAAATACCTATGGTACACCAAAAGAACCAAAGGCTGGACTGATCTTTAAATACACCAGAAAGACAAATGCCAAGCAAGTAGTGACACCCCTCACTATCATGATTGAGTGTGTTGCTGCACTCTACCATGCAATGCATGTTCTTGGCCCCTTTCATAGCCACTTTGAGCTCGAATGGCAAATGAGAACATGTGTGACATTGTTCATTGGCAATGAGAAGGATGCAACCTGCATCCTCCACTTCATGACTGAGGATCCAAGGTGGTTTGAATTGGAAGCTGCTGCTCTGGAATGGGAGTTCAATGTGACATCATCCAAAGGGGGAAATGTCATACAGGACTCAATGACAGACAAAGCTTCTGATCTGGAAGAGGAGCTCAACACAGCATCGTCCAAAGGGGGAAATGTCGTGCAGGACTCAATGATGGACGAAGCTTCTGATCTGGAAGAGCTGGACATGGCATTGTCTGAGGGGGGAAATGTCATGCAGATCTCAAAGATGGATGAAGCCTCTGATGTAGCATTGACCACAATGAGCAAGCTGGATGTCACTCTGACCACAAGAGAGTTCATATTCAATCTGACTGCTGCAGCAGGTGATGGTCTCATCATCACTGGTCCAAGCTTTGTCAATGCTGTGGCTGCTCATCATGGACTCCACACCTCATTGTCAACTGTCTCCCATCCCACTAGCATAGACATGAGGTTCAACATCAAGATCAATGACAAGCAACCTCTCCCCAAGCCACTGGATGCACTCACAATGGATGGCGACAAACTCAATGCTGGCGACTACACCAGCTATGACAAAGGAACTGCAAACACATCGGTCGAGGGTCACGCACAGACCATCCAGACCATTGTCATGGGACCAGAGGCGCAGGAAGCAAGAAGACGGAAGTCATATGAAGAGGAGCACAGGAATCGAAGGATCGGGCTATGCGAGAGCCTAAGGCAGAGTTCACTGAGATCAGTAGTAGGAATGATTCTATGGCATAATCCACTGGGATCAACAGGAACAAGGTCAGTATCACAGAATACAGTGGGAAAGGTAATACCCCATCAGGTATGACACATCACATGGGGATCAGCTTGAGAGGATGCCTTTATTGCTGATGCGGCGAGAGGAGGTCACCAAACAAGGAGGGGACACCATCAGATGAGGTAGGGGCACTACAAGGATGAAACCAGCAAAGGAAGGTGGGTGCCCAAGACAAGGAGGTGATGAAAGGGTGCAAGTCACCACCCAGATGAAGTGGGACTGGCCCCTGATGGAGATGAGGCAGCAAGAGGCCCATCCATCCAGAGGAAGTGAGGGAGCAGTGCCAATGAGTGGCACCACAGGATGGACAGGGAGCATAGGAGGACCAAGGAGGAGGAGCAGTGTCATGGGTGACACTGCAAGAGAGGTATATAACCATGGTCTCAGTCCTAGCAAGTGAGTGGATCACCATCCACTCTACACCATACAATACTAGTTATAGCTTTTCACATAAGTATACATTAGTATTCAGTCAGCAAGTTGCAATCTCAATAGATTGCTTCCATCATAGTGCATGTGTTGTATCACTGCTCACTGACAACCAAAGGCAGTTCATAGAAACCTGTGGTCTGGATAATGATAGAACCAAAGGCAGTCATCTGCTGCAGTCCAGGGATCACCTCAAGCATTCAGTCAACACACTGGACACTTGTGTTGGTGACAACAACAATCTCAATCACACCAGACCTTGGTGTTAGTACCAGTTCATATCAGTTATTGATTGTGCTGTGCTACCTCTGGATGGAGTGTCCACAGCAGTTAGTTGAAACCTGCAATAGCTAAACCATTACTGCATCTTTGAGCAAGAAAAGTGATAGAGACATCTCTACTACATACCTTGCCAAGAATCGTAATACCACAAGCATTGTCACATATCTCGACAGGATTCGTAATAGACACGGTTCTATTACAGATATCAGGTTTTGGGCATGTGACCTCTGACAACCATCAAGAACCCTGCGCGCAGCAAAGCACACGATAGCATTGCTGGTAACGATCAAAGGGGCGACTACAACAGCTACGGCGAGGAATGTGCACCCATCTTGCCTTGCTCTTACGGTGATCGGCATTTCCCTAACAACAATGGTGGATACTGGGTGACCAACACTGCTAATGGCAGCGTGCAGACCTTTATCAACCATTGTGAATGGCAACAAATCGAGCGCGATGCTTGGCGATGCCATTACATCAAGAACACGTATGATGCAAGGAAGTCCACGACAAACAAAGCGCTTTGCAGCGCTCATGAGGCGTATGGCGACGACAAGGTGGATCTCCACCTCTACACTGACGTCGCCACCATGGACAAACCCTGCGAGCCCCGTCTCCAAACGATAATCAGAGGAGCCTTCAAGACCCTTGGACAACAGATCCGTCACAGTGAGGATCAGCTCCGCCTCACTGCCGAAGGTGGACCCATTGGCGCTTGGCATGCCTCCTCAACCTCATCTAAGACGCCGCATCCAGCAACAGACAACTGCGCTCGTCACATCTCCTCCCAGCATACTCTTACAGCCAGCACAGGGAAACAGTACATCGCCGATGACTTTGCTTCACGAGGTTTCCGTTCACTCGGCATTGCCATGAACACTGATGGTCAGTGGAAGCTCCTTGGTCTCCTCCCCGTGTTCAACCCAGAGCAGCAAGAGCAAGGTGCTGTAGAAGTGCACCTTAGCTCATCAGTGCATGCCTTGCAGGAGGGGGAACCGATGTACATTACCATCGACCACGTTCCTGCACCTCTCATCGGCGTTTTTGTCTTGCTCACGACCACCGCAATTGGCAGCGAACAAGTGCGCCAAGGCATTGTAGGCGAGGATGGCATCAAGCCATATGAAGTGCTTGCACTCTTCATCTCTCTCATCAAGAAGCTGGTCAAGTGGCAATCGACCCATGACGACAACCCGCCAACCAGCAAGGATCGTGATGCATTCCTCAAACTGCAAAACGTGTACAGAACAAGGACGCTGCAAGACTTCGCGCAGTTCAAGCAGCTTGTTGGAGAGACCTGCAAGTCGGCCAGTGTAGAAGGCAAGATTGCCAAAGATAAGATCGAAGCGCTTGTCAAGCATGCAGGACACCTCAAGCCAACTCGCGGACGCAGCAAGATGTGTTGCCCCAGCACCCAAGTGTTCACAGTCAGTAGCCACCACCTCGACCGCGTTCAACCAGCGCTCGATTCCAGTCTGGCTTCGTACGGCTCTGTGGTCCCCAGCATATCTTCACTTGAACGAACCTCCATGCGCAGCGATATTTGGAGCCGCAACTGCATAGGTCACGAAGCATCTGCTACAACCAACAGAAGGAACCAGTCTGGAGACAACACGCACTCCATTTGTATGCTGCCCCTTCGCTGTGCAGTAGTCCTCTCAGCCCTGCGGAGCTCGTCTGCCGCTCAGCGCTCTCCCCTCGTTGCTGTAAGCGGTCGCGCGCCTGAAACCAGGTTGGGTGTTTCTGATTGGTTTCGGTGAGATCAATTGAGTAAGATCTACTTGGTATGTTTTGACTGGAAGTAACCAGACAACTTTGTTCTGGTAGGTCTTGGCTGACCACCTTGAACACTCTGTTCAGAGGTTGCACAGCACATCTGTTATTCCCTGGAGAGAGAGTAATACACTCTCCTATACAGTACAAGTGTTCATAGTACTGTTGCTAATGCTCTTAACATCATCTGGACCACAATATGCCTATTGCCTACAGAGGACAGGAGTTACTGGACTGCTGGTGTTGGACACTGCCTACAATAACTGACTGGACTGCAGATGTTGAGCAACACCACCTACAGTGATGAACTGGACCACAGGTGTTGAGGAACACTGTCTACAGTTGACATCCAATGGTGATACAACACACATGTTTGAGATGTTGTTGCAAAGCTATGCTATTGCAATGATATGAGTCAAGTAAAGAGTAGTAAGATAAAGAGTAGAGTGGATGAGGATCCACTCATATGTTATGGTGAATTGGGAGTATTTATGTGTTTGCTCAATGTCACCTGTGACACCTCTCCTGCTCCTTCTGAGGAGGGTTTTTGTCATGGGCCTGGATGCTCAAGAAGCAGGAGGGTCACTGGTTCATATGGAAGGAGCACAGGTATCGAAGACCTAGTCGATACCAGTAGAGAGCATGGTCGTAGTGTAGTCTCTATGGAGACCATGGACTCCTATGGATTCACATGCAAAGGAGAACCGAGCCACATACAAGGAGGACCAAGCTCAAGGAGCAGGCACAGCCACGAGGAGGACCAAGCTCAAGGAGCATGCAGATGGTTACCACTCAGGGGCTCGAGAGACAGGAAGTCGACACAGGTCATGAGGAGGAGGAGCAGTGTCGAAGGAGTCAACACCACTCAAGAGGAACAGGGGTGCCAAGCAGGAGAGGCCCCTGAGCAGTACTCGATGAAGAAAGTACTCTCTGGAGAGAGAGAGCAGGAGCAGCATCGCTGGCGATGCTGTGAAGAGGTATATAACCATGCTTTCTCATCATCATAGGTCGAGTGGATCCCCATCCACTCTACTCACCATAACTAGTTATCACTTCAGCATAAGTATACATTAGTTTCAGTCAGCATAGCAGCAATCTATCAAGGTTGCTCCTCATCGTAGTGTGTGTGTTGTATCACCACTACCTGACGTCCGAAGGCGCCCATAGCAGGTTAGCGGTCCGGATATAGATAGAACCGAAGGCAGTAGTCCACTGCGGTCCGGGGATCACTTCAAAGCATCAAGTCAACACACTGGACACTCGTGTTGACGCCACCAACCTTATCACCAACACCATCAACCTCATTATCATCGACATCACCAATCTCATCACCAACACCATCAACCTCATCATCATCAACACCCACACCAGACCTTGGTGTCATCATAACATTGATATTGATCGTGCCGAGCTACCCCTGAACGGAGTGTCCACAGAGGTCAGCCGAAACCTACGATAGTATATACAACGAACGCCACCTGCTGTCACTGCACAACTTGATAGTCACCAATACCGAGACAATAGCTGTCACACAGTTTAATAGTCACCGAGTATCTCGACAGACCGACCTGGGTTTCAGGCGCGAGACCCCTGACATTAGAGTGGATCGTTCAAGCAGCTCCTCACGATCACCATGACGGACCCAGACCTCAACAATAAGCTCGATAGACTACTCACTCTATTGGAAGCACAGCTAGAGCTTACCAGACAGGGTCATCGAGAGGAACGATTACAACGAGCTCAACTGAGCAGGGAGGAGACAATGGACCTCTCTCACTCAGAAGACCAAGCAGGAGGAGGAGATGAGTCTATGATAGGAGACCCACATACTCCTACTCCAGCTCCACGACCAAGACGATCAGTCTCATTCAACCTGGATGAGCAGGAGGACATCAACTACGAGAAGTATGCTTCACCTACTGGGCCAAGATATGTCAAGACTAAGCTGGACCCCTACAGCAGGACTAGGACGGACCCTTACCCCCTGGACCACGAGGAGGATACCAGCATCATGGCAGAACTTAACCGGTCAAAGCCCATTGCCACCCCCTTTCCAAAGTTCAATCCCCGAGACATGGAGATCTTCATTCTAGAAGCCGAAGCATGGTTTAAGTTCAACCAGGTGTATGAGCAGTCTAGGATGATCAATCACATGGGTGCTCAACTGGAAGGGACAGCAAGAGAGTGGTGGACCTCCAAGCTCCGTATTGATAGAGCTAGAGAAGGAAGGTTGTTCAATGATTGGCACTACTTCACAGATCGACTGTCAGAGCAGTTCAACCCACGCAATGCTAGGATGGAGGCATACAACAAGCTGTTGGCTCTCAGACTCACAAGTGATGCTCCTGGTGCCGCCACACGTCATGTAGAGCGGTTCAGAGACTTGGAAGGACAGGTCAACCTAGATGACAATGAGCTAGTGATTGATCTCTTCAGGGGTAGTCTCACTCGTAGCATACAGGAGAAGTTCGAGAGGAATCCACCTGGGAAGAGATGGGAGTGGTATCGAGAGGTCGAGGAGATCGATCGACAGAGGATGCTACTACAGCAGTCCTCGGCTAGACACTCACTTCCAAATGCCACGTCACCTCCACTAAGAACTGGGTCTCGGCCAAATCAAAGTTCAATCCCCATCCGACAACCCACTCAACCTTATCCAGCTCGATCACCATCACAAGCAGCTATACAAAACCTAAACCGACCCCTTCCTCATCATCCCACCCAACCTTCGAAGCAAGGAAGCCCTGCTCCATCAGGTATCAACACCTGTCATGTATGCAAAGGTATTGGCCATTGGGCCAGAGACTGCCCCAGCAGGAGGGTAGACCCTCTTAGCTCTCGACCCATGGGACCAAAGGTTATGGTCACCACAGCAGACCCCTTCGAGGAGGCCACCGACTCAGGAGATGGCCACACAGGCAGCACTGAGACGGGTGACCCCGAGGCCATGGACCTCAGCTCATACCAGCAACCCATGGACCCCGATCACGAGGAGGAGCACAATGATGATGACGACGAGGGAAACGTCAGTGGGGTGATGCACTGATGGCATGCATTGCTCTACAAACCTCCTCGCCATCACTCTGTATATATCAAGATTGTCAAGTATGTTTCTCTACCAGTGGAGGCAAAGCAGTACTGGAGCTCTCTGGAATGGTTCAAGACCATCCTGCTCGGATACTAGCTGATACCGGTGCTGGTTTGTCCATAGTCTCAGATTCTTTCATTAGTAAGTACCAAATACCCACAAAACCCATAAAAACAAGATCGATCCATGGTGTCACCGGGCACCAACTCTCCATCAATAGTTCTGCGAGCATGCAGGTATCTATTGGTACACACAATCTGGGTGTGGTCGAAGCTTCAGTGGCCGACACTGCAGACTATGACCTCATCCTGGGGTTCACTGAGCTACGGAGGCTCAAACCCACCATACAATGGGATACGGGCCAGCTGGAGTTCAAGACTCAGGAGCAGGACCGACCCCCTAGGAGACCCCCTGAAGCAGCAAGAGCAGGGGACCTAACCATGAGGAGACCAACCCTTCATGGTAACGAGTTTGTCTCAGCAGAGCGCATACTACGAGCAGCTCTGGAAGATGGACCCATAGGGTTCATGCTGTTAGAGGAGCCACCATCATCACTCCCAGCCTTTGGTTTTGTACCTACAGGCGCAGACAAAGGAGTCGAGATGGAGGTGGAGGTAGATAAGGTGGTGACGGCTGCAGACATACCAAAGCCATACCAACACCTGCGAGATGTGTTTGATGAGGTGGAAGCAGACAAGCTGCCCCATCATACCGAGCATGATCTCCACCTCGAGTTGATAGAAGGAGGGAAGCCACCTCAAGGGCCCCTATACCTTAAGGGACCCAAGGAGATGTCCGAGTTGAGGAGGTACTTGGATGAGAACCTCGAGAAGGGGTTCATAAGACCATCAAAGAGCCCGGCACGATCACCGGTGCTCTTCGTACCAAAGAAGGATGGAGGTCTCAGACTCTGTGTGGACTACAGAGGTCTCAACGAGATCACTGTCAAGAACAGGGCACCATTGCCCCTCATCGAGGAGCAGCTGTTCTTACTCAGGAAGGCAAGGATCTATACCAAGCTAGACCTTAGAGCAGCATACAACCTCATCCGGATTGCTAAAGGAGATGAATGGAAGACAGCTTTTGGCACTCAGTTGGGACTCTATGAGTACCTAGTGATGCCCTTTGGCCTAGCCAATGCTCTGGCTCACTTCCAGTCATTCATCAATGACATCTTCCGAGACATCATTGGGATATATGTGGTAGTATACCTAGATGACTTCCTGATCTTCAGTGACACTGAAGAAGCACATGTGAAGCATGTCACTGAGGTCCTTACTCGCTTAAGGAGCAACAGGCTCTTTGCCAAGCTGTCGAAGTGTGAGTTCCACACCAAGACAGTCGAGTTCCTGGGGTACATCATCAAGCCAATGGGCATAGAGATGGACCCAGAAAAGGTGCGCACTGTCAAGGAGTGGCCAATGCCAGAGTCAATCCATGACATCCAGAGGTTCCTGGGTTTTGCCAACTTCTATCGAAGGTTCATAGCCCACTTTGCTCGCATAGCCAAGCCTTTGACAGCACTGGTAAAGCCTATAGAACGGTTCAAGAAGTTCGAGCTACCAGAGGAGGCCCAACAGGCCTTCCACAAGCTCATCCAGGCCTTCACATCAGCAGGAGTGCTTCAGCACTTCGACTACCACCTTCCAACAAGGTTGGAGACTGATGCAAGTGACTTTGCTATAGCAGGAGTACTCAAGCAGGAGCATGAAGGACGATGGCATCCAGTGGCCTTCTACTCTAGGAAGATGTCTTCTGCCGAGAAGAACTATGAGATCCATGATAAGGAGCTCCTAGCTGTGGTCGCCTGCCTCACTCAGTGGCGACACATGTTAGCTGGACTACCGAACCAACTGGTCATCCTCACTGACCATGAAGCCCTCAAGTACTTCAAGTCAC